GTCGGCACCAGCAGCTGTGTATGGGACCTTGCTCAGGGACTTGCTCGGAGTACTCGATGTTGCAGCATTCTTCCCAGTGGCTTCACCCTGGCGCGAGGTTGTCGTAGTCGGAAGAGGAGTCATACTGGCCACAGGGGTGGCTGAGGTTGTGGTCGGTCGAGCAGATCCCTCGGAAACACCATCCGTGGCAGGCTCGCGGGCACCTGCTCTGGCTTTTTGGCGTCTTGTCCAGGGGGCTGTTGTCAGCACTGCATCAGCGGCTTGACGGCGAAGATCATCACGTTCGGCACGAGTGTCCTTTGGACCAGGAGCAGGAGCCTCCTCCGGGTTTTCCGGAGCATTTGTATCCAGCCTTCGGGGACGAGCTTTGGACTGTGCTTTGAGACCGCATCTGCCCACCTGCACCGCTTTGTTCACCATTTTTGGTCGCCTGGTCTGAGTACTGACCGATATACCATGAGCAGTTTCTCGTAGACACCTTGGTGGCGTAGGAGGTCTTCTTGAGCTTCCTGTCCCTGGAGTAGAGGATGGGCTACGAGCCCGAAGTCCTGTTTGTTTAATAAGGACCCCGTCCGAGAATTCACTGACCACTATACTGGATGCAACTGGTCCACGAGCTGTCGGGTCATGGTCTGGTGTACGAGCCACGGCTGCATTCCTGGGGCTATCGGCAGGTTTGCTTGTCTTTGACTTGGCTTGTAGCTGCCGATGACGTGGTAAAGGTTCACGTGGCTTGAGCTCACCAGCTGATGCACTGGCAGAGGCACCAGCAGTGGTGCGAGTCATCTGCGAAGATGGAGTCGGATTGTGCTGGTCGGAGTCCTGCATGGGTCGACGTCTTGGCAGTGCATCTCTGACTTTAGCCCGCTTCGCCAATGGTTCCACCGAGTCAGCAGAGTCACGAGGCTTCGGGGCGCTGCGAGAATCTCTCCCCATGCTTGCAAGCACCACGCAAAATGGTTCAACTCTGCTCGTTAAGACTACAGGATGTCTGTAGCGAGTGCCATCTTGCAATGCTACTCGGAATAAGTATGGCCAGCACCACCATCTGTGTTCCGAAATGACATATATCACAGAATGCAGGAATCGACAATATCGTTGCAGTGCCTGATTGTGTACATACTGGCCGTAGCAACATCTGTAATCCCAAATGCAAACAACAACATGCAAGTCGGAACGTATGGGTGCAAGGGCTTGCACACCGCGAGTCACATCCAACCATTGTGAATGCTGAAGCAGTCGAGCCTGCTGGTGTCGGCTGATAGAGTCGGCTTGCCACAGACCTGGGCAGTGAGCAATGGACAGCTGCACAGTGAAGAAGGTAGTCACAGGGTGTGGGCCAGGGTCCGTAATCATAGGCATCCTCAGACCTTGAGATGGGACGCTTGCTGGGACACTGAGGCCTGTGAAGACAGCACATGGTGAAAGATCGAGCCTGCCCCGGACCAGTGTAGGCCAAAGCCACACCTGAGAGTTTCGCCGACCTGGGTGATCGCATGTGGATGACAGAGACTCTCGTTGTGGCCAGGTAGAGAAATGGGCACAAGGCCCAGATCGTTGCACAGACCGGCGCGAAGGCTGATGCAGAACCAGCATAGGACCTGAGTACGTGTGTGCGGAGTGCCGCGCATTTGCTGAAGCCTCAATCTGAAAGTATCCAGCTGGAATAGCAGACAGTAAACACCACCACCATCGCCTGATTGTCGGAAAGCAGTGGCTCATACGACCTGGCAGGGTAGCATATCGAGAAGGTAGCAATGGTGGTATAGGAATCAAACAGAAGGTACAGGAGCGTGGCAAGAACCGTAGCAGCGATTTTTCTGTACGTCGGCCGATACCGTCATATAGAGTAGAGCCCACTGCAACAGGCCGCATGTACATACTAATTTGGACACAGCCAAGGACTTTTGCCAAACCGCGCCAAATATGACTCTTGATAAGTCTGTCCAAACTGTCGCTGCCACTCTTCTTGAAACCTGCCCGGAGTCGTAGCCTCACAGCTGAATACCAGTACCCACAAGTTCTCGCCGTGTCTTCCTGCCATGCGGAGATCATGCGTGGCCAGGTCGGGACGGTGCATCGTATCCGCATCTGCCAGGCGTTTTTGGTACATGGAGTGTGAGAAAGCTCGGACCTCACAATCGGCAATGGGCGGACCTGATAAGCGAGAGACTCCGTCCATGTGCACTGGGTCTTGCATGTAGTGCATAGTGGAGTGACAGTCAGCAGTCTCGCCGTCAGAGACGGAGAGAAACCAATAGGCCCATGCACCGGCAGATGGAGGTTACTTCCGACTAGGGGTCGATCGGCAACAGTTACAGCACCACAGAACGTATGTATGTACGCAACGATATATTGCAATGACCATGAATACACCCAGCATATTGCCGTTTGTGGTAGAGCTCGCAGCTGCATGGGAACACAGAAACGGATCATGCACGGCACATCAAGAGCTGCAGGCAGGCGAGAAATGCCAGAAATGCATCCCGGTTGGGGCCTTGGCCAGAGATCGCGAAGACACCGGCTGAAGTCATGCATAGTGCTTTGACCTGACGGAACAACTGCAGCAGCAGCATACGAGAACCGTGTAGGCGGCGCATGAAGGTATCGAGGCCAGAGCCACAACAGAAGGGAGCACAGACCTGGTTGCAAGTATGCAGAGCGTTGCGCGGCCGCAGAGTGCGCAGCCCAAGAGTGTCCGGCCGGAATAGCATCCAATACATGCCACCACCTGTGCTCCGGAGGCCTGTGATACGCACACACCAAAAGAAGAGGCCGAGAGAACTGCCATCTCGTAGTTGTGTACCGTCGAGTATGTAGGCCATCATCCGACCTGAAGCACAGCAGAGCCCAGACTGTCATTGGAATGTCACAAGGCACTGACCAAGGCTGAAGGAAATGTGGGATCTGCCGAATCCGCTGATGGCCTGATCGTGAGCATAGGGAGAGCTGTACAGTAGCAAATACCATGTCTCTGCCAGAGCATGCCTGATGAGCGGACGATATGTACCACCACCTGTTTGCAAGAGGCCAGAAATTCAAGGTCGACTCCAATAATGGTAGAGGTAACGGCCACCTCATTCCAGTTCGTGGTAGGGCATGGTTGCCGTCGTCCGGCCTGATACATAGGGAAGCTGATGACCGTGATGCTGGAGAAGAATCATAGGGCGCTGACCAAATCGGAGGCTGATGTAGTAGCTGCAGTCTACCTGAACGAATACATGGCTGCTGCCGTGTTGTATAGGAGCCCAGAACCGAAGAATAGCTGGCCTGGGGAACATCACGAAGAAACGTCGGCAAGCTGCACAGTACCAAAACAGTCAATGGCAATGACCACATATTGTTCACTGTACCAATGTAGTCGGGTGATGTGCAAGCTGTAAACGTTCCAAAAAGGCACTGTATACGTCGGGATAGTGTACTGCGGTCCAGCTTGTCAGTTGAAATGCAGACGGCCGCGGAAGTACTTCAATAGCCCACTCCAAGGTGTACAAGCGCTGGCAGGTCTGCCCAGATCAATGTGGCCAGTTGCAAAATTTGCGCAGAAAATGGTGAAAATACAAGCTCGTCTGCCAATAAATCAAGCGCAAAAGCCCGGATATGCAGTGCAGAAGACAGCGGAATTTTGTAAAACCGTGGGCCAGCCAAAGAAGCAGCAAGCCACTGACCAGTTTGAAAAGAGACCGCGGCTGAATCGCACTTTACCGGAAAAAGAGAACAGGGGGTCCAACAACGCGCGCCCCACAGTCCCTATGGCAACGAGACACCGGACAGCCGATGCCTCCTACCCCGCCCCTACCTACCCCACCCACACTCACAGAACACAACGCTAGAGCCAAGAAGCTTACGGCTCGCCGTTCCACAAGGGGGCGATGTGGACATAAAGGCAAAAGGGAGAATCGATTGGATCAAGAACCATCTGCACATGTTCGGGATCAAGGAGGTGCGTACTTTGGAGAGTAGTCGGAGTGGTCGAACTGAGAACCGAGGCGCGTTGCATGCCTTCCACCCATTCACCCGCACACTCGAACACTTCCACGCCACACTTCCGCTCACTGCCTCCGTCAACATACAGTGCAAACCTCCAAGCTTTCTAATTTTGCTTTTGCGAGTCTCAGAAGTTTGTGTAGTTTTTTTTTTTTTACGGTTGGCATTCCGGGTTGAAAGACGGGGAGTGGTTAGAGAGCCAGAGTGCCTGTAAATGCCGCAAGACGGCAGACAAGGCTTTTCTTCTTTTCCCCGAATTTCACGAGCTAAAGTCTTGAAGCGAGGCCCTCTTACGGCAGAGACCAGCCCTACCTGCGAAGAAAATTTCCTGCAAGAATCGTTGTAGGAGGCAGTACTCGAACAGTACAGATCAGTTCTGGCCGCAAGGCAGGAAGTTCCACAGCGTGACAGTCACTCGAACTTTGCAGACGAGTTCCGAAGCAAAAAACGCAACCCAAACTCAGATTGAAAAGTGAAAGCTTGCCCAAGTACTTGCCAAAGAATCTGAAGACTCGCTGTACTCCTACCCGCTCGCTCCTTTCAGCGAGAGCGGTTCTGAATCAGTTTGGATGCTTCTAGCAGAGCGTACCCAACGCACTGCAGAACTGAAAACTGGTCTTGAGACGGCACATGCGTAAAGGATTTGCATGTAGACAACGCACTGCAAGTTATCATTGCATCGCCGAGCTTGGTCTGCCCGTCCGGACCCCGTAGCAGCCATGAGGTTTACCAAGAGTTCCATTGAAACACTTGTTCGCCCGAACGAGTCACGAACCATGCTCTGGAGCGGTGCGCAATTGACGACTCGACCATCAGACATGACTGTGAAGCTCAGCGACACACTGAAGTGGTGATCCGTAAGCATCGCACGTCACACGATATTTCTCACTTAGAAGCCCTGCTTCTTAGCGATGAAACTCGCCATAGCTCCTGCGTCGCGGAGGGGTCTGCCTGCTGTGCACTGCTTGCACAACCATCCACTGTGAAAACCTTTCCTGAAAGGCTTCATATTGTCAAGCGATCTTCCACAGATCACTTGCTAGTGGAACCTTTACTCGTGAGTGAAGGCTCTTGGTCTTCGGGTTCTGATTCTTGTTCATCCAAGTCCTGATCATCAAGGCTCTGCGCCTCTTCCTCGGCCAGCTCAGCTTCGCACACTCGAAGCTCGCGAGAAGGCGAACATAGGCCCATGGGTGCCAAAGAGAAGCGCGACTCGCGGACGGTCGCCCCATGTGCAATCGTTCCGCTCTTCGTGCGATGGAGGCACCAATACATTCTGCAAGGTGTCGCAGCGGCTGCGCCTGCACTTGGCGGGCGTAGGCGTGTCCTCTCACCGTGTCCGGCTTTCGAGGTCCAGCAAAGCGGCGTGCGAGGAGAATTCGGCCGCTTGCGCCGAGAAAGCTTATGCCGGATTGAAACTGACCGTCTGATTCGATATTGTCGGATCTATCTCCAAAGCTTGGCTCGTAAGGCAATCGACACGATGGGGAAACTAGCGTTTGCTCCTTGCCAACCTGGGGAGACGCCGACCGAGAAGTCGCTGGCGGCCAGCCCCGCTTTTGGGATCCATCGCAGCAGTTCGACACCTGGTGTTTCGAAGCACAGACCCTCGGTCTTTCGTCTTGGACCAAGACCAGGAAAGCGATATGGCTAGCGGGTGTGCTAATGCCAAGGTCGGCCAATCCTGCCCTAGGGGTCTACACAACTGCATGCGTTGTGGCGGTGACTAATGCGTGTCCTAAGAAGCCATGAAGTGCATGCCTGCCTGAGCCCGACAGCGTGGCACCGCCGTGTTTTCCATCGCCCAGTGATTCATTGGATGCCTGGGGCCACCGCTTGATGCCGGGCACTCTCTGTGCGGCGCTGATGCTTTCAGGATTGATTCCCTCTTTTGCATTGAAATTTTCTTAGGCTCAGGCAGGCTTACTGAACTTCGTCGTGCAGGGTTCCGAGATAGCATCGGAATCGACCATGTTGCCCCAAAACACATGATTTCTCCGTCAAAACTTGCTAAACTACACCTGCCAAAACGAGAGAGAGGCAGAGAGAGACTGAGAGAGCGCGAGAGCAGCAAGATAATGAGACAGATGCAGAGCGGGAGACTGAGATCGATTCCTACGGTCCTGCTGGAGTCGCTGGCAACAGTCTGAACCTCGGAGCCTTTGATTCATTTTTTAGCCTAGCAGGTTCAGTTCCGGTTTTGTTTTGCTGATGGTTACGTGCTTTTGCATGCCCCTCTCGCCCACCTTAGTCACTCGCTGACTTCGAAAACACCGTCCTCCCCGAGACTTTCGCCTTGTTGCATTTGTTCCGCTCTGCGTATCGGAGGGTTCTGTCTGATTTCCGCTCTCTTTGTTTGTTGCATCACAACCGACGTCGCTTTCGGTCGTACAGTTTTGGTTGCCAAAAGACGCGGCCCTGGGTATATTCCTCACATCCTTAAACCATTTTTTTTTGCAATATGCTTACGTCTCTACTGTTTTCGATGATGTGCTCTGCTCGCTCTCTTTGGGGTGGGTGGGGGGTTGAGTGACGCTCTGTACAATAAACGAAGCTAGAGCACAAGAGAAAACCTTCAAGTCTGAAACCACTTACCCGAACTGCGCAGCAGCAGGAGCATTGCAGAATCCGCAACACACCGCACATATGACATACACCATCCTGATAGCAATCTCAGTGCGAAACATCAGAACAAGCACGAGCCGAAAAGGGATGACAGCGGAGTTGCGAGGATGTGACCCGCAAACACAGGATGAATAACTTTTATCGTCACAGTCATCGCCAGCACCACCGTTGTAAGCCTCGCTGTAGCAAACTAAAGACGTGATCTCATTGCTAATCAAGAGGGATGTGTGAGTGCATAAGCAGGAACAGATGTACACAGTGGTGCAATCGCGGGATTTGAGCCAAGGTGCCCCGACGGTGATGTGAATGGCGTACGGAAGCAAGAGAGAGCCCCGGCGTGAAAATATCCTTCACCCCGGTGCACCTGCCTTTTTGCGCGGATTCTTTGAGCTTGAGGTGAGCTTTATTTGACGCGAGATTGGGACAGGTATGGTCTCACGATGTCAAGCTACGTACTTTTGCGGCTGGTGCAAGGCGCAACCCTCGTCTTTTGCGAACGGAGGGTCGAGCTCAGCGGCTCGGCTCTTTCAGGACCAAGTGCAGCCATTTATTTGCTTTGTTTCAGCACACACAGCCACCCAACATCCACACAGAAGGTGGCCAAAAGGTCGCTCCGTGAACAGCCCGACACCAACCCAAGGTGGTTCACTAGTGAGTACTGATTCAATACACTTCCAGCCCAGATGGCTTTCCGACGTTCAGGATCGGACCCAAGGTAAAGCATTCTTTTCAAGTCAGCTGCCTAAGCCTTCGCAATGGTCGCCGCGAGCGAGGGCGCGGCTGGGTGAGCCTCCGGAAGCTGTTTAAGAGCGGGGAAATGGGTAGGAACCGAAAAGGGTTGCCAAGAGCTCATCACGATTTTGCCAGGTGCATAAGAATGCAATAGTACTTGGGAATCATCAATCGTCTCCTCTCGGTTCGTTGCCAACGAAGCCAGCAGTCCGAGCCCTGAAATGGGATTTGCAGGTCGGACATGTTGTCCGGTCTGATTGCTCCAGGCAACACCCTAGAGCGCCGCAAAGTCAGTTTGCCTCTAGCGGCGAAGGGGTTGAAGAACTTTTTAAAACTATCACGTCGGCATGACTCGTCTGCTTTCGACGACCCGACTCCTCACGCCCTGCGCATCCATGTGAACCACGGAGCCCCCCCTTCTGTTTCAGATGGCAGCTTTGGGCAATCGGTGTCCAGCTTCTCACTCCCTCGGGGTCTCCCTCCATCCAGCAGGATCGGGAAACCAGTGTGTTTGAATTTGTGTATCCGGCCACATGTTGCGCTTGAAGTCGTCGTCGTCAACGAAGCAGTCGCAGTAGCAGAAGCAGGAGCACGGGGTAGGAGTTAGTGTGGCAGTAACCGTGGCGGTAGCCCTACCGGTAGCAGAGCAGTAGGAGTAGCAGTAGTAGCAGTAGCAGAAGAAGTAACAGCAGGAGCAGCAGAAGCCGTAGCAGTAGCAGTAGCTGTAGCACTAGCGGTAGCAGCCTAGTAGCAGCAGTAGCAGTAGTAGCGGCAGTAGCAGCAGTAGTAGCGGTAGTACCAGCAGTAGCAGTAGTAGCAGTCGTAGCAGTAGTAGCAGGAGCAGGAGCAGTAGGAGTAGGAGTAGGAGTAGGAGTAGGCGTAGGCGTAGCCGTAGGAGTAGGAGTAGGCAGCGCTGCTAATGAGCTAGTAGCAATGTTGGGAGTGGCAGAGGCAGGATGTGTAACCCACGTGCAAGCAGTTTTGATCTACGAGTTCGGAGTTTTACCGTAGCCAGCGAGAACATGAAACTCACATGAGACTGCAGAACTGTCACTGTTGATCATGGTTGCGAGAGGAGTTGCAGCAGCTCCAGCTTTACTGCCATGGAAATCTGCAGCAACAACACTGACAGCAGTTCCAGAAGCATCGCAAGGAGCAGCAGTGAAAGTGCAAGAGCTTGCACGCCAGGTACGTCTTGGTCCATGTGCTTGAGGTTGTCCACGGGCGTGACCTGAGCGATGTGTCTTGTGAGGCATCGGAGCTTTCCAATTGAGAGCCACACGATAAGCTTGCACAAGGAAGTGTTGCCGAAGACGCTTGATGCATATGACAGATGATGCTTTGCTTCCTTGTCAGCTCACGCTCGCGGATGCAACGGCGCAGTGTCCTGTGGCTGTCTCAGTTGGATGTTGCCGTAGCTTGGAGCACTAGGTTTCAGGAAGGTCGGGAGGTGACATCGCATACATGTTCAGACACCGTGTTGTGCTGCAAGGTTCCGTCCACTCTGGAGGGTGAGAACATCTTACTGCCAGCACGGACCCCGGAGAATAGAATTTAGAATCTCCTTTAGGGCTGGGGGACATGATCCCACAGTGACTGGGCAGATGGGTGGCATCGAGCCCGTCATTCACGTTCATGCCCGCGATGCTTTGGGCAACTCGGTAGGTGCGGGGGTGCAGGCATGATCAACGACAGCACCCTGCTTCCCTGGGAAGTGCAGGCGTCGTTGTGGTGCCGATCGGTGAACTGGTCGCACTGGAGGCCGAGCGGATGGACCGTTTGACAGACCTTGCCCAAACATCCTGAGTTCGAAGCTTTGGCCGGATCAGGGTTCTGTCGAGCTCAGGCAGAAGTCCTGTGATTCTTGCATTGGAAGGTATGGGACGTCTGGTATGCCATGGATGATGGCAGCGACGAGATGGATGAGAAGCCTGCAGAGGACTTGCCGCGACGAGCCACTGTGCATGGTAAGCTGAAGCATGCTGAAATCTGCCATGAGAGTGCAACCCAGGAGACGCCAAAGATGCATCTGCTGCTGCAGAGCGTACCTGCGGAGGCCGGGCCTGGGGGTGTCAGCCGCGGCGACCGCAGTCACTGGCGCATCTGCTGCAGGCGGCGAGTCAAGAAACCAAGCAAAGCCGAGACATGAGGGCACAGGCTGATGGAAATCCGGTCCGAAGCTTTCAGATCCTGGCCTGCAGCATTGGTTTTCGAGGATTTTCTCCTCAGAGCTCTCCAGCAGCTGAATGCGGCTCTGGAAGCGAAGGCAGGGCAGCATGCACTTTGGCATCTCGGCTTGCGTCTCGAGTACTGTCCCCGATTCGGCTATGTCACTCAAGCTGTCGCGACACAAGCACCTGCGATTCGAGCGCACACGGTTCATGCGCAAGCGACCGAAGAACGCCACTGGTTCAACAGCCGATTCAAGCACATCATGTTCAGGGTTCCGGGTTTGAGCGTTGCATGTTTGGGGGTTTAGGGAGCCAGGGAAAGGATTTCAAAAGTCGGCATGTGCTATTTGGGGCTTGAGGTTTCCAGGTTTTTTAGGGTTTAGGGTCAAGGGCTGGGAGTTTGGAGTTCCCAAAACTAGCCGCCAACCTTGAAGCAGGGATGTTATTGGCCTGCATAGGGCAGGGGTTGTGGATGCTTTACGATGGTTTGTTGGCCTCATTCAAGCAGGCTGTTGTCTTGTCTTCCTCCTCAAGGGCTCTATCATCAGACATGAATGGTGACTCTGCGCAAATCTGGTGGTCACTGTGTGAATCGATGGTGCCGGAATCCGTTGCTTTCAGTGTAGGAATGTCTGGAGAGCGACTCCTCGAAGCCAGTGCACGAACACTCCGCGTGTGTCCGGCACATCCGGCACGAATCTGGTCTTTGGAGTGCACGAATTGGTCTTTTGGTGAACTTCCGTGCGAGAAGCGAAATTTTTCTGCCGTCAGGTTCAGGAGCAGGCCCCAGGTGCATCCGCCTTGCATCACCTGGAGCGCAATGCAAACTGGTGAAACGTGCAGGCAATTCGACGTCAGGCCACTCCACAAGCGCCCCGAGTGCAGGCGGAGCTGCAAGACACCCTTTGTTGCCTGCTTGTTGGCGCACCCCCAAACCTCTATAAACCTCTGCAGTTGAATGTGAAACAGCCTACAGTCCATTCAGGCGGCGCTTCCCGGCCCTCGACAGCGCCAGATCCTTGGGAATCGCGGCACGCTGTGGGCCTCAGCAAGCCCCAAGCGGAGCCCCGCTTAAGGCCCCGCCCTCGCTCCGGCGCCGCCCCGCCGCGCTCCGGCGGAGAGCGCTCCGGCGAGCTGCGGCCGCTGCGCGCGAGCGGATCGCTCGGCCCGCGGAGGCCACCAGGCCGGGCGAGCGTAGCCGAAGCTTCGGCTTTGGCGTGGTCGAGCCTTTTTGCAGGTGCTGGAAATCAAACGCCGCAACAGGCTCGAGCACAGGCCCTGTGAAAAGATTTGTGATGCTGCTGACAATTTTCAGAAGGCATGCAAGTCTCCCTTCTTGTTGATGTCTTGAGTCTTCGGTGTTGCCACGGAAGGATGCCACGCCTGTTCCAGAGCCAAGCAACGGTACGGCGGAGGAAAAAGAGGAGAGGCAGCGCGCCCAGGCACCGCCTCTTTCGCGCACTCTCGGCTCCACTTCGTTTCGCCTTGACGTTTTCGCGTTTTCGACTGCGTTGGTGCAGGAGGAGGCTTTCAAGCTGCGGCTCGAGCCCTACGAGCGGGCGATTTCCGCCATGGAGCAAAAACAGAGGCCGATTTCCGAGATGCTGGTCAATCAAAAGACGTCCGCCTCAGCATACTTCAAGGAACGTTTTCGAATATTCCCTAAAGTTGGAACTTCTTAATTTCTTCCTTCCCTAAACCACTAGCCCGAGTATGATGTAAGTTTAAGGAGCAGTTTATCCGTAATTGTGCGTATTGATCTCGAGTGGTCAGGCTCTATGATGACCAGGAGGCCCGCATCCAGGCTCTCTCGAAGGCACTGGAGGAGCGGAGCAGTCCCACTGCACGGGATACGATCCATTCGATGATTCCTTTGGAGTCTGAGGAGCAGCAAGGGCGGTCTGGGCACCTCGTGGCGCAGCTCCGTGAGGAGGCCGATCGCGCTAAGGCAGAGGCGGGATTGCGAGATCTACGTCCAGGATCTCGGCTGCGCTCTTACGCCCCATCAGGCCGAGCAGGAGCGGGAGTCGCTGCGTGAGGCCGACGCCGCAACATCTTCGGCTCTAAGCGCGGCTCTTTCTCATTCAAGCTTTTTGACTCCCATGTCGGACATGTGCAGCCGTGGGATGTGCCACTGAATGAGCAGGTCACCGCATCGAGGACGCGGCAGCCTCTTTCGGTACTTGTGCTACTGCTGCCGATCGAACCATCCTGGGCCGCATTGCCAAGTCCATCACGATCATATTCAGATGTGTGCACACCGGACGGAACACATGATACATGGCACGGTACTTCAGCGAAGTTTGAGTTTTGGCTCTGCTCCATGAATGCTGGTGACCAGTCATGGGCAATCTAGACTAGGCGACCTCGCCGAATCCATGCGTTGTGCTTCAACCGGGCCCAGAAAACGGAACTGAGCATCGAGGACCTCCGCGCAGCAGCGAGCTGCAGAATTGGAACAGGAGGCTGCATCCATCCGATTTTTCACGGTGTTGTTTGGTCGCGGAAGGGTCTGACAAGTGACAGTCGTGGATTTGTTCGGCATCGGGAATGGGCCAGTATTGCAGTCTCAGTCCCGAGTCCCTGCACATCAGAGCATTCCTCGTTGGCAGGTCGCACTGCGCCGATCTCACGAGGCCGTAGTCTAGTAGTGAGAGTCAAGAGCCCGAGTCCGAGGAGGGACGAGTGGTTTTGGAAAAGTGCACGGAAGTGAATCACTGGCACCTCTCACCTCTTCTCGTCACTTCGAAGCTTGTATTGTTGCATTGCTCTGGTTCGGAGGAGTCGCTCCAACATCGTCTGTCATTGTTGGAGACGCAGGCCTCTGCGGCGCGTGTGCTCAGCTTCTCCCGCCCTCCCTGTGGGCAAGATTTGACCCACTAAGTGGCTGTAGCTCAGGCAAGCCAAAAGAGCTTGGCGGCACAGGCCGTAGAAGAGGAGGCCTCTGCGACAGTTGGGGGGCGAGGAAGATCGAGCACAAAAGCTGGGCAGGCACAAAAAGCTCTGGCGGATGTGGAGGCCTTGAGGAAGCAGAGGCAAAGGCTGCAGGAACAGCTGCAGGCCGGGGACACTGGGCTTTCACATTGACTTCGCTTGTTTCTCGTGCAGGCGGTGGGGGGAGGGGCAGGAGGCAACAGGCGCAAAAACCCCAGAAATCGCATCCAAAGCATCCCGTGCCCAAAATCCTGGACAGACCAGCGACAACCTTGTCAAAATGACAGGTCCTCCTGCCTACCCACTGAAATTGCTTCAAAAAGTTGAAACCTAGAACACGATCGGCATGGGAGGGGCCCTGGAAGGTGGATAAAGGGGGATGAAGGGTGGGTAGAAGGTAAGTATACTGTACCTGATGACACCTGATTCCATGAAGCGGATCCAGACGCATCTGGACGCCCCGGCCTTCGTCCTCGGTGGATGGTCAATGCTTCGCGTCGTCCGCCTCGACAACGAATGTGGTGGGACGCGGGTGTGGGGCGGTGTGTGGGCCGGCGGGGCGGGGCGGGGGGGTGGGAAGAGAAAGCAAAGGGAGCAGAAAGGGGTTCCCGGAAAGGGAAGAAGGCTCTGACCGCTTCGGGGTGAGCGTTAGAGATTCGAGGTCTGAAGCCACTCGTCGTTGCCTGCATCGCGGTTTGCATCTGTGAAACCACGTTCAGTGTTCCATCTTGGAGGATCTTGGCCGCGAGCTTTCTGAGACGCGAGAGGAGAATTGGCAGCTGAAGGAGGACTCCGGTGTCGAGACGCTCCAGTGTTTGCTGTGCAGAACCAGACGTAGACGGGTGCCCTTGCAAGCGTGCCCGCTGTGCGGAGGACCGCGGCCATGAAGTCGAGAAGGCAGGTCAGTGTAAGGGTCGACGAAGGGTGCCTATCGGCCTGCTGTGCTTGCAAAGAGATGTTGCATGCTGCCAGGCACGTTCTATCTGCGAACGTGAAATCCTCGCCAAGGATGCCGAGAACATGCTGTCAAACTTTTGCTTAGGCGGTCTGTGCTATCTGTCTAGCAGCCCGTATGTGTTTACACAACCTAGCATCCATCGAGTTTGCCGTCTTGACGATCCTAGACCTACGCATGGCATGGTGATTAAGAAGCACGCCGCTCATACTGCACGTAGTCTATAGTTGTTGGCTGTGGGCCTTGTCAGGGTGGCCTGAGTGTTAAATGCATCGCATGGCTTCTGCAGGAGAGCATGCAGCTTGAAGTGCTTCAGCTGCAAGACCAGCTGCGCGATAAGGTCCGGCAACGAAGTCCCTTGCTGCTTGAGCGCTCATGGACCTGAAAGCGAACTTCCTGAGGAGGCGGAGGCGCGCTTGGCGCTGGAGCGCGCCGAGGGTTCCCAGCGCCGTGTGGAGACCCTGGAAGCGGAGGCTCTGCTTTCACGACAATTGCTTGAACTGGCTTGCAGGTCGTGGCACGTGTCATAAATGTGCAGAGGTGACTTCGCTTCAATCTCTGCTGGCGCGGGAAAGGCGAGAGTCGAGTGTAGAGCTCCCCCAAGCAGTGAGGGGTGGTCTCGACTCGACGCGGCAAAGGCAGCACCGAGCAGAGCTCGACCAGAAGCTCAACGAGACGGAGAGAAGTCTCTAGCTGTTTGCCTGCAGAATCCTGCGGATGTTGGGCCACTAGTTGGGAGTGTCGGCGAGGAGATGCAGAAGCTCCATTCTACGCTGGATGCCCGAAGCTCAGGGAATCTACGGTCGCTCCCAAAGCCCAAAGCCCCTGCAAAGTTGTCTTCGTTCTCTGAGGAGCATCGTGTCCTGGTCCGGGGTCTCAGGCTCGACCTGGATAAGGCCAGGGCATGGAGGTCTTTCGCAGTGAAGTCCTGTTCACGGGTCTTGTACCGAACGCCAGGCTCGACGCGAGCTCAGCGACGAGCGAGGCCGGGTCTTTGGGAGCGGAGGGTCAGAGCACTCGGCTTCTCCCAGATTCGTCCGGATCGCCTTCGGTCGGCGCGGGCAGCGTCGTGCCCTGGCGGCCGAGAGCATCTGCCACCTTCCCGGGTTTCGGCTCAAGGCATTTGCCGCGCTTCGTGCTTCGTGCCCTTGTCCTTGGCTGCTCTCGTGGAAATGGCTTCGCAGGGATACAAGGCAGAGGTGGCCCCCGCCGTGACAGAGGTGACGAACACCCATGCAGTCAAAGCGCAGAAGACGCGAGTCTCGGAGGAGTTCAAAGAGCTGGAGAAGAGCGACCCCCTGCTCAAGGAGAACCCTCGCCGCTGGGTCATGTTCCCTCTGCAGCACCCAGAAGTCGGGCACTGAGTCTGTTCCCTAGCTCGCCTGTGCTCGCCTCACGAGCAAGGAGGTGTGTGTTACCTTGGAAAGCGAGTGTCGCGAGTTCCACGGTCAGGTCTGGGAGATGTACAAGAAGCACGAGGCTTCTTTCTGGACGGCGGAGGAGATCGACCTGGCGCAGGACAACAAGGACTGGATGACCATGAACGAAGGCGAGCAGCACTTCGTGAAGCACGTCTTGGCCTTCTTTGCTGCGTCTGACGGAATCGTGCTCGAGAACCTCGCCGCGCAGTTCTCCACGGAGGTGCAGATTCCTGAGGCCAGGGCATTCTACGGCTTCCAGATCGCCATGGAGAACATCCATTCCGAGACGTACTCGCTCCTGATTGAGCAGTACATCAAGGACCCTGCGGAGAAAGACAGCCTTTTCGATGCCATCCACACCATGCCGGCCGTTCAGCAGAAGGCTCTGTGGGCTGTGCAGTGGATGAACCGTGAGAGCAGCTTCACCGAGCGATTGGTGGCTTTTGCTGCTGTAGAGGGCATCCTCTTCAGCGGCTCCTTCTGTGCCCTCTTCTGGCTGAAGAAGCGCGGCCTGATGCCTGGCCTAACCTTCTCCAACGAGCTCATCTCCCGCGACGAGGGCCTGCACGCGGACTTTGCGTGCCTGCTCTACGGCATGCTGGAGCACAAGCTTCCAGAAGATGTCGTTCACGAGATGATCCGCGGCGCGGTGGAGGTGGAGCGGGAGTTCATCTGCGGGGCCCTGTCCTGCGATTTGATCGGCATGAACAAAGACCTGATGACCCAGTACATCGAGTTCGTGGCAGACCGCTTGTTGACGGCACTGGGACACAGCAAGATCTTCAACTCGTCCAACCCCTTCGACTGGATGGAGATGATCTCCCTGCAGGGCAAGACCAACTTCTTCGAGAAGCGCGTGGGAGAGTACCAGCGCCTGGGCTTGAGAAAGAGAGCCCTGCTTGTGTTGCTCTTTGCTGGGACCGTTAGGAATTCGGAGGCTGCTCGGATCTAGTTTCTGTTGGGCCTTTCAGGGTGTGGTTCTCTTATTCGGGGGGTGTGTTCCCTGGTCGCCAGGAAGGCGGGGGTCATGGCGGGGCAGTCTGATCCTCTGACAGCCTTCGCGCTGGACAAAGACTTCTGAAGGTTCTGAGACCGCTGAAAGCGGAAGCGGATGGAAGCTGATGGAAGCTGATGGAAGCTGGGGATGGCCAATCGGCATCAATCAACGATTCTTGCAGATTGCCGCTGCTTCCTGCTGTACGTAGTTTTGCTTATGTGTTTTTTGGGCTGCTGCTGGAATGTGTTGTCTGAACACCCAGATGTGGTGTGCAGCAGCTCATGGGAGCCAGCAGTGCACAGAGTAGCTTTCCTTAGACGCAGTGCTGCCTTCTGTGAGGTAGTTCTGCGGAGTGACCTTTGCAAGATTTGCAGGCAGCGGTCCAAGCTGGATGCTGGTAGCCGCCCTGGCTGGCATGCAGCTCCGACCAAGCTTTTAGGACTTGGCTGCGCCTGTCCTCTCCGCGCCGCGATGCGCCGTTCCAAAAGCGCCAGCACGTGCCTGTAGCCAATGCAGTCGTCCTGAAGATCGGGAGCCTGTCCTGCTTGCAGGCCGGTCGAACGCCATGGAGACGGAGATGGCGGCTGCAAAGAAGGAGGGCACCCTGCGCATGGCGCAAATTGGGGGGAGTCAGGGTTTTCGGAGACCGCAGACTCACAGACCCACGGATTCCGTCAAGAAAGGCCTGAAAGCAGGAGAGAAGTCTGACACAAGAGTTTGGGTTTCCGAGGTTCTGTGAGATGCTGTGGGGCTCGGTCTTGAGGAGCTCGTCCGTGGCCAGCGGCAGCTGGAAGAGCTCCAGCTGGGAACTCAAAGAGCAGAAACCTTCTGCGATGCGTCGGGTCCTGGGTCCAGGAGCCAGTCCTTCGCGCAGGAGGAACTCCGCGAGGCCGGAGGATGCCGGAGGATGTGGCTTTGAACTTTTAATGCCGGTCTGTGGGTTCCCTTCCCACGTCTGAGGAGCTCCGATCTCTCGGAGAGCGAAACGAAGTGCCCGCCTCAGGGGCTCTGAGGAGGCCCAGAGCGACGCTGACGTGAGATTTTGTCGCGTGAAAGTCTCTTCACAAGTCCCTGGTTTCTCCAAGGCTTTGAGGGAGCAGCTGCGGACTCTGCACCAGGAGATTCGCCGGCTTTGGGCCCTTGGGCGAGTGTCGTCGCATTCTCGGCACGCTGTGTCTGCGTCACTCGGTGCCGTGCGCAGGAGACCCGGAAGGTCTCGGAGCGCGTGGACCGCGAGGCAGTGGCCGAGCGGCCGAGCCAGCGGTTGCTGAGGTGTTGGGTGGGGTTTGAAGCTCTGTCCGGAAGGTCGCGGACCACATCGAGGTGCAGCGCCACGACGTTGAGGCGCGGAGCTGTTAACGAGCTGTTCGAGTCGCGGTTTCTGAAGCGGTGGTCCTTTGCGGAGGCCAACAAGGCGAAGCTCGGGGACTCGTCCGAGCCAGCGGCCCAGGGATGAGCTGCGCTCGGAGCTCCGAAGCTCTCGCCCTTGTCCTCTGCTGCGCTCTGCCAGGATCCGTCGCCAGTTGGCCCAAGCCTCGAGCCGTTCCCAGGCACCGCGCACCGCAAGGGCGGCCTTGTGCGTGAGATGTTGGATGCCCGCAGGAGCTCCAGACGCTGAAGGCGAGTCGCAAGTGCTCTGCGCCGCTTCGCCGCCACGCCGTGCATGCTGCGTTCTCTGCGTGTAGCCGACTGCGAGGACCAGAGCGAGCGGGCCCTGGAGGCATCCAAGAAGAGCAGCCACCGCACGGAGGAGCAGCATGGAGCGTGGAGCATCTTTTCGTGCCTGGGAAGTTGCTTAGATGAGTTGCAATCCGCAGCTGGCTTACAGCTGCATGACAGGACTTGGCACGGCAGCTGCATCAGCTTCAGGAGGACAGGTCCATGGCTTCCTTGGCTTCGCTAGTGGCTAGGCGGCCAGAGACCACAGCCGATAAGTCTGAGCGCAGGACCTGGGGGCCTCGCTCCGCGAGCGCAACCAGCTCCACGAGGCGGTGGAGCAGCTCACGGTGCAGTTCCGCGCGCGGGGCCCAGAGCTGAAGCCGCCGGCACGGCCGCCGCCATGGCAGAGCAGCCCCCGAGTCCCCGCTGTGTACTTAGGAGGACGTCTTCCGCCAATCGCAGCGCCACCTGGAGCTCGAGGGTCTCATCGAGGCAGTGATCCGAAGCTGTCTGCAAATCAAGATACTCAAGGGATGAAAGGCAACAAAAGGGTTCACGAACCAGTTTGACAGATCAAGCAGGACCGGAACAACGAGATCAAGCTGCTGATGTACAGGCTGCAGGACGGGCTAGCTGCCAGCAGAGGGGTACACTGAAAGCTGCACATGCTTGTCTACTATTTGCTTAAGAACCCCCAAAAAATAAAAAATATATTCCTTATGGGGGTAATATAGGGATTATTATTTTATTTTTTGGGGTTTCTTAAGCAATTAGTAGTTGTTCCAGTAACACCATGGGAAAGCCGGGAGATACTGTATGTAACAGTGACAAGGCTTTCTCACGAAGGAGGATCCGGGTTGATTCCCAGAATTCTTCCCAGGAGCTCCGATGCTTAAAGACTAATTACCAACGATTTCGTAAGGAGGATGCACGGCACGAAGGAAACGACATCCAGAATTGTCAACGAAGCCATCAACGGGATCAACGTGGAATGGAAAAGGAGAAAGGAGCGCTGAAGGGAAGATTGCAGTACGACTGAACAGCTGGGAAATGCCGTTATGGGATATGTGTCTAACACGATTCACACTCCACCCGAAATGGTCACATGTCTAAAGCATTTGAGACATGTTTTGATAAGGTGCCATTGAACTCAACGGGATTGGGAGGCACCATGAGGCACCTGCGCCTGACGGGGAGACTCTGACGGGAGGCTTGTCGTGCCGGCAAGGCCAGGATTGCCCACCCCGTCTAGAGGGAGTCTGAGGGAAAACATGGGGCCTCAGGGAAACTCTGTTGCGGAAACCTCTTTAAACAGCCGTTCAGGTAGCCTCCTCACGTACGGAGCTTTGGGCCTTCCGTCCTCCCATAAGCGCGGCTCTCTGCCCCTCGCAGAACATGCAGATTTTCAGGGGCCTTTCGTCGCCTCCTCGTAGCTCTACCCCGAGCTGGTCGCCTACGGTTAATGTTAGGGTTTAGGCTAACCAGTTCCATGTTCAATGGGCTAGGCAAGTTCACGGCTTGTAGGGTTTGGGAGTAAGGGTTTCGGTTTGAGAACTAAAGTTGAGGGCTTCGGGCCTGGACTTAGGGTTTATGCTTCGGGGGGATGGGGTGAGGGTTTAAGGGCTAGGATTAGGATCGCGCGGGGTTAGGGATAGGTTTGGGGGATGTCGGGTTTGGGTTCAGATGTAGGAGTTAGTGTTGGGTTTGCGGGATGCGCTTTTGAGTTTTTCGGGCGGTTTAGGTTTAGTATGGAGTTTCAGGTTTAAGGTTTCGGGCTTTCAAGCAGCCGACAAGAAACTGAAAAGCAAGATGCAGTGCGAATGCTGCACGCAATACAAGAAACAAGGCGCATTAAACACAAACAAGAAAGACGCAGTTCCCGCGCTTGCCTCTGCTGTCTCAGTTCCATGGCAAGAAATTATGATGCCAACAGTTATGATGGGGCAATTCGGGGTAAACTTCGCATGGCGGCATGTCCTTGAGAGCCAGCCCCAGCAACCGCACTCGGAACAACTTTGTTAGGGAAGTTTCTGGTTTTGGGTCACCAGCTACTCAGACGCGGTGGCAAGTCACGAGTTTCAGCCCATCTGTTTTCCAATCTGCTCTGTCCGTGTCCTCTTGCCAGTCCCGGTTATCTTCCCGGCTGCCCCTGTTTCTCCAGGCTCGTGATTTCGAAAATGTGCCCTGAGAGGGTTCGTGGAAGTCATTTCAGCATTTTTGTATTCCTTCCTTTCCTGCGGCCAAGGGCCGTTCTGTGCATGTTTCCAGCAATGCCAACCCGAAGTCCAGGAGCTTTCCTCGAGGTATGTGCCGGTGAAGGCGGATGCGACTTGGGTTCAACAGCGTCGTACTCGTGGAAGCCCGCCGTCGACGGTTTTCTGACCGACTGCTGAGGCGGAGGCAATTCTTGAGATTGGTGCCTTCTCCCATTCACCATGTTCGGGATTCGCCCGACCGGTCGGGCTGAGGCCACGGACATGGTTCTCTCGAGGTGGATCAACGGCTACCGGCAGCGCCGCTCAGAGTGCAGCGTGTGCAGCAGCGTGCAGAGAGAGAACGAAGCATTGCAAAGTTCACCCGAGCCGAGGCCGGCAGTTCCTTTCTTCCGCTTGGCACAGGGGCTCTACCTCTTTGGCCGGCGCCAGGTGGGGCCCTGCGGTCTGCTGCCGCCTCTAAAGTTGCTTTCGTTGCTTAGATGGCTGTTTAAAGGTTGTCTGCAAGATTTCCAACGACAAGCCGGTGTTTCGCATCGGTGGAGGCTTCGTAGGTGCCAGTCTTAGACATCTAGGGCAGGGTTGCTTCTCCGGCTGAGCTCGGCCGAGGATTTGAGAAGTTCCTCGAGCAGTTTGCCGCGGAGGCATGAAGGGTTGCGAGTGCCTCAATTGGAGCAGATTGCTGGCCAGGAGCTCGAGAGACTTCTGACCTACGAGTTGGCGAAGATCTTAGCAGCGAGTGGAGTCAGCCCTTCCCTTCTGCGGAGCGGGGCACCGCGGCACATTCGTAAGGATGAGAAGACAGGCGAGCCCAAGTTCCTGGTGGTCGGGGCCTCCGAAACACCCACACGTGCCTCTCTTTTCAGCAGTCGCAGAGTCACAGACGTTATTTTTCAACTGACTGAGGCGAAACAGCTCCTCGAGGAGTCCGGCGTGGTGGAGGCGAGAGAGAAGACGGCTGCTGCGATGCAGCTGCGATGCCCTGGCCTTTCTCGACCATGCTCAGGAGATCCGGCAGAAGGTCACGGAGGATGTGCAGCGCGGCAAGACAGGCGCGATGAACAAATTCGTCAGCTCTGCCAGCTTGATCCATCAACGTCTGCAAATCTTGCTTGACTAGACCCGAGTGCCCTGCAGTGCGCTGCGAGGACTGCAGAGCAGCATGAGCAAGAAATCTTTGAATTCGTCGAGGGGCAGCCTGTGAGGCTGCCATCGGCTTTGGCCTCCCGTGGAAAAGGCGTTGTGTAAGGTTTCACTTCGCAGCTTCGCATTCGCGATCGCTTGTCCAGAGCACGTCTGCACAGAAAGTTTCAATGCCACGTGCAGATAACTTCGATGAGTGTCTGGCGAATGCTCAGGGCAAGCCATCGTTTGGCATCCTAGGCTCCTGGGTATGCCTGGCATCGCTATGACAGGCGGATTCCATTGCAAATGCTTCGAAAAACATGTCCCGGCCTTCCCGACAAGGTATCAAAGCCCAACTTGAAACGGGATTACAAGGGCAGTGTGCAGCAGGATGTACTTCACAGAGCAGCCCCAGACAAACCGAGCTGGAAAGGCTTGAGCTCCGTGCGCCTCTAACGAGTCGAGGCGTTGAGGTGCTGGTGGGTGCTGGTGAGGTGGGCAGTGGCGGTGTATCTCTCGCACAGTCCCACGGTTTGTCAACCAGACTCATGCCACCCTTCGGGTTGTCCTAAGCTCAAGCCTGGTGTGGCGACGTGAAGATCCTCCCCTCGGTGTCCTCCTAACTAATCCTGTAGGACTGAGCTTCAACTGGATTTTCCTTGTGCAAGGGACGCCCAGGGAAGCCAGAAGTTGGACACGGAACATGGAAGTTCGCGCCAGACGGGATTGCGCTGCGAAAGCCTCTCACGAGCGAGGCCGGGTCTGCGAAAAGCGGAGGGTCAGCGAGCACTCGGCTTCTCCCAGATTCGTCCGCGGATCGTTTTGGGTCGGCGCGGGCAGCGTTGTGCCCTGGCGGCCGAGCATCTGCCACCTTCCCGGGTTTCGGCTCAAGGCATTTGCCGCGCTTCGTGCTTCGTGCCCTTGTCCTTGGCTGCTCTCGTGGAAATGGCTTCGCAGGGATACAAGGCAGAGGTGGCCCCCGCCGTGACAGAGGTGACGAACACCCATGCAGTCAAAGCGCAGAAGACGCGAGTCTCGGAGGAGTTCAAAGAGCTGGAGAAGAACGACCCCCTGCTCAAGGAGAACCCTCGCCGCTGGGTCATGTTCCCGCTGCAGCACCCAGAAGTCGGGCACTGAGTCTGTTCCATAGCTCGCCTGTGCTCGCCTCACGAGCACGGGGGTGCGTGTTACCTTGGAAAGCGAGTGTCGCGAGTTCCACGGTCAGGTCTGGGAGATGTACAAGAAGCACGAGGCTTCTTTCTGGACGGCGGAGGAGATCGACCTGGCGCAGGACAACAAGGACTGGGTGACCATGAACGAAGGCGAGCAGCACTTCGTGAAGCATGTCTTGGCCTTCTTTGCTGCGTCTGACGGAATCGTGCTCGAGAACCTCGCCGCGCAGTTCTCCACGGAGGTGCAGATTCCTGAGGCCAGGGCATTCTACGGCTTCCAGATCGCCATGGAGAACATCCATTCCGAGACGTACTCGCTCCTGATTGAGCAGTACATCAAGGACCCTGCGGAGAAAGACAGCCTTTTCGATGCCATCCACACCATGCCGGCCGTTCAGCAGAAAGCTCTGTGGGCTGTGCAGTGGATGAACCGTGAGAGCAGCTTCACCGAGCGATTGGTGGCTTTTGCTGCCGTAGAGGGCATCCTCTTCAGCGGCTCCTTCTGCGCCCTCTTCTGGCTGAAGAAGCGCGGCCTGATGCCTGGCCTAACCTTCTCCAACGAGCTCATCTCCCGCGACGAGGGCCTGCACGCGGACTTTGCGTGCCTGCTCTACGGCATGCTGGAGCACAAGCTTCCAGAAGATGTCGTTCACGAGATGATCCGCGGCGCGGTGGAGGTGGAGCGGGAGTTCATCTGCGGGGCCCTGTCCTGCGATTTGATCGGCATGAACAAAGACCTGATGACCCAGTACATCGAGTTCGTGGCAGACCGCTTGTTGACGGCACTGGGACACAGCAAGATCTTCAACTCGTCCAACCCCTTCGACTGGATGGAGATGATCTCCCTGCAGGGCAAGACCAACTTCTTCGAGAAGCGCGTGGGAGAGTACCAGCGCCTGGGCTTGAGAAAGAGAGCCCTGCTTGCGTTGCTCTTTGCTGGGACCGTTAGAAATTCGGAGGCTGCTCGGATCTAGTTTCTGTTGGGCCTTTCAGGGTGTGGTTCTCTTATTCGGGGGGTGTGTTCCCCTGGTCGCCAGGAAGGCGGGGGTCATGGCGGGGCAGTCTGATCCTCTGACAGCCTTTGCGCTGGACAAAGACTTCTGAAGGTTCTGAGACCGCTGAAAGCGGAAGCGGATGGAAGCTGATGGAAGCTGGGGATGGCCAATCGGCATCAATCAACGATTCTTGCAGATTGCCGCTGCTTCTTGTACGTAGTTTTGCTTATGTGTTTTTTGGGCTGCTGCTGGAATGTGTTGTCTGAACACCCAGATGTGGTGTGCAGCAGCTCATGGGAGCCAGCAGTGGAGAGAATAGCTTTCCTTAGACGCAGTGCTGCCTTCTGTGAGGTAGTTCTGCGGAGTGACCTTTGCAAGATTTGCAGGCAGCGGTTCAAGCTGGATGCTGGTAGCCGCCCTGGCTGGCATGCAGCTCCGACCAAACTTTTAGGACTTTGCTGCGCCTGTCCTCTCCGCGCCGCGATGCGCCGTTCCAAAAGCGCCAGCACGTGCCTGTAGCCACTGCAGTCGTCCTGAAGATCGGGAGCCTGTCCTGCCTGCAGGCCGGTCGAACGCCATGGAGACGGAGATGGCGGCGAAGGACTCGGCTGGAGCTTGAGACTCGCTCATGGCTTTAAATTCCCGAAACTTCCGTAAACATCCTTAACAAAACACTCTAGAAGTCTCGATCTGATGGCGGCATATATTGGCATGCCAGATGCATCAGAGTCCTGCTGCGATGAAAGTTTCCATGACCTAGAGTTGTGGATTTGGTGCTAATGATGCATGTGTTCTACGTCCTACTTTCGCCGCCGCTTTTCACTTCGGAGCACTTCACTTTCCCGCGCAACGCGTCTCCCAGGCCGGAGCTCTGCACGTTAGGCAGTTACATCCCTGGCATCATTGTCATTGAGAGCTGCATGATGTCATGCCGACCTTCAACTGCAGTTGGTTTTCCTCCCCGTGATTGCGCCAGTTGGATGCATGGCGTCTACGCGCCAGAACCGAAGAGGCCATCATGTCTGAAAGCAACCAGGAGTTGTGCATGTTCTCGAACTTCTTCTGCAAGCGCTGCTGCAATCTAATTAGCAGGCTCTGCTGCAAGGCTCGGCTTTGCTGCAAGGCTCGGCTCGACAGAATTGCTGCATGCGCCTCTCTCGGCAAGCGACCTGTAACAATATCGTACGAACATGCAGGGGTTTCCTCAAAGCCTGAAGAAGTCTTCCTCCTCAACTCATCGCCTCCATCGCCTCGCCGGGCAATGCTAAAGCTTGTCTGGTTTCTCTGGAGCTACCTCCCGACGCTTGCCTGGTTGGTCTATTTGCTGTGGCGAAAGCATTTTTTGGAAGGTCCTTGTTCGGCCTTCGGGGTCTGTAATCTCCGGTGCATGCCGTGTTCCCTTAGCTTGTTCTGTGCAGGTCCGTGCCCCAAGTCTGCCCACGTCCTGGTAGTCTTCGTCAGTGTGAGCGCTGTCTCTGTGATACAGTTACGGAGAAGCCTCTTTTGCCTCGCAAGGGCAAGGGTGTTCACACCCACAGGCAGTCAATCAATCACTGAATCAATCGGCCTTTGGGAATCCTGCCAAGATCTCAGCCCAGCTCATCCAAGGGCGCTGGCTTGGAAGGAGGTCTTGCTGCCAGAGCATACTGCAGCTCAGCGGCAGGAGCGCAGGCGACGATAGTCCGAAGATCTGGGTCTTATGCCGCACGAAGCCAAGGTAGAGCTGACGGGGGGAAATGACGATCCTCTGAAGACACCGGGACAGCAAACGGTTGACACGTGGTGGGTGAGACTTTCCGAACTGAGGACCAAGCCTGAAAGATCCCATAGAGAGCCAGATTTCCCTTGGCAGTTGACACGCTGAGTCTATCTGAGGACATGGATGGGTTCCCTAAAGCTGCGTGGCCAAAGCTGATCAGAATGCCTTCTTTTAGACATTTGGGACGTCTTGGGTTCCTTGAGAAGAGCTGCAAGCAGCCTGTAGCCCACCACAATTTCCTTGCAGGTTCCGAGTGGAGTCCAACGAATCTCCGACAGCAACGAATGGGTCCTTCCTGATGTCTGCTGTTGCATTGACTTCGCTTCGAGATCCTTTTGCAATATACTATACTAGAATTACTATACTATAGTTTACTATACTGTAGTATGCTATTAATATATTGCATTCGCTGGTCAGATTATTGGTGGCCAGCCTGTCTGTCGGCCGAGGAAACACATGCCAATGTGGCCGGGGGGGTGATGTCCTTCCAGTTTCATGATGTCTGGTGCTACGACATGTGGCTTGGAATGAATACGGTGTCCCAATAAATGTGATATTTCCGGGCGAACATATGTGGCCGTTTCTCACGCTTACTAATTGATTTCCGAAGTGCCTTGATTCACCAGTGCACCATTTTGCGTTTGACTTCTCATGTTTGGAATCCAACTCTTCGATTTGACTCCATGCTGCAATGTAGCTCTGAAAAGAGCGTGTCGTGTTTGCGGCCAGAACCTTCGAGACAATCGACACGCGCAAGAAGAGCCAGGCTCGAGACATCGTCTTCTATTTGGGCTTGAGTTCTCAGTTCATGCCACTGCCGGGCTTTGAAGTCTGAGTGGCGCACTATCGTTTAGCTAACAAGACAGGGAGAGGCCACCTCAAAGGTGCCAGAAGTGTTGCCAAATTGCTGTTTGGGGGCATGACCTTTTGTTGCAGGGCGGAGTTGCAGAGCGTGTCCTTCATTCGTCAGCTTCATATGCTCACCCCAGCCAGGGCACCGGATTGCGAATTGAGTTCTCCGGCGTGGGCTTGACCTGCAAGGGAAAGTGGAAAACCACAGGGTGCCTTGGCGGCTCTGTGGTGTCGTGGATGCAGTCTGACGGTGGACATCTTTTTTCCTGGTTCCTGCTTTCGCTGAGTCGCACTAGTTCGGCGTAGCTGCATGGAGTCTTGAATGATCGGGTTCCGTGCTAAGCGAAACCACAGTGTCATGCTGTATGCCTTCATTGGTTAAGGTCGCTGAGCTGGCTGGTCGTAGGAGCCGCCTGCAATCACTATTGTGTCCATGGTGATCAATGCGCAACTTAGCTGACGTATTGTGCCCGGAAGTTGCAGACTCTGAAACCTGTGGAGGAGATGGAACCATCACTGCCACGATAGATACCAGCAAGACCAACAAAGCTACGGCTCAATTCTACCTGTACGGCATCGACAGTGCGAACAGATTCGACTTTGTCGAAACGGACTACTGCTATGCAGACTCTCGGCTGCACTGTTTGTGGACAGGGGGTCGACATCTGGTATTGTAGAATCGTAGAAGAGCTGCAACAGATGGACATTAGCGATATTGCCCAATAGTGAGCCTACGGGGAGAATGTGAGGATCCTTGACAACGTAGGATCATGTACGTTTAGAGGAAGGGGCTCTGTTGTGACCCGTGCTCTTGCACGTTACATCGATTCTTGTGACGAGCTTACAAGTCCTAAAACAATGTCGGCATTGTGATTTGGAAGCATTTGCCGTGCCGTGTAAGTTGCAGAGGAATGTCACATCGTACATACGTGCAAAATATGGAAAAGATGCTTTGCGTCCGGTCAGTTGGCTGGCAACTTCCGATGTCGTTTCGGGAGCAGAAAAGCTCCAGAAAAGACATATGTCCAATTGACCAGAAACACGATCTTCCGTCACACTAAATTCACTAGGTATGGCTGGCATCGTTGCGCAGGGCGTTAGCTTGCACTGGCAGCAACAGCTTTGTCGCATCACAGTATCGCAGAAGTGAAGAAGGGCTCGAAAGTTTCTGTGCCAACCCTACCCGGCCTGAGGGGCAGCATGCTTCCATGCCCACGCAGCAGAAATTGCTCAAAGAAGATAATACTTTGCTGGGTTACGGCCGCGTCTCTTGTGTGCTGCAAGCTGGTTGACAAAAGACGTGAAGCATGTGACATGCAGTCAAATAGCCTGGCCATCTTGCCTTCGAGAAGACTTGTGGTGTAACCCGATGTAGTTCCACTTGGACAGTTGGAGACCGCCTGCATATCAAGCATCGTCACAGCAAAGAGTGCAATCTCCCTCAACTTACAGGTCCCTTTCGAGTCATGTCTGCCTCTAGCCTTTCAGAACGTGCAGGACTTGAACCTCCATATCGACTTGAAAGGGGGCCTGGCAGTCTTCGCCATCAACTCGCTGGCGAAGGCCTTCCGGGGCACCTTGAGCGAGCCCCTCGCATGAGAGGAAAGAGCTTGCTGCTTGCAGATCATGGGGCCGCTCATGCTGATCGTTTTCTCACAGTCATGACGCTAAGGCTCATGAAGGGTCAGATCCAATCGAAGGCAGCCTAGTTGCAGCAAGGACAGTTCGTGGCCACACCTGGAGTGGTCGCACTTGCAGACACACCCTGGCTTCTTGTTGCCTGCGAGAGTTGAATCGTGCCAGCATAGCGGCATTCTGCTAGCACTCGATACATTTTGCACCCTTCCGATGCACATGTGATCATCCTCAGTTCAAGGATCACCCAGGTGCAGCTCACAGCAAAACGATCGAAAGCGTAGTTAATTGGGATGTACTGGAGTCACAACTGCATCCTGGTACCTCGTTGCTACGAGCAGGTGGCCGAGGTTGCACTTCGGGTACGCAGACTAGTTGACGGACCTTCGTGAAGCAGGCCTCTCTGAAGGCCTCTGCAGGCTCAGACGAACGGATTTCGGACGGTTACACGGGTTGCACTTGGGGTTTGGAAGAGCCGGGTGTAGGCGCGATGCCTGCGGATCTCGCAAAGGTCTGTGGCGGGATGCATGAGGAGGTGGCGCCCCAGCTGACGCGACAGCTTGAAGTGCTCAACAAGCTCCCTGTCAGCGGGCTCTGAGGGGCTCTGAGGGACGCTGAGGGGCCGAAGGGAGCGGAGCAGCCACGCAGCAAAGGTTGATTCTCCCTCCATCCCTTCAGCCAGACAGACACGGGCGCCGCTTGAAGGAGGCCGGCTGTGGGTTGTTGCGGGCTGTTGCCCTGCAGGCCGGGAGGAGGCCGGGTCAGGTCTCCCGGTCCCCTGCACCAGGACGACAACAGCTCTGAGCCGGAGCCGGAACTGCCCGTCTCTCTGCCGCAACTACTGCAACATCTGCAACTGCTGCAGCACCAGAGTGCGCTTCTGCAAAGGACCCTGGAAGCGACTCGGATAAGCCTGCTTCTCCTGGGATGGTGGAGCATCGGCGGAAAAGTCAGTTCTTTAGCGTAGAAACCTTGCGTCCTTTCGCTTGATCAAAGCATCAGGAGTTCTTGCTTCAGCCAGAAGTAGACTGTCCGATGGGTTCAACACTGTAGGTCTCTGTAAATCGCCAAGCAGGACTGGACCCAAAGCCCACTGCTGAAATGGGCAAGCTGGATAAACACAGAGGCGGGTTTCAGATCTTCGCCAGGTTTGCAAGTTGCCTCATCATTGTGCAAGGTGCTGCCACCGGATGTCATACACCAACTCTCGCACTGGGCACTGGAAGGACCGTCCTGACTCGGCCCGATTTCCAGACATTCGCATGGCATTGATGAGCTGCGGTTCAAGCTTGAAATCCCTGCGACGACTTTTTCATTGGATCTGCCCATGGGCAGAGTGTTTCTTTAATGCCTTGGTCGCAACACTGGGCGGCATGAAGGTTGAGGTTTCAGGGCGTGAGGGCTCATTATCTAATTATCTGATAAACGACCACACGGATAAAGCATGGTTTATTGTGTTGCCAAGACCGCATGACGGCAGATGACGATGTTCCGAAGCTTTCCTGGGTATGGATGTGATGTTTGAAGCGGGTTAGCTGCAGGCGCGCAGAGCATGTACCTGGACCTACGCGGGCTTCCCCACTTGGAGTGGCTTGCTTCACGATGTGCAGTTTCGTGTACTGGAAGGGTGGGTTGAGCGCCACGCTTTCTGCGTCACTGTTGGACCGGCTTTGGACAGGCAGGGTTTCGTGGCCGACCAGGCAGCCACTGGGCTCCGATTGGGAGTCACAGCAACCAGCCAGCATTTGCAGCACAGCCTTGAATCAAAGCAAGAGCCCAGTGATGGCTGTCGAGGCAACGCTCCAAGAAATTGTGCTCCATGGTGCGCAGAGCCTCAAGGCCTGTGAGCACATGCAAGGGTGCCAGGCCAATTGCCAAACATCGTCAGCGCCCTCGCTTCCCTCATCATCACCCTCGCCCTCACACTCGTCGACATTAGCGTCGCGCTTACCAGCATCACTTTCATCACCCCCTCATCGTCATCCCCGTCACCCTCATAGTAATCGTCACAATTGAACTTGTTGGAAGGATGTTGCTGCATCGAGAAGCACACCAGCAAGAAAACAGCGACCGTAAAGCTGTGAACCTTCCCGAATTTTCTGACGGCGGAGAGTGGCCGCATGGCATGGTTTGTCTTGGGATGCCTTGACCCTTGCAGTGTCTGCTGTGCAGGCCTACTCGATGGAGGCCGTGAGCCCGACGCAGCTACAGTTTTCCACGGAGTTTGGTACAGAGGCCACTCATCCTTCTCCACTTCTTTTCCTAAATGTGGCAGCGCCTATGCGCCTATGCGCAAAAGTATCCTCTTGCGTTAGACCGCCTCGAGCTTGGACTTTATATGTGTGCACAGTGAGCTGCACGACCTGGGCGCTCTAAAGTTTCCGAAGCCAGACGCGACCGTGCCCGCCGCGTCCCCCACGAGGAGCAGCCGAATGTGGGCTTGGCCGCGAAGTTTTTGATCCGCCTTCAGGCTCAGGCAAAGCCCCTCTTTAGCCCTTCGCGAGACTCAAATGTGGAAAGATTTAGGGTTTAGGGTTCCCTAAACCCTAAACTCAACAGGATGCAGATCAGTGGCGGTGGTGGTCGCATGATGCGGTTTCGCACGTAGAGGAGGAGATCGGCGGCTTGCCTCCAAGCTTGAGGACACGATCATGGAACGCTTGGGCTTTGGGCTTGGGGTTCAGGTCAATACGTTAAAGAGTGTACTGCTTCTCAACACTCATGGAAGGCCTATCCGACCTTGCCGTTGCCGCATGGTTGAGGATGTTTCTCTGAGGCCTCAATCTCGCCATCACGAGACCGCGTTCCCGACTCCAGGTGCGGTTCCTGTGCCGTGTGTTGTTGGTGGGATTGTGTCTGTGAGATGTCTAACACAGAATGGAAGAGCATGACCAACATATTGATCGAGTTGACACTGCTTGCAACATCCGAAAAGCAGCAATCGAAAGCAAGATGTCCAGGCTCGAGTGATGTGTAAAGACGATCCGACCACACCGCTGTATACTGCAAGCCAGTGGTTTTGGGCGCCTCGGTCGAAGCAGGGGTGACTGCCTCGGCGCATTGAGCAACAGAATTTGCCCCCTAGCCCAGGACCCCATCAATTGCGCAAGGAGCCTGTTCGTGGAGGCCTCCGGGTACTAGTAGTTGACCGTGCAGAGCAAGTTCCGCGTGCCAGGCGCCCGTCCTCGAGAAGCAGAATCTGACTTTCGAGGGCATCGCCACACCACTGCAGCTTGGCTCCGCGAGAGACGAGGACTTGTCGTTTTCGGATCTTTGCCCATGAACCCTTGGCGCCAGGTCCTGGACTGCGATAACTCCGGGAATTCTGGAAAAGGATTTGTCAACTCTCTTCAACGAACTCGTCAGTTTGTTCAACGACTTGTACGAGGCTGCGGGGGTGTGCTTGCAGAAGCTTGCAGCAAGAACTTAAAAGCAGCTACTGCATGTAGATCGACGAGAATTCGAAGAACCGCACAGCATGTCTTGGCATTTGCATTTGGCATATTTTGGCATCGTCTGTCCCGCAGGCTCACCTTCCGGATGCTCTGACTCGTATCTTGGCAAGAGAGCTTTCCCGCACGAAGGGTGGGTGAGCATGCAGTAAATCCTCGCTGACAGGCCTGGCGGCCAGCGAGGATGGCCTCAAGGTGGGCGCTGTCCGACGTTGAAGTGCACGGATCTAATGATCTAATGCTTCATCCACCTTGGGAGGTGGTGAACACTGCGCTGGCGAAGTTGGCAAAGCCCACTCAGTGCATTGCCTTGGACGATGCGAACAACAAGACGCAGGGATTCTCTGCCGCAAATCCTGTTGTGCTGAGCCTGGAAGTCTGACTGACGGTGGTGGTGACTGGTAGTGGCTTTGCAGCATCGTTGCAGATCAGGATACTACGGTGACGAGTTCTCTGATTGGCCTAAGCTGCTGTCTGGCCAACTGAAACAATTTCTGGACCAAATGATCTCTGGCTTCTTTGTTGCCAACGAGAGCCTTGGCGAGGGCTCTCGTACCCAGAGGCGAAAACTTCCCAGGCAGTTTTTTGTGCAGCGTCGCGAAGCCCTCCTCTAATCCAGGGCGAGCCATGCTCAGGACCAGTGCCCCCAAGTTTGTGCGGGACATGCCAGCCATCTCTGCGGGGCCTTTCACCTTGCGCCTCGAGGTGCCAGAAGCAAGGTGTAAGTAGTGTAAGTGTAAAGGTGGAATCTTGTACCCATAACAGCTGTGGAACTGGAGTGCTGTCATCACGCGGAGGATATGGCCGTTCGCGGCACCGATCAGTGACTTGGCTGACAGTTTGCGAATTGAAGCTGCGATCCAGGGCGAGGAGTTCGAAGTCAGCAGATACCCAAGGGTCACAGATGCCAGATTCATGGTACCAGACACAGGGGCACCCGAGACCCTAGGACCGCTGCTGACTCTGTGCTCGGCAGATCTAGACAAAAGGAAAGCCGACACCGGAAACCGGCCGTGCCACGGAAGGATTCTACATGACCAACGTGTGTCACGGAGAGCAGTACAACGCCACTCTGGCTGTGCGGCTCGGCAAACTAGAAGCATAGCCAGCTTGTTTCAGATGATGGCAGAGTCTGAACCGATGAGTCTGCCTGCACACAGCAGGAGTATCCCGGGTAGCTTCCGATGTTTGCGCCAGGAGGCTGGCTGGCGAACATCCGAAAGGTGAGGCACTCATCGAGGTGGGCAAAAGACCTCTGCGCTTGCCGGGCCGGTGCCCTGCTGCCCTGCTGCTCAGGTCGAGGCCCCTTGCGGAGCTTTCGAAACGGTTCTGGACGTGAGTTTGGACACGCCGCTGGACCGAATGCCTTGCAAGAGTCTGTTGCACTCAGGGAGCTCACCCAGACTTTTGTCATGCTGCTGAGGTTGAAGACAGCCAGCATGCTGGTGCCCCCAACATTGTTCTGCACCATGCTGCTTGGCTCCGAAGCTCGAGCATGCGCAAGACTGCAAGACCTGGACAGCCTGTCTGTTCAGGTTGACGCCTTTCCGAAAGCTGAAGGTGAAGGAACTGAAGCTGGGCTTCGAATCGGCAGGTTTGCTGCCAAGACTTCACCCAGACTTCGACCGCCAGCACCTGAACTATGCATGGACTGAGGCGAACTCCGGGTGGCCTTGGGCTCGCAGCCTCCGCGCAAACCGATAGAGGACCGAGAAGGTTGTCTTCGGCTTTCATGCACCATACGTTTTTGAGGGACACATATAGAGGTCCTCGACAGCAGAACACAACAGAATTGGCCAGATCGCATTCCCTGCCGTGCGGACTTTTGGAGACGAGGCGTGAGGCATCGTGCAACACCACTCGTGTTGTCTCAGGGGCATAGCACAGCAACAAAAGTCGCAAGAGCGCGGGCGATCTTGTCATCTACAAACTTTCCTGCGTATCCCGTGCGCCAGAGAATTGCTTGGGGGATCGGACTCGGCTGAGCAGGAGCTATGGGAGCTTTACCCAGAGCTGTCCACGGCAGTCCATGCGTGTCCTGGAGACATTGGGGGCTGCCGGGTTTTCAGCTGGTCTCTAGGTCTCTAGGTTTTGCGAGAAGTTCTTCAAAGTCGCAAAGCTTCAGTTGCCACTCAACACACCGTCAGACGTGCTTCGAAGAACCACATAAGACTCAGTCGGTTCATCCTCTTCACGCAAGGCTGCTGCACTCTCTCGCGACTGCCGACAATGTGACGGCTGTGCTAGAGTTCCTGCACCAGGACATGTCAGACGTTGAATTTGCTGCTGTACATGGGATGCAAATGGATGCAAGCTGGCTTTCAACCATTCAGATGCTTGTTCAAACATGGGCACAGGAGGCTGTGCAAGAATGTGATGCCAAGTCGTCCCGAAGGCTAACCGTGGGGACCCTGGAACAAAACCTTCCGCGACCCCGGGACGACCCGGTTGCCGGTCCCAAGGCTGCTGAGACCGCGTCCAAAGGAGGCTTGGCTGCAGTCGGCGTGGTGCATTTTCAGGGGTGAGGTGCCCAGACTTCTGTCTAACGTAGAGCCGTGCACTGCGCTACGGGGGTGAAAGGTTGTGGGCAAATGCAGATCGATCTTGCCCCGAGGCATAGATGCCAGAGGAATCAGCTATGACAAGGCCCGGTTCTTCGGACTGCTGCATCGAAGGGTTGCTGATATTTGGCAAACAGTCAAACCACTGCTACTGCTTGATGTGTTCCTCCGAAGTGGCTCGACTTCTTGGCCCTGAGCTCCTTTCCTTTCCGAGAACAGGCAGAGCCCTGCGTCAGAAGTCTTGGAGCGTCCTTGCAGGGTTTCAACATCCTGGTCTGGCTGTGCTCTTTGCTGGGCGGCTTTGCCGCGGCAGCTCTGGTCCTGGGGGCAGTGGTGTACCAGGCCCAAAGTCACAGACCGGAGGGGCTGGAAGGTGTCTGTGACACGCAGAAAGCCTTTGTGAAATGCAGGCGGGGAGGCAAAAGGCTTCAGCTTCGAAGCCCTTGGGCGTTCATTGCTGGCTGGCTGGCCGGGGCAGCTCGGTTGGACAGATGTCTCTGCTTTCGAGAGTGTGCACAAATCTAATCGCTGGAGCATGCAAGGCCCACAGCAGGCCCACAACAGGCTATCTCATTGCCGTGCTGTAATCCAAGATCTGAGGCGAGAGGCACTGGCTCGTCGTTGTCATGGCCTCGGCATGCTCCTTTGAAAAGCCATCGTGCTTTCGACTGGCCTTGGTGCAGAGGCCGTCTGTATGATGCTTGGCTTCTCCGTGATCCTGCGGGTGCTAGCGTGCAGCTTGCCCTACACGTCGCTGATGATGCGGATGGTGTACACGCCACTCACCTGATGAAGTTCTAGAGTGGGAGTATGTTGCAGATAGCTACGCCTCGTTTGCAGGAGCAGCGCTGCCTGCTTTTGAGCATTGGTTGCCGTGAGGCCCAATAGCCTGCAGCTTGACCAGCAGACGATTGCCACCTTCACATACTGGGGCTCCCTGCCTCAGTTCCAGCTCAAGTGCCGACCTTTCCCAACTTGTTCTCTTTGTGGCGTTGAGCACGGCAAACGTCGTGCACTGAAGAGTTTCACTATCTTCTATCTGGATGCTTCACCACTGCACTTTCCATGTGGAAAATCCAAGATTGCAACACTGGCCCTGTTTTTGGCGCAGAAGCACGACATGGTGCCAAGGACTGGCCCTGCAGTTCAAAGCCGGAGGACTGAGACAGAGCTTCATCCCCGAACCATTGCGTACAAGTTGCTGTGAAGCGATGCATAGCGATGCCATCGTCAAAGTTTCTTGCAAGACTCCGGATCATCGCTGCAAGTTATTGCCATCGTTCTCCTTGCGTGGTGTTAGGCTGTTGCCTTCCAGGAGGCAGCTTTGTCTTCATCAACTTCGTGGTGACTTCCCTCGTAAGTGGTGTGGTAGCGAACTCAGTCGCCCTGCATCTCATGACGGTGGGCCCGAAGCCAGGCTTGTAGGTTCCTTTCTGCCTTGGCCTAGTGAAGTTCTTTTTGAAGGCTTCGTTTTCAGCGCGGCCTTCCATTTTGCTTTGGTGCATTTGTGTTATCGGGCATTTTGCGTGCCCTTTCTCGTGACTGTCCGCTTCATGCTGCCTCGTGATGGCTCGCTGGTGGCTGTTCTTGTTCCTGTCACGTTCTTCGTTCCCGTGACCATCGTGACCATTGCAGACCACAGCTTTTGCTTCCCTGATGGGCTACAGCACTGTTACATGATTGCAACTCTTGCCAGTAGTTGCTGCCATCTTCTTTCCGCATCACTATGCATTACTGCTCTACAAGCTTCACCACCAACTCGGCATCACAACTCTGAGAACAAGAAGTTTGTCTCCTCTCCATTCTTCGTGCTCCTCCTCCGGTCCGACGCGGACGCCGCAGTGACAGCAGCAACTTCCCGATATCTGCCATGCTAGATGCTTCCGAGACGCCGAATGGCTGAGTCGGCCTGGAGGATGCGGAGTTGGGGTGTGCTGAGGTCCCTTAGATCAGGCTTTGTTGGGACGGACGGACCAATACCCAGGATCCTGGTGACAGCTGTACTTCAGCATCCTATTGTTTCTAGCACCGGCAGCACCCAGGGTTTAGGCAGGCAGTGAGGCCAAAAAACGTCAAGAGGCGGACATGGTGGCAATCCGGGTGTTCGGTCGATTGCCCATCTTCCTCAGGTCGCTTGCGCGATTCTCGCCTTGCCGTGGTTACTCGGGCTGAGCTTCGGCGTACAGCACGTGCTGATCCGATCCCTGTCCAAATGAGAGCTCGGATGCCCGCAGAGTCGCTTCTTGTCGGAAGTCTGAGAGCGCGAGTGCTGCGCTTGAAAAGGTGTGGCGATTTGGATTGGCAGGCTACCTTTCCAGGAGAGCCGAACCCTGGGATCGTTTGCTGGTGGCCTATCAAGCAGTTTTGCTGCGCAGGAGTCTCAGACCTTGGCGAGCGCTGGCTTATCCATGTGCCTCTGTTGCAAAACTTGTAGGGATGCTGGAGCTAGTTGCAGGGCACAGAAGCACCACAGGAATGCGAACTTGGCCTTGCCGATGGATGCAAAAGGTGAGATGAGGACAGCGACCTGGATCCTTCAGTTGCCGTAGGTCGTCCAGACCAGCAGGTGCTTAGAAACTTGCAGGGCCCGCAGCCAGCTCCAGCCCTTCACAGAACTTCGTGAATGTTTGGGAAGAGACCTTAGCTGCCTCTGCAGATCCCTGCAGGATGGTGCCGCTTGTCGGGCCCTTCGTTGGGATCACGGCTTGCCTTTTGTGCCTTGCCGCTGCTTCGGCTGCAAAGCATTGACACTGCTGAAACAGCTGACGGTTTCGAAGCTAAGGCTGGTGTGACGATGGCCGTGTCACTTCCACAAAGATCGACGAAGGACGAGGAGCACAAGCAATGGGCTCTGCCCGATCTAGTGCCCTGTTAGAGTTTCTGCTGTGCGCGAGAAGGGCGAGACAAAGACCCCTACACGAAGGGCGCGAAAGCTTAAGGGGATCCGCTGGTGCCCAGGTGCTGTGCTCGGGAATCCTGACGGGAGTGTTTATTTGGTTCTTCTTCTCCTTCATCTCCGTGGCTCTCGTGGGCTTGGCTGGAATGGCGGCTTGCCTTGCCCCAGCAGTGGTCACAGACGCATCCAGAGCGCGCTGAATCGCTGCAGGTCCTGTCACCGGGGACCTACTCCGGAATGGATCTGGGAGCCTACAGTCCAGGGTTGATTCCTGGCGGAATTTGGGGACGATCGTAGAGTGTGCAATCCTCAAGATCAGGAACTTGCCCTAAGGAGAAGCACAATCCTTGTCCAGACTGTCCTTGCGCCTGTTGGCCAGGCAAAGCAGTTGCAAAAGGATGGTTTTGGGTCCTTCAACTGGGGAACATAGTGCAAGCGAATCGGCCTATTGCTGAGTCTGGGCACGGCTACATCTCTGGTATTCTGAGGAAGCAGAGGAGTGGGATGATCTTTTCATAGTGGGACCCCTAAGCTGTGCGTTTCTGGTGGAGGCAGTCTTCGTCGCGCTGCGGTCAACAAAACTCATTTCGGAGAGTTGCTTGGGGCAAAATTCAAGGCACTGTCTTTTGGTTCAACAGCTCCTCTGTAGGAAAGATCCTCCGAAAGCTGAGGTTGGCGACCTTTGGAGGAGCTCTGTATGAGCCCCTCGGAAGCTTTCGTTTGGCTTTGTCCAGTTGTAAGAAGTGATTCGGCCTAAGAGTCTTCTGGAGCCTGCACCCCAGTCAGAGCCCTTGGCACATAGGCCAAAGGACTGAGGGCCGTCACAGATCCTGACCGAGTGCGAATGCTTAGGTCTCAACGCTCTCGACGTCTTCGCGCTGGTGCCTCGATCAGTTTGTGCTGTATATGTTTCGTTTCTACAAACTTCTAAAATCGCTCCAAACAAAAAGGGGTCTCGCATGATGGCCGCAGGTATACCTCCTGGCATTCCTAGAGAATGTGGATGGCTTCACCACATCTTTTGCCAGTTCAAACTATGCAGCTTGGCTTAGGATCTTTGGAGTTGTGCAAAGATCGGCAATCAGAAAGAATTCTTTCAATAAAGTTGTTTGAAACAAATAGTGCTGCTTCCTTTCGTCTTGGCGCGTGGCTTGCGGCGAAGTTGCAGTTTGTGCAGCATTTACAGCTGAAATGCTCGACCTTCCATGAAGATCATGATGCCTTCGATAACGCAGCTGGCTGTCCCAGGCGGATGTCGTTGAGAATGTGAAGAAGCTTCTTGGTGTTCCTGCTGTTGGAGTCGAGGCTTCCGTGGTGGAGATGGGGACACTTGGCTTTCTTTCGGGCGGCTGACTTGGCTTCGGTACCAAGCCGGCTTCTACAAGTAGCGCTCCCTGAACTTCGGGTTTAGCTGCGTGGCCAACCCTGCTTCCTGATCTCTTTGCTAAGCGTGCGAACCTTCGCATCTCCGGTCAGAGAGGGCCCCGGGATCTTGCACCTGCAGTGATGTCACCAGAGTTCATAACTTTTGAATCAAGACCTGCTTGCTCGAGAACGCATCCTATTCTGATCAAGGCCTAGGCCACCACACGAAGCCTGCGCTTTGAGACGTTTGCATGTCAGGACAGTGGGTCTCTGTATCGGAGCAGCATGCACGTTGTTGCTCTACATTCGCTTCTTGGCAATCAAGCTTCTGTTCTGCCGGCGTGGAGAAGCATATCTCTGGATCGCGGAGGTTTTGCTTGTAGTCAGGATCTCCGCTGCACCAGTGTGGTCTGCTTAAAATGCAAGCTGCCCTCGCGACAGCTACAGGTTCGTCGATGTATTTTCACTCGCTGGTGCCGAAGTCCGTTGCCAGGACAGGTTCATAAAGAGCCAGGTGCTTTTGTATTTGTGGATCTTTTGGGTCTTGGGTCTTGGCTGTTAGCCATAGGTGGTGCTTCTATATGCAGGCAACTCCGGGTAAATGTAAGTCAGAGTCGACCTGTCGGTCAGGAGGGATGTCGAAGATTCAAGTGTCGCGGTGGAGTTGCAGTGAGCAAGACTCCTTTCTGCGGTGTTTTCACGCTTGTGCAGTATCTCCGATGGACCTTATCCATCGTCTCGGAGAATCTTAGAGCTAATGTATCCGCAGCCAAAGCAGCTGCCCGTGCCTGGTTCAAAGTCTCCAAACCAGGGGATGCACGAACACATTCCGTCGGATCAGCGTGATGGCTCCCAGACGACTAGCCTCCCGAGTCCACAGGAGGGCAGTTCTTGTTCTATATCATGATACTTTCAGTGATGCGGCAGCATCGCTGTCACGTCAGCATAGAAGGTGAAGCTGGTTCGTGCATCCATTCGCAAATACAAGCGACCTGTCTTCAATCTGGAGCCCGGCCCGGATGCCAAGTCCGCACTTGTTGGTGCCGGCATCAGCCGCGACCTTCGCTGAGACAAGCTGCTGACATCGATTCGAAATTGTGGCAGTGAAGATTGGCACCCCTTGGTGAACCATGCCAGATGAGCCGAGTTGCTTTCCGATGAAGCCTCAGTGAGTGCCCTTCCGAACTTCCCTTGTTTGCATTTGGCGAGTGGGGATGATTCTAGCCAATTCTAAGCGGTCTCAGGAAGTGCTCAGATATTGAGCTCTCGAGACAGATCTTCCGCACCTGCCCCATCTCCCAATCACCTAATCTGTCTCTTTCTCCCTTGTCCCTTGGAAGCCCGATGCAGGTCGCTCCAGCGGTGCTGTGCTTCGCACTGCAGGGTGGGGTGTGGTGTGAAGTGTGAGCCGTGCAGAGCTGCAGAGCTTGGGTCTGCGAGAGTTCTGCGAGGCTCGCGACAGCCTGCATTGCCGCCAGCCAGGCCCAGGGCCTCAGGGCCTCAGGGCCTCAGGGCCTCAGGGCCTCAGGAGCGGAGATTGGGATGAAGCTGAGACTTGGGAGCTTTCTCTGAAGGCCTCCCAGGCTTTCGTGCCTAGCAGACTCGGCCGATGCCTCAAGCGTGTGAGCTAGGCGAGTGAGGTTTGAAGTTTCACAGCACAGGGCCATGTGTTGTATTGCCGGCTCGCGAGTGCCGTGGAAGCTCCCAAGGCCCCTGCACCGAGACTCGAAGACCGCTGGTCGCAAGAGCTCTCTCCTCATCCGAATGTGCCTGTGGCGCTTTGTCAGCAGACGACCGTCCAAGGCTGCAGCAGAGCTGCCACCGGGTTACCTGGCTCCGCCTCCGAACGGCATTCCCGGGCGCGGGAGCCAGCAGCAGCAGTTTGTGAATTGTTGGGAACCGGGAAGCCAGCACAAATTTCGTTCTCTCCCATTTCTCGACCACAGGCTGGAGCCTTCGCAGCTTTCACTAGGCACTGCGTTTGCACTCTTCGTTCAGCACTTGGCATCTTGAGCATGGATGCAGCCTTCTGCAAGTCGAGCTCCAAGTGCGTCATGTTGCGTCTCAGGTTGTTGCTGTGCCCGGCGTTCTTGGTACCATTCAGAGGCTGACGCGGTACTCGTCTGGTGAGATTCTTTCCCCAAAGGCATTTCAAGAGACATCTCAGAGCTCCGCGGCCGAACCGCATTCACAGGGGCTTCTAAGATTCTAGAGCCTGGAAAGCATGCACGACTCTCCCACGGAGAACACCCTGACTGCATGGGATTCGAGCTTCTAAACGCGTAGTAACACAGTGGTCTTTGATCGGGAAGGGATGAAGCCGCAACAAGGCTTCGGGTGAATTGGGGAATCGCTTTGCTTGATGCATCCCCATGCCATCTCTAAAGGTTCATCGCAGGAATGAAGGACGGACTTTTCCAGAATCGCTCTTGGCTTTCCGTGTTGTGAAGTTGCTTTTGCCAGGTCTGGCCAGGCAAAGTTTGTCGAGAAGACCTATGTGGCTGCCCTTGCTGCTCTTATTGGCACAGTTTGGCGGGTTCACGTTTCCGGCGGCTGAGGTGATGCCGGGCACTGCAGCCGGTGGGCTTGAGATGCGTTCCATTGCCACTCGGATCGCAGATTAAACTGTCCCCGCGTTTTCAGCAAGCGAATCTTCTGCAGTTCCAAGTGCCAAGCGCGTGAGTGAGTGTTGAATATCACGCTCTCTGAGGCAGGTGGAATTGTTGCGTACTTCACAGGACTGGGCCCAACCCGAAATCTGGACTGGGACGGCATTTTTTGACACGCTGTCTTGTGCAGGACTTAACTACATGATGGAGGCCGACAGCCGGCATAGAGCGAAGATGAAGCATATCACGCTCGCCGCGCAGGAGTCGCCGCAGCAGGGGCGAATCCGCTTTGTAGGCGCGCTGCTGAAAAAATGCATCCGAATATGTGGCCATGACCGTGCCGTCAAAGGGAACTGGAGACACAAGCGCACGAGTTCCGTGCCCTCCTACTTGTATCAGTCGTTTTTTTGAGTGACGGGCAGCTACTCCCGAGCAGATCGAATTCGTCGTATGATCCATTCTTCACCGGACCCGTGCGATCAGGCCAGCTTCAAGGCAGCATCAGCCAGGCCGGTTCGCAGCCCTTGGAGCCCAAAGCTGAAGCGCCTCATTCGCCAGGCCTTGTTCCTGACTTTCTGCCTTGGTGGTTGGGATCTCAGGTTTTGACAGAGGGAAGACGTCCAAAGCATGCTGGCAGCAGAGGTGCCATCTTTGCTGTGGCGCTGCTCCTAGTGTCGGGGCCTGAAGAAGAAGACGAAGAAGCTCTTTCAAAAGCATGACGGCCTGACGGCTTTTCGGAGTCGCGCTCTGTGCTTCCAAGGCAGATCTTTCCCGATGGCCCCTTCGGAGTCGGCCCCGACTGGTGGTTCACTCCGGCTCCCGCCTCGGACGACGGCGCCGTGGAGCCAACTCGCACTCGCGGAAGTGCGTGCGCTCGCTCGCCGTCTCAGATGGTCATCAGCCCCTCCGCGGGTCTTTACTACTGGCAGCGCGCCTTTCGGTCGAAGCCTCAACCCTGTTCCTGTTGCAGCTAAAGGCCCTTCCGATCGCGATGAGTGTCCCACGGAGCTTCTACGCCAAGAAGCGCCAAGGAAGGACATCGTGGAGCTGCAGCTGGGAATGACCGACGACTTCATGCAGACCTCCTTAGTCATCCTCGGCAGTCTGGACCCTCAAGCGGAATAGTTTTGGGTGCTGACCTGGATTGAGGGCCGAGGGTATGCTTGGGCAAATCTTCCGACGTCTCAGACGCTGAACAGAATGCTGGTTGCGCTCGTCAGTTCATCAGTGTCTTAAAGCTGGAAGGAAACCATCGAAGAGCTGCAGAACGGTGTCCGATTTCAGTCAGCAGCTTAATTGCGCAAAGATGATGAAAAGCCTGGGAGTGCTTTACATTCACAGCAGAAGCTTGCCCGCACTTCCGTCACAAGCATTTCTATGAGTCCGAGCAGGCATTAATTAGACTTGAACCGAGTCCTTGGTGTGTCTTCACGGACGGACTCAGAAATGAGACCGCTAGCATCCGAAACGACAACGAACTCAAAGCAGCACAAACTGGAGAAAGCAAAAACACCAGAGTTAGCAGATAGTAGTGCTGGCGGAGACCTTGGAGTCGTTTGAACATCATATGCCGGGAGGTCTGACACCGGTAAGCTCTTCCGCCTGATGGAGCAGGCGGTTTCCGCAGCTGCTAAAAGCTCTCAGCAGCGTGGAGTTGACATGCCGCTAAACGCATGGCTTGCACAGGGCATGGAATACCAGCCGGGCATCTTCGAATCCGACGAGGCGCCCGCAGGAGATTGTGTGAAGATCTCCTCACCTCGGTCCTGTGCAGGACCGCATGGTCGTCACTGGCGCCGCTTCTGGTTCTTCGGGCTCCTCTGCGAGCTGAGGGGGCGGCTCTCAACCCATACGGTAAACATCGGTAAACTACAGCACGGTGCTCTAAGGCCCGGACGAGTCCAAGCGACTGAAGGGTTGAGGTCGTCACCCAGCCCCACTCAGGTCGTGAGAGGTCATGCCTGCCTTACGCCTGCCTTGATGTTGCGGCACACGTCCGGAATACAGTGTGTGTGGCAAGTGCAAACACCGCAAGGACGATTCCTGCTGCACGGCTGCAGGTCTAAGCAAACAAGGACGGCCATAGCATCGGGATGGATGCTCTCCGGCAATTTTCGGCTCGTGGTGCAAAAGGAGCACGAGCACCTTTCTCACCCCAAGCTTCTGCTTTCTGCTGGCTGTGCGATCTTCCCGAGTAGAAGCTAACGCTGCTTCTCACTGGTCTAGTACTGGAGGCAGGAGGCAGGAGCTTGCCGCAGTTCCACACGTTTCACAGTTTTCAGGCGGCAGCGAAGACGCTTTTCGAGAAAACGGCTTCCAGTGGTGACTATCCAAGCAATCACAACCACAAAAGCTTATATTGGATGAGGGATGCGTGCCCGAGCTGCTTGCGTTCCACAGGCTGACTCGCTAGCGTGTTCGGTTACTCGGGAGTTTCCCGGAGTATCTGCAAGGCTAAGAGACATGCCTGATTCAAAGCAGCCTTGCATGTCACCTTAGCATTCCGCTTCCCCGCCGGCCAGCCGATGTCCTCAGAACGAGGTTGTGATGCGGGGCGGGGCGCTGAGTGCAAGGTGGGGGATGCGGGGTGCGCATCCCTGCGCGTGTCTTGGGTTCTTGCACGTCTGGATGCTAAACCCACCCAGGACCGGAGTGAGCCCAGAAGTGGCATCCGACGTGTTCATACCGTGCTCGCAGTATCGGGCTTTGGGAGATGTTCGGTGGCCGTGAGACTTCGGAGGTACATCAAGCACACTTTCCTGGCATCTCCGCCGGAGAGACCTCCGGAGCTTGGAGGACTCTGCTCTTGTCTTCTTTCTCGTCCCCAGAGACGGAGTTTGAATCGGGTATCGTGAGGACGGAGCCGCTCGGAGGAGTGGGGCAGCTGCTGTGACCGCTTCGCGGTGCAGGCAGGTCCGATGGGCGAAGCAAGCTTGTAAAATTTCGCCGGTAGCGAGCAGGAATTGGTAGTTCAAAGCAATGACAATCGGGAAGTGCTGACCGATCCTTTGGGAGGGTGTCAAATCAAAGCTGACAGCCATCTTTCCTCCTCACCAGCCGATACTGGTACTGAACAAACCATGCTACTAGTAGGCTGGTATGCAGTAAGGCTGGGGCTCAAAGGAAGATTGGCTGGACCCTTCTCATTTACTTCGAAGCAGCTTCCGTCACCCTTTCGCTTCTGTCCTGCCCCAAACCTACATTACATTGATGTGGTTAGCGCTGAGTGACCTGAGCAGCTCAAGAAACGTCCTTTCAAGGCTCAGCCGGCATTTGCCCTCCCTCCCAAAAAGTAGGGTGGGCTCTGCAAGAGAGAACAGAAACCTTACATGGGCACTGTCTGATTGGCTTGGGGGTGGTGACACTTCGACGTGCGGCGCGTCTTGGGCTTTCGTGTTTCGGGTTTGCGTTGCACAGAGCCGAGGTGCATTCGCTCATGTTCAAGGTTCAGCCCCTGGAGCACAGGGAGGGTTCAGGCGCAGCAGGGGGCCTTGGCTGCTCTCGCAAGAGGAAGTTTGAAGTATTTCATGACTGCGTCTTCATAGATCTTCATACCTTCATTGAGACGGGGAAGAGTTTCTCCATCTCCCCGTGCCAGTTTAGGATAGTAGGTGCTTAATCGCGCAGATCCAGCGGGATACTGTAGCAGCAGCAAGAGCGGAAGTCTTGTCTTGGAGAGTCCAAAGCAGCAGCACGCGCGTAAGAGCGTATGGTTCCCTGTCGCAGTTCCCGCCAGCAGCTCCGCCACACCATCCGAGACGGAGGCGCCTGACGACTTGGAAGGATGAGATAATGGGATAGGGAGGTGGGGCTGAGAGCTGTGACAGCTCCAGTGCACCGCATGGTGTTTCTGCGACTTCCACGAGCCATTGATGCCTTTCTTGGGTGTTGCATTCCGGTCGTGCTTCGCCCAAGCTCGTCATTGTACCACGAGGGAGCGAAAGCTTAGCAGCCTTGGCCAGGCGGCCAGCGACGCGGAGATCATGCCAGAGCCTCCTCGGGAGCTGTCAGACGAGGCATGGACCACGGTCTCTAGCATCGTTACTCGTTATATGCGCGGCTAGATTCGATCTTGTTTCAAGAACACCCCGGCTCCAGCATGCTTCCTGGACCAGATGTACTAGATTGGGCCATGCGGCTGCCTTCCAACTGAGGATCAGCCGTTGTCAGAAGAGAGCATGCTTGCCTGCGAAACAAGATCAACCATGAGCATTGGATTTGTTCGGCTGTTAAGCGGCTAATTTGCCGCACCACAACTTGAAACTGTTTCTAAGTCTGCATGGTTGAGACCCGGCAGACCCGGCTGCTTCATTATCATCACACATCGGCTTGAGAGTGAGACATCTGAGACATCCGAATCCATGCTGTCAGCTGTGCTTGCTTTATGAATCCCATCACGATCGAAAGGCCCTGCGTCTCGTGCCTCTAGACGAGGCCGGTACGGTGTTAGCTGAAGCACGCTGTTTTCACAGCTTCGATCATGAACTTTACGGGCTACCGCAGGTTCAGCCGAGAGTGAAGTTCAGGGTCTGCGCATTCCTAGACAAGCCAGAAAAGCATTGAAGTCAGAGCTTGGGTCGCACTGCAACGTTTTTTTTTGTAAGATGTTGAGTCTCGCATCGCGTACCGCATACATTGCGTTGCATTTTCGAGGATGGCAAGCTGACTTCAATCGGGTCCACACTGCAGCCGGGCTGCGCTGCTGCGCTGTTTCGCAGGGTCGGAGTTCAATATCCTTCTCTCAGTATGCGCATCCCAAGGCACGCGGAGGGCGAGTGCCGCCCCTGTGCCTTTCTTAGCCCCGGCCTTGGTTGGTGGGGGCCCCCGCCGCACATCGCGCCACGTCGCCCCAGCTTCTTTGCTGTAAGGCTCCATCCGTCGGCCATGCCGCAATGGAGCCGCATGTCTGCCTTGGACCTACTTGAGCTCCGACTTGCGAGCGGTGTGCGCAGTGTGGCAATAAGTGGCGAGAGCTGAGCATTCGATGGCTTTCGTAGCAGGTTCTGCCACTTTTCGCACGAAGCACGCTACAAGCTGCGCCTTGGGCGGCGGAAGAGGCATGGCAAAGGCTTCGAATTTGTCTTCTTTCCGGCCGCTGGGTTTGTTGATATCCGTTCAGGAAAGAAATGCGGACTGGCGCGAATGCAGCCTTGGAGGCGCTACTGTGATGTGAGCCTGCTCGATGGGAGATGGTGTGAACCATATTCGTATGGATGAAGAAGTGGCCAAGCAGGTCAAACTAGCACAGTGCTCTCCATTTCTGCTGGCTCTAGTAGCACGTAGACGGTGGCAGCCATGACGTGCCCAAGAAGCCAAGCTGCGAACTCCAAATCCTGTAGATCCGTCAACACGGAGCATGTCTGAGCACCAACAAAGCAGAAACTTTCCCAATGCATGTATGAGTTCCTAAAGCCCCAAGCGCAGGAGACCCGACAAAACGGTGCACCCAGAGCCCACAGAAGCCAAAAAGGAAAAGCCGGGGCCCGGCTCGCTGCTCTCTCTGCTCTCTCAGGCAGCAGGCGCCGAAGGCATCGCCCCGGCCCCGAGGCTGCCGGGATGTGCGCGGGAATTCTAGGAAAGGTGCTCATGGCCGTACGAAGATGGTGAAGGTTGTCAAGACGGGTAGCAGCAGTCGTAGTGGGGGTGAAGAGTGGTAGTAGTAGTAGTAGTAGTAGTAGTAGTAGTAGTAGTAGCAGAAGTAGTAGTAGTAGTAGCAGTAGTAGTAGCAGTAGTAGTAGTAGTTGTAGTAGTAGTAGTAGTAGCAGTAGTAGTAGTAGTAGTAGCAGTAGTAGTAGTAGTAGTAGCAGAAGAAGTAGTAGTAGCAGTAGTTGTAGTAGTAGTAGTAGTAGTAGTTGTTGTTGTAGTTGTAGCAGTAGTAGTAGTAGTAGTAGTAGTAGTAGTAGTAGTAGTAGTAGTAGTAGTAGTAGTAGTAGTAGTAGTAGTAGTAGTAGTAGTAGTAGTAGTAGTAGTAGTAGTAGTAGTAGTAGTAGTAGTAGTAGTAGTAGTAGTAGTAGTAGTAGTAGTAGTAGTAGTAGTAGTAGTAGTAGTAGTAGTAGTAGTAGTACAGTAGTCCTGCTACTGCGACTGCGACTGCTACTGCTGCCAGTGCCAGTGCCACTGTTACTGCTGCTGCGTGCTGGTGCTACTGCTACTTCTACTGCTCTTCTGCTGAGTGCTACTGCCACTGCTTCATGTAGTTAGTTGTAACTGCGGTAGTCACAATAGAAGTCATAGTGCTGGCCAACCTAATCATGCATACCGTCTCGACACGAAGCGTGTTCAATTCTTCTTGCTAGACTTACGACTGCATATCACTTTTTTTTGCACTGCACGGCCAAAGTACGCTGGCAGGTACATCCCAATATCTTGGCCAGTGTCGTAGCCAGATGTATCTGGCTGCAAGGAGGATTTCGGCACACCTTGAGCAGGTGGACTCTTGGGAAGCATCTGCAAACTGTGGCTGTGCAACGAACTTGTAGGCGCCACGGAATGGTGGTTTTGGCATGCCTTAGCTTGACGATGCAACTGAGATGCCTGTTTGCAGAACGCTTGCTGATGCTGACATTCCCGGTTTCTGGTGACAGCCTGTGTTGCCATGTACATAGCAAAGGGCGTGGAGTGGCAAAGAGCCACCAGCTTCACATGACCCTTAAAACAGGCTCAGCAGTTATTGGTAGAAAAGTTATCGTGTGTCATTCCAATCGCATGTTTCGAGGAGTTCCATGTGCGCATGAGGGTTTGCAGAGTGGAGAACCCATGCAGACTCTGTTTTGCACAAAGCACTTTTTCGACCCAGATATGGGGAGCTGGTGCATGCATACATTCATAGATGGGTTAAGACAGACACGCGAAACCGTCTGGCCAGCTCTGTTTGGGAACGTCACGCAACAGCAGTAGCCAGATGCGAGTTAAGGTTCACTTGCGAGTGTCTGAAGTTATGGAGCCCTTTGGAGCACAGTGAGTGCGAATGGCAGCTTCGGGCCCCGGTATCCTGGTGGAGGGTAACTCCGACTCTCAGACTGCAGAAAGCCGAAGGCTTCTAGGCTCTTTTGTCGATCCGGGTGGCATCAGCAGCTCGAGGAAGAAGAGTCTGCAGAACTGCGAGAGGAGCAGAGCGGGCCTTGCTTGCGCTCGTAGTGGCGTGAGTTTTGCGCCAGATTCCGTGTGAAAGGAGATCTTGCACAAAGCAGGCCTACTGACGAAGTTTGGTCTGCAGGAGGCTCCACGTCGTTCTGCCGAGCTGGCTCTGAATTACGGTGACGCACGGGGCTTCCGACTGCAGGAGATCGCAGAGCAGCCGACACAGCCGGCGCTGCCCTCATCGAATCCTGCAGGTGCAGCTGGGACGTGCTCTTGAGCTGTTGCAGCTTCAACTCATTTGCACTGTTCACTCCCGCAGTAGTTTCATCGGAGGTTCTGATCAGGAGGATGATGACTTCTTCATCGTGGTGCGACGCCCAGATCGCAGACGGACGATCAACTCGTCCCTGTGAACCTCAGCGGCTGGTGCGAGGGGCTTGAGCCCCTGAGGTTAAAAGCGAGTTTATGAAGCTGGAGGCCAGAAATCTTACGGTGAGCCGGCCAAGACGTATTTGCAGGAACTCCGGCATGAAATTGGCTCGAAAGGACCCTGAAGTGCCACTCTCGGACGAGACCCTTTCCCTGCTGCTCGATGTGCCGGAGGCTCTCAGTGGCGAGTGATGGTGCCACGATGGGGGCCTGCGATTTTGTGTGCAGGAAGCAGCTGTGCGAGCAAACACCGAGCTTGCTAAGGATCCTCAAGTCCGCGAGTGCATGCGAGTGCGCTCATGATGTCGCCTCAATGATTTGGCAGCTTGAAGACAGGAGCTGCTTGCGGTCAGCAGCACCCAGTTTCCAAACTTGCTGCAACCTCAGAGTCGTCTCATCCCGTGAACTTGCGCTCTCGTTGAGGGGTTGCACCATGTCGCACGTAGGTCCGCGTGTCCGGCAGTAATTCCAAAGCGCCGTGCCGCAAACCCGGGACCTTAGACCACAACGACGACCGAATGAGAGAACTTTATCTTGTGTGAAATCTCGTGATTTGCAACGACAGGTGTGACATTCTTGCCCAGCATTGTAGTGAACGGGAACGAACAGGAACCAGACAATCAACTAGGCCTGTGCTGCGGCTCCCGGTCTGTGGGGATCTAGGTGCTTGCAGATAAAGTCCTTCCTGGACATCGGGAGCGAGGAGGTGCAGCAGCATAAGTGTCGGTATTCCCAGCAGCTGTGTCAGTTTTGGGGGCCGGCAGTGGATGTAAAAACAAGAAAGGTTTTGTCGCATGACGCCCCGTGGCACGCCGTCTCAACACTGCTCGCTCTGGAGGAGCATGTCCCGGCTTCTGATCACGAGCGAGAAGCAATTTGCGTGTCGGAGAAACAGACTCAGCGAAGCTCTTGCAACGGTAGGTGTAGTCACAGTGCAGTCTTCATCATTGTTGGCCTTTGACACTCCTGCGCGGGTCAACAGTCTCGAACTTTCCACACTCCATGAGGTTCGCGGTTTCTGGTGTATAGAGTCGTTTGGGTTTTCGGCCCTTTCGGGTTCTGGGCGTCCGGTTGGGGTTTTTCGAGCTTCGGGTAAGGTCCTCCCGAAATCCGCTTTGGTGTCAGATTTACAGTTTCGGCCCTGCTTAGATTGGGCTCACCCCTTCGGGGTTTCGGCTTCCGGTCTGGGGTGTGGGGCTAAGGTCACTCCTGAGGGTTTAGGGGGTTTTTGTGTTGGTCCCGGGCTGGGTTTCGCGTTCACTCCTTCGAGTGCTTGGCTTTTCACGGCTCCGGGGTCCCGGCTATGGTTGCCCGTTTGAATTCACCCCTTAAGCATCAACACTTTCGGCTTCCACTTGCCAAATTCCACTGCTTTTCAGGGTTCTGTTTGGAAGACTGTGTTCACAGCTTCGGGATAGTTTTCGGCTTCCTGCGCAGGGTTTGTGGTTGCGTCTGCGGTTTCAGGTTTGGGTTTGTGGGCTTCTTGTGTGGGTGTCTTGACTTTTTGGGTTGTTGGGTCTTTGTGTTTCTGGGCTTCCGGTTTGGGCTTAGGGGCTTCGGGTGAGGCCCTCGTGAAAACGGCTTTGTTGCTTTGGTGTTGGATTTACAGTTTTAGATTGAGAAGAGGTTTTCGGCTTCCGCATTTAAGGTGAGGGGGGTGGGTTCACTTATGACTTATGAGGGTTTCGCCTTCCGGTTTAGGGTTTGAGGTGGGGTTGGATCAGTTCGGTTGTGTGGTTTAGGGTTCGGGGCTGCGTTTCCGGTTCCGGGTGAGGGGGATGGGGAGGGTTCACTCCTGGTCCGTTTGAGGGTTCGTCCTGTTGGGTTCACTCATCAGGTGTTAGGGTTTGCGGCTTCTGGTGTAAGGTTTGGTTTGGGGTTTGGCTGGACTCTTTAGGTGTTCCACCTTTGTAGGATTCTTGGTTTTGAGGGCTTTCAGTCAGCTTGGGGCTGAAGTTTTCGGCTTCCGGTGTAGGTGTGGGTTGGGTTCATTCGGCTTTTCACGGCTTAATTGGAGCTTGGCCGAGGGTCATTTTGTTCAGGTCACCGGGTCCACCTCGTTCGAGACTGTTGCTCCCAGTCATTGCAAAAGCGACACCCAAAAAGGGGCAGGAATCCAAGAGTCTTGGATCTGTGCCTGCAACGACGAGTCCGTGAACGCATTTTCTGCGAAGGTCTCTTATAAATTTGTGTTAAAGAGTGGAAAGAATGATGTGTTTTGGCAGACTCGGTAGCGAGTACAGTAGAGGCGATCGGGCGTTGACATGGCATTTGCTCGCGCCAGTCCGTGCCAACTCGCTCACTCCTGAAGTTACACAGGCCATCATGGGGCCCATACTAGTTGAAATAGGGTTTTTGAGTACATCAGACTATAAGTACACATAGGGACTGTAGCTATGACCCGGTGCTAATTCTTCCGGCCCCCACATTAAGCCAGATGGGAAGCTGTCCGTGTTAGTTTCGCATGTGTGTTTGATCCCGCGACGGCCGCGACTTCAAGGGTTGCTTGGGCTTGGCACTCTGTAACAGGTAGAGTTGCCATACAATGCTGCGATGACGGCGGCTCTTCTGATCTACTAGCAGGACACATCCAGCCTCAAGAAGAAGTCTACATGCCGCAGCGTCGAATCAAAGCTGCGATTGTGACGAAAACGCTGCATGCTGCATCACATAAATCCCGTTAGATTAAGCTGTCGAATTGACAAAGTGGAAGACAGTCTTATCATGTTGTATCTAGCATATGCATACACACATATATATATATACAGATGGATCGATGGAAAGATAGATAGTAAGCCAGATCAGGGATTCGCGGGCCATGCGGCGAGTGCACCGGGCGGTATGGCGGCAGGCCTGCATGGGGCGGAGTGCGTTTTGGAGAACCAGTCTTTTTCGAAGCCATGCCAGTTGGCATTTCTGGCGCTGCTCGCTGCTGCCAAGAAAGGCGAGAATGTGTGAGAGTCTGTGGTTGGTGTACTATAGTTCCAAACCTTGACGCTTTCGTTTCTTGAAGCGGTGCAGGTCGAAGCCTGTCCTTCCTGGTGGGCTTCGGAAGCTTCGGGAGATCGCAGGTGCTGCTCTGGCCCAAGCATATTATGTGAAGCAGGTTGCCTTCTTCAGGCATTCCAGGCCACACAGATGTTGCCTCGAGTGTTCACCAGTCTGCCCAGTCGAACTACCGGACTACCACGTGCGTTGTGTCGCATGTTGAGACTTTGAAACTCGGGGCGCAGTGGTCAACGGCAGGAGGTCAAGGAGGCTTATGAAGGCATTAGTTCAGACGAGGTCGTCCGCTGTTCAACGACGAGCGATGGACGACTTCGCAGATGCCACCTGCTCGCAGAAGATGTGTACGTATGTATGTATGTGTATGCATGTACGCATGATGAAATATGGATAGACATACAGACAGACAGAGAGACAGAGAGATAGAGAGACAGATAGATCGGTAGAAGTAGATTCGGTAAATATGCACATGCTTATGTGCACACACATGTACACCGAGATGTATGTAGGTTTGGAGAGATTTCTGTCTGCCTGCCAGCCTGCCTGCCTGCCAGCCTGCCTGCCTGCATCTCTGTCTGTACATCCGTGCTTTGTACATCTCTTTGCCCGATGGCCTGTGTAGGTATGTCCCGATCTTGGTTTTTGCATGGCCCTTCATCCAGGAATCCTTTGCTTGGTACAATGCCGTAGCTCGTAATCATCCATGCAGCATCCAAAAAGCTCACACGTCAGAGAGTCCAAAAGATCCGAGGACTTCGTTTACCGTGAGGAGGTGTCCAAACTGAGGGCCCTTCGCGCAGCGCAGCGCGCAAAGGCCGCGGGCGATGTTCAGCATGGTTTAGCAAGGCAGCCATCAAATACCATCCTATGTCACGTATCCTCAATTCGGCGAGTTTTCAGATTTCATCCAGCTGCGAAGGTGCATAGAAGGAAGGAATAGTAGTGCACCGCTGGTTGAGATACACAACAGAGATTCACAACACATGATGTGCTAGTCTCTGGTAGCAGAGTGGTTTGTTAATTGCTGTGATGTTGTGCGACAATGCAACGCAATGCTAGCTAAGCTCAGTTACGGTGTAGCGGGGCTGTAGTGCACAATAAACGTACATGGTCTGGCATGAATCCATGTGGCAGCTCTCGGCGTCGTCGTGGGATGCGGACCTGGCGTCGAGCTCAGAGTTCAAGTCAAAAAGGCGTTGCAAAGCAAAGTTTTCGGAACTCGCAGAAACAGCTCTCGAGTGAAGCACAGCTCGGTGTGGTCCAGATTTAGTCATCACCTCCCAGCAGAGCCTTACAAAGATCTGCTTCGGATGGTGCGAGAGGCATGGATCTCCCAGCTGCTTCCCTGGGTGGCACTTTTCTTTCTGTGTCAGGGCCTTTGTGTCGCTGCACGAGTGCCTGTGCAAGACTTCAGCAAAAGCCACTTGATTTCAAGGTTGGTTCCTCTACTATATTGCCAACCCTACGCCGCCTAGATGTTTTTCAGCATTAAGGGGTGTTGCGCAGCCGTTCAAACGCAACAATTAGATTTGTAGCTTGTTCTTCGTTTGCCCCAGTGACTCTGTGACAGCTCAGGAATGACATCGTTCCAGAAGGTCGCATGCTCTTTTCTCAGCTGTTGTATGGACCACACAGCAGAACGTGATTGCCCTCATCACATGAGTTGTGCCTGTGCTGCCCAGCAGCATGACAAAATGCCGGCTTCTTGTGTGCACACACCAAGCGAACCATGAACGGCGTGTATGATACCGATGAAGACACTCGCCGGTGTTTCGTGTTTTCTCCATCTCATCTGGTCCCTTCCTTTGGAGTAGCCATGCACGAGACATCCTGCCGCACTCGCAGAGCACTGAGCCCTGTGTTAAGCGAGCGTCGGTCCTGAGGCTAAATCGTCTTGGAGCGATTTCGGGTTTAGGGATTGTGAGGCTGCTAGATCAACCGGCCATGGCCATGCCTTGCAATTGGGGCATCATTTGCATTCTATAGGCGGCATGGGTGCTGGTCATTTCCCAAGTGAAACCATCTATTTAGCGGAGCTGAGATTCGCGATCCTGGGTGACATGCGTTGTAACTCCCAGCCAAGATCAGAGAAGTTCGGCGAGAGGGACGTGTGAACTGCTCAAGTTCTAAGTGGCTTCGGTACATGCTCATGCACATCGTTGCACATCAGCAAGCATGAGGACGAGACATTTTGACAAGGGCAAGCTGCCTGCTACGCTGCCAGCTTGCAACTCGTAGGAAGTTTGTGAACCAACCTTCCTGGACGAGAGTCTCCTTAATGCCACATAACTCACATAAGCTAACTATAATGGCTATGGTCACAGCATTGGGTGAGGCCGACCTTGGACGAGTGGTTGCAGAAGAAAGCTCCCAATCTTGCGGGTAGCTGGGGTCAGCGGCCCGGGACATTGTGGAAGCATTGCCGCTGTGTGCGAGGTTTAGCTTCTCTCGTCTGTTGAGTCGTCCGGCATATGCTCTATGGTCGAGGGGTTTCAAGTTCTTATCGGTGCAGCATAGTGCACATGCCTGAAGCGTATTGAAACGTGTTCAGAGGATGCCTAAGCATGGAAGTCCTCCCTGTCCTCCTGACCCGTCCTCGCTCGTGACTTTCAGGCGGCCGGGCTCCACCCCCACGCGAGGCTTAGCCAAGGGCATGTCAGGGCCGAGTGCTGGATGATACTGCATTACGCAATATTACGCACCACAGTCGCTGTATGCCTGCGCCGATCTTGAGCCTTCGGAGGACATCCTGCAAGCTCGTAACAAAGTCGTGGCAGAGGCACAGTGTCCCGTAATCATTGCACGTGTCAGCTCCGCTCTGTGTGCTGTTGCTGCGACGCAGCGCCCGGAAATATTGTCGTTGTGGCTGAAGTTAGCAGATGACATGATGCATGCTTCTTCATTTGGATATCCGGCCACGCAAGGGCAGGGCTATACCAAGGCCCAAGCCCAGACTAAAGCAGCAACACCAGGCCACTCCTGAGCACCTCAAGATACCCCAAGCACCCAACCGAGCACCCCTAGCAGGACCTAGCAGACCTAGTAGACCTAGCACTGGCAAGGGACAAGGAGATTTACTGTTGCTCGGCACTGGCACATGCAACTTGCATGGCTGCTGTGGTGCCGGCCGATGTTTCTGTCACGGTCTCAGCAGGGAGATGCAATCCTGGCACAGTTGTCAAACTCTGCGTGCACGACTTGATGGTCTAAGTCTGGGCGAAGCTTGCTTGCTCACGTTACACAGTGCTCCTCGTGTGCTGAGTCCGTACATGTCGAGACTGACAGTCGGGGACTCAGATGTTTGCTGCTCCTTCATGTTCATACCCACTGAAGTTCTATTTGTGCAAGACACACGTTCTGTCTGGTAGCTCCACTCCGTGAACCCCTGACCCCCACAGGTGGGCCTTGCCCGTGCTGCTCTCTTCCGGTGCGCCCCAGCGTTGGAGGGGAATCTGGCTTGGTGCCACGGGTGCTTCCACAGAGTGGACGCCAGCTAGTCAGCGATAAGCCCGGCCGCTTCCACTCCAACGCCTCTTCCCAAGATTTCCCGTGCATGGGAGACCTCTCGTAATGCCCCAAAGCGAGCCCCAAGGGAAGGAAGGGACGGAACATGGCAGAAGTGAAGTGGAACGAAGCCTCACCCGCGCCACTGCGCCGCCGCGCCAGCTCCGGCTTCGGGCCTTGCTCGCCTCGAACGGCACCTGGACATCCTTCCGCCCGGGTGCCCGGGAAGCTCAAGGTCTTGGGAAGATCTCTGCGATTTCTCATGGACGAGGCCCGTCAGCTCAGTCAAGGCACAACTTTCGAGGTGTCGGTGTCTTGCATGGCGCCTTTCGAGGGGGAGTTTCCACCACTCATACGAAGTCTTGTGTAGATCTAGGCGACCCTGGTAACAGCATGGTGGAGCCGGTGTGCCGCGGTGGAAAACCAATTATCAGACATCTTTCCCCAAGACACTTGCCCAACGGGCTCAGGAACTTTGGCGTTTTGGGGCATAGCTGGGAGCTTAGTCTTTCCAAGATTCACAGGTGGAGAGCGAAAGAGCACAGGTGGTTGCGAATCATCGCAGCCACCCACGTCCATTTCAGATGTCATCGGTGCTTGAAAGGTTAGAGTGCCTAGCTTGGCGGCTTGATGTTGCTGTGCTCATCCAGCTTGCCATCTTTCAGTCTTGATCTTCACTGCAGACTCAATCATGAAGTCATCACATACGGAGAAATCATGCTGGTTGCTGCACTGCACGCTTGTTGGATTGCAGCTCTGTCGAACGGCTGCTGTCCATTTTCATCGGTGCTAGAAAGTCTGGAGTGCCTAGTCAGCCAATGCCCCGCTTGCGCCTGCCTTGGTGGCTTGGTGTTACGGTGCTTATCCAGCTTCTCATCTGTAAGTCTTGATTTTCACGGCAGACTTTACCTGTGACCAGCGCGTATGTAATGATGGGTTGGCTGGGTGAAATGATGCTGGTCGCTCAGGGGATCCGCTGAGCGTGTTTTTTCGCTTAGTCTTGCTGCCGGTGCGTATATGTTTGTTTGGTTCGGCCACCCCACACCTCAAGCCCTTTCTCCGAGCCAGCGCCCCCAGATGCCCCCAGCTTAGTATACCCGTGTAAGGGATCACAGGGGGAAGAGCTTCTGTTCCTGCGAAGTGGGCCTGTCTTGCCAAGTGCCCAATTCAAGCCAAGCTGCGCAGGAGGTTGGTGTGGCACCTTTTCCTTCTTGGATTGAGGGGCTCGGAGCGTCGAACTCCTGTCGGACTCCCCGATGACGAAAACGGAGGCGGGGAAGAGATGGTGAGAGGGAAGATTTCCGTTCGGCCGGAGTTCGACCGGAGCGCACCCCAGGCCATCCACTCACTCAGTCACTCACTCGCTCACTCACTCACTCCACTCACTCCATTCACTCACTCACTCAATCATGATGCTGGTCGCTGCACTGCACGCTTGTTGGATTGAAGCTCCGTCGAACGGCTGTTGTCCATTGCATCGGTGCTAGAAAGTTTGGAGTGCCTAGTCAGCCAATGCCCCGCTTGCGCCTGCCTTGGTGGCTTGGTGTTACGGTGCTTATCCAGCTTCTCATCTGTAAGTCTCGATTTTCACGGCAGACTTTATCTGTGACCAGCGCATATGTAATGATGGGTTGGCTGGGTGAAATGATGCTGGTCGCTCAGGGGATCAGCTGAGCGTGCTTTTTCGCTTAGTCTTTCTGCCGGTGCGTATATGCTTGTTTGGTTCGGCAACCCCGCACCCCAAGCCCTTTCTCCGAGCCAGTGCCCCAGCTTAGTACCCGTGTAAGGGATTACAGTGGGAAGAGCTTCTGTTCCTGTGAAGTGGGCCTGTCTAGCCAAGTGCCCAATCCAACCCAAGCTGCGCATCAGGAGGTTGGTGTGGCACCTTTTCCTTCTTGGATTGAGGGGCTCGGAGCGTCGAAATCTTGTCGGATCTCCCCGATGACGAAAACGGAGGTGGGGAAGAGATGGCGAGAGGGAAGATTTCCGTTCGGCCGGAGCGCACCCCAGGCCATCCACTCACTCAGTCACTCACTCGCTCACTCACTCACTCACTCCACTCACTCCATTCACTCACTCACTCACTCACTCACTCCACTCACTCCACTCACTCCACTCACTCCACTCACTCCACTCACTCCACTCACTCCACTCACTCCACTCACTCCACTCACTCCACTCACTCCACTCACTCCACTCACTCCACTCCACTCACTCCACTCACTCCACTCACTCACTCAATGTGCCCCGCTTGCGCCTGCCTTGGTGGCTTGGTGTTACGGTGCTTTTCCAGCTTGGCATCTTTTTAGTTCTTGATCTTCACTGCAGACTCAATCTCAGAGTGAGCAGCGTGTATGTGATGATGGGTTGGCGGGGTGAAGTGATGCTGGTCGCTGCACTGCACGCTTGTTGGATTGCAGCTCGGTCGAACGGCTGCTATCCATTTCATCAGTGCTAGAAAGCTTGGAGTGCCTAGTCAGCCAATGCCCCGCTTGCACCTGCCTTGGTGGCTTGGTGTTACGGTGCTTATCCAGCTTGGCATCTGTTAGTCTTGATCTTCACTGCAGACTCAATCTCAGAGTGAGCAGCGTGTATGTGATGATGGGTTGGCGGGGTGAAGTGATACTGGTCGCTGCACTGCACGCTTGTTGGATTGCAGCTCGGTCGAACGGCTGTTGTCCATTTCATCGGTGCTAGAAAGCTTGGAGTGCCTAGTCAGCCAATGCCCCGCTTGCACCTGCCTTGGTGGCTTGGTGTTACGGTGCTTATCCAGCTAGGCATCTGTTAGTCTTGATCTTCACTGCAGACTCAATCTCAGAGTGAGCAGCGTGTATGTGATGATGGGTTGGCTGGGTGAAGTGATACTGGTCGCTGCACTGCACGCTTGTTGGATTGCAGCTCAATCGAACGGCTGTTGTCCATTTCATCGGTGCTAGAAAGCTTGGAGTGCCTAGTCAGCCAATGCCCCGCTTGCGCCTGCCTTGGTGGCTTGGTGTTACGGTGCTTTTCCAGCTTGGCATCTTTTTAGTTCTTGATCTTCACTGCAGACTCAATCTCAGAGTGAGCAGCGTGTATGTGATGATGGGTTGGCGGGGTGAAGTGATGCTGGTCGCTGCACTGCACGCTTGTTGGATTGCAGCTCGGTCGAACGGCTGCTATCCATTTCATCAGTGCTAGAAAGCTTGGAGTGCCTAGTCAGCCAATGCCCCGCTTGCACCTGCCTTGGTGGCTTGGTGTTACGGTGCTTATCCAGCTTGGCATCGGTGTTAGTCTTCTTCACTGCAGACTCTTAATCATCTGTTAGTCTTGATCTTCACTGCAGACTCAATCTCAGAGTGAGCAGCGTGTATGTGATGATGGGTTGGCTGGGTGAAGTGATACTGGTCGCTGCACTGCACGCTTGTTGGATTGCAGCTCGGTCGAACGGCTGTTGTCCATTTCATCGGTGCTAGAAAGCTTGGAGTGCCTAGTCAGCCAATGCCCCGCTTGCACCTGCCTTGGTGGCTTGGTGTTACGGTGCTTATCCAGCTAGGCATCTGTTAGTCTTGATCTTCACTGCAGACTCAATCTCAGAGTGAGCAGCGTGTATGTGATGATGGGTTGGCGGGGTGAAGTGATGCTGGTCGCTGCACTGCACGCTTGTTGGATTGCAGCTCGGTCGAACGGCTGTTGTCCATTTCATCGGTGCTAGAAAGCTTGGAGTGCCTAGTCAGCCAATGCCCCGCTTGCACCTGCCTTGGTGGCTTGGTGTTACGGTGCTTATCCAGCTTGGCATCTGTTAGTCTTGATCTTCACTGCAGACTCAATCTCAGAGTGAGCAGCGTGTATGTGATGATGGGTTGACTGGGTGAAGTGATACTGGTCGCTGCACTGCACGCTTGTTGGATTGCAGCTCGGTCGAACGGCTGTTGTCCATTTCATCGGTGCTAGAAAGCTTGGAGTGCCTAGTCAGCCAATGCCCCGCTTGCGCCTGCCTTGGTGGCTTGGTGTTACGGTGCTTATCCAGCTTGGCATCTTTTTAGTTAGAGTGAGCACTGTGTATGTGATGATGGGTTGGCTGGGTGAAGTGATGCTGGTCGCTGCACTGCACGCTTGTTGGATTGCAGCTCGGTCGAACGGCTGCTATCCTTTTTTCGGTGCTAGACAGTTTGGAGTGCCCTGTCAGCCCTTGCTGCGGGAGCACACGAGCTGGCAGAACGCAAGACTTGTCAAGCGCAATTTCGATTTTTGAGGTAAACCACGCGCTCACGCTGGCTGTTGCGGCCCTGGAGTTCGATTCAGCCTGCGCCTGGGAGTGGCAAAGCTCTTTCTTAGCAGCAGCCGTCTGCATACACATGGGACCATGCTTCGCCGGAAAGTGCACGCCTGTTGATCCTCCTATGGAAGTCGGAACCTACCAGGTCTGGCTTGGTCTGGTTGTGGCTACGATGGGAGGCTTGCACTCAACCGTCGGGAAAGCCACATCTCGTCAAGATTTACGGAGCTGATCGTGCGGCATGCATGCTGCGAGTAGTGTCAGCTAGGCTGCCTCGTTTAGCCATCTAGTCGGTATGGTCTGCGACAGCTGGAGGCAAGTTGACGCTTGCCCTGTGGATGCTGGTCATCGTCGGGAGGACCTAAGATCAGCTGAGCCGCAATTAACTGCCGGGAAGAGCGCCAGTTGGGTATATCACCGGGTCGCGGGAGGACATTGGCTTGGTTTTTGGTGAAGGTGCCAAGGTAGGGTGGATCCGTGCAGCAGGAGGCCGCTAGCGGACCTCGCCATGGAGGCACGTCATATGTTGCATGTTTCCAGTACTAAGATGCCACTGCCCGAGCTGCATTGGGATGCAGTCAGTGTTGCACCGCACGCTCATCTCCAACAGAAAGGCTTGCCACTCTCTGCACTTGTCCAGGCCGAGCGATGCAAGCAACTTCGAGAGATGCATGCTCTTATGGCCGCCCCTATGACAGCAACATCTTCCAACGTGTAACCCTCGCACATGCCGAAGAAAATGCCTGAATGTGCAGAAACGAGCCCAATGTCATGGGGTCTTGTTGAGGTCGCTGAGCACGAAGTGGGCCGACGGTCGTAGGGATATGAGGTTGGTTCGGATGATGTTGTGTTACTATGTTCGAAGTTCGAAGGGTTGCCCACGAATCAAGCTCGGCCGAGTTTGCCTGCTTCCTCAACGGCCTCACATTGATCTGCATGGCGATCCTGCAGGCGGAAACACGGGGAGCCCAGAGCACAGACCGGTTTCCTCTCTTGTGCCCGCCAGTTGACCGAGCCGGAGCTGCTGACCCTGGGGTTGGTTCTCAGGCGCCACGGGAGGGCGGGAGGGCTGGGCCTTGGTGGAGTCAAGACCTTCGGTTGTGAAGTCGTGGAACTCCGTGCTCTTGTGTCCCTACAGGCGTATTTTCCAGCCGCTGCTCCTGATAGTCTTAGAGGCCTTGATCGCCACCTGTGCTCCTTGGCTCAGCAATTTCTTGTGTGGGGAAGAAAGTGCGACGACTCTCGGAACGGTGGTCACTTGAGCAGACCGTCAAGCCTGTTCAGGAATGGGGTCGCCCACCCATTAACACGACAGCAGTTCAGGAAAGTGTGCTTTCCGTCGCAAGCCCTTGCTACGACGCATTGAGATCTTAAGTGCCGAAGTCCGAAGTCTCAGGCTTTCCATGGTCGACGCTGCGCTGCCGAGCGCTTGCGGCTGGTGCAGCGGTGGGAGCTCCTGAGCTTGAACGGTGAAAAGCCAAAGCTTCGGTGGGGGCAGGGCCCAGATCATTGCAGTCTTTGCAGCGTTTCGCGCCACAAGGGCTGAAATCGTTGTTGCTGGCTTCTAATGGCTGCAGAGCAGCACGTCTTCCAGGTTCACGCATATCCAGTCCGTACATCAGATCAATACGGCCTCGGTGGCGATGGAGGCAGGCTGAAAAGAAGCAGGATGTGCAGCCAAGCGCATCGATCGGTGTTTCAGACATCAGAGAAGCTGATTGTGTTCAATTCTCACAGTAGCCGCCTCGCCTACGCAGAAGAAATTCACGGCGGACGTGGAGTGGTACTTCTTGATGCACATGACCACGTCCAAGTCACGTCCTTAGGGGAAGGCGTCTCCAGCTTGACACAATGCAGCTGCAAGTGGCAGTTTGGATGTTACACCGCTTTCGTTCCGAGCTCCGCTCGCATTGCATCTGTCAACTATGGCGTGGTCAGCTAGGTTGTATCCATGAGCGCCAGAGTCGGCCGCTTCTGATTCTGTCAGGTTCGAGCAGGGTCAACTGAAGCCTCTGACACCAGCACTCCGGGACTCGCCAGCGCCTGGGGCAGTCCCGCAGGTGCCGGGGGCATCTTAGACATGCGACTACTCAATAATACTCATTGACTCATGTTATCTATATATAGACTCAAGACCCGGGCCCTGGCTTTTTTCCGGGTCGGTCGCATACGCAAATTGCTCTGGCTCTCTTCATCGTCGCGTGCACCCGTCCATGCCCTGTCGGAAGGAAGAGACTGACAAGCCAGAGCCTGCAGAAATCGCCGCGGCAGAGGGGCACGAGCAGGAAGAGGCATTCGTAGGGTTCCTCTGCAACTCCAATTCAGGTCTGCTCTGTTTCTGCTTGAGTTCTTTGCTTTCATGCAAGAAGAGTCGAACCCAAACCCTTCAAAGTGGAGGCTCCAGCTCCGCAGCAGCGGGCAGAAACGCTTACCTGCTCGATTTGCAGGGCTCTCAGTCGTTGCCTAGCATACGAGCGCATGCTTGCATGCAGCGTTTGTGCACGCATACATTCATGCATGCTTGTTGTTGCACGAATACACAAGCAGTACGCAAGCATGAGACTGAGTTTGGCACATCCAGTGGGATGTCGATTCCTTCTGAGGTCTGGAAGGTTTCGAAGAAGGTGATGAGGTGGGCTTTGTTTGCATGCTTTGCTTGCTAGAGCTTCCATTGAAAGAGAAGTGAGGGCTTGCACGAGGTATCTCAACCTCGCTGCGTTCACTTCTTCCACCGCTCCTGCCTGGAGAATTGGGTGACTGGTTCTGTATTCAGAGATCATGCGCTCTCGTGTGACGTGTGCTCTAGCTCGTGCCCTTCCCACCGTTGAACCTGTTGTCACAGTTTGCCCTGCTACGTTGAGCGGTCGGCCAGATTGGCAGAGGGCATCATGCGTATTGCTTGTACAGGCCCCATGCTGCGACATGCTGCGAGCGCTGCAGCCGGTCGTCTTGCCCCTGCTGAGGTACAAGCTCTCAGCAAGGAGCATGTTACGTCGGCGAAGAGGAAACGGGAACAGGCTCCCAACCACCACAGTGGCCTTGATGGTTGATGACCAGAAGCAGCAGTTGACCGCCAAGACAAGATTAGTGCCTTATAGAACCCATCCTGCTTGCAGGTGCTGTGTCCAATGCGCTGTGACAGTGCCAAGGCACCTTTGGTTGACTTCGTTTGTAGAGTCTTCATTTCCTGGCTTCGGAAGGTGGTGCTAAACTTGTGACACGGCTGCTTCCTCATGTGTTCAGAAGCTCTCGGACCCTCATTCAACTCCAGAGATGCACGGACAGCGTGTTGCGCGGTTTGTTTCGGGTAGGGCATTCTTTTAGCCTGGCTGACATCGTGTCCGAGTGCATCATTTGGCCTCTCCCTGGAACAGTGCACTCGGCATGATATTCACTTCGTCTTCGTCTGGAAACCTATATCTTTTTGCACAACTGCCCCGAATGAATACTGCTAAGCGTGCAGTTGTCGACAAGTGCAGCTCGGTCAGGTCTCCACTGTGTCCCTGCAGGCTTGCAAGCCAGTTTCGGCAGAGCCACCCTGACTTCGGGCGAAAAAGAGGGAATGTCTCAAGAAATGGTAAAGATCATTGTGTGATCTTATATTCGAGTACAGTGCATTATAATATGTTGTATTTTGTGCCGTTTTATCAGTGTATTGTCTTCCATTATATGATATTGCGTGTTATGTTTCTCCCGGAGTTTTTGTTTTCCTTAATTCTTGGATCAGCGCCGGCCCATGCCCCGCCCGAGGCGGGATCTTTCCCCGAGCGCAACTGCAATCCATGACTGCTGATAAAGCAGACCACCCTCTTTGGGGTTCAGATGTACTTGCCTTGCCCGTGCACAGCGCTGTGCAGAAACGCTCCTCGTCGCCCGACTAAGGGCAGTGACGATAGTGCTGCGACACATGAACTGGAGGATGCAAGAGGAGAGGCGATGCAAGTCTGAGATGCACCTGCGAGGATTCTGGTCTGGTGCCGCAGGCAGAAGTGTTTGTAACGAGTCTTCCGTGGGGTCATGAAATACGCCAGAGAGCACAGCAACTTTCCAACAGTGTTCCTTCGAGGTGTAGCAGCGAGGTCCTGTGTTGATGAGGCCTAAAACACCCCCGGACAGCAGACACAGGATGCATTGAGCCGAAGGCTCCGAGTGCAGCCCGGTGTCCCGAGGATGGGATGCAGCAAGCCATGCCTCAGTCTGAAGAAGCCTCTATACTGCGAGCGTCCCAATCCTGCTTTTGTTGCCTGCGCCTTGAAAGCAGAATCGCCGCAACTTTGTCACAGAGCCTGGGACGCAAAATGCTCCCACGGCCTCCAAAGTCGCACAGAACTGCTCATGCAGCATCGAGGTTGGCTGTCAGCTCAAGGCAAGTTCGTTAACCGCGACGTCTCAGAGCTTGGTCCAGATCTGTGCCTCCACAGCCCTGTCCCTCGCTTTTGAAAACTCTACCGGATGCTTCAATTGTACACCGGAAACCAGGCGGACAGGTAGGTTACAACTTTTAAGCTGAGGAATTTTTAGCTGCCGTTAAGGCAGCTCGACTCGTACGAGTCTGGGAATACAATCAGTGGACGCACCCGGGGGGGTGGGTTTTGGGATCCCAGGTCAGGTAAAGGACTGTTTCCGAGAGAGAAGGGTCAGGCCCTAAGTGGAGTTTGACCTTGTCCCAGACCCCACGCATCATTTTGAGTGCAGCCCAGCTTGATTTTCCGTTCCGCCCGTGAGCTTCCTGTGCCAGGGCAGCGATTTGAAGCTGGAGACTGCAGCTTGGCCAAGCATGAAGAGTTTGGGTGGCAGCCGGCTTGCATGGAATCCCAGCAGATGCCATGTTGCAGAGGTCACCTCTCTTCCCGAGCTTGGGCCTCAGTCATGACTCCTTTCACCGCATGTTTGACTGTATGCATGTATGTATGCAATTAAGTATGTAAGATAATGAATCAAGTGTATGAGTAAGTATGTACGTATGTATGTATGCATGCACGTATGTATGTATGCATGTACGTATGCATGTATACATCCGTATATTTACGTGTATATGCATGGACAGATAGGGACAGGTAGACACAGAACCTTGACTGGACGTACCTGACATCGATTTGATCGGCATCTCTTACTTCTCAGATCGTTCCGTGTCTGCTGTCTTGGACTTGTCGAGGACTCACAGCCCGCGGGCACAATACTCAACCATCAGACTACACGGACACAGTGGAGAAATTCTAGCGAACTCACCTGCAAGAGATTGTCCACGCTCCACTTTGGTTGAGGAGGTGAAGATATGCGTCCGGAGCAGTGCATGCTGCTCGGGCTGTGAGGCTTTGGGAGCAGTACACCTTCTCCACCCGGCAAATTGTGGAAGAGGCCTCGGCCATGCGGGCTATAGGGGCCATACTTCCAGCATCCCGAGACACGTTGAGCGTTTCCTGGCAGGTGCCGTCAATGATGTTCGAGCGGAACTTCATCGTTGGACCCCAGGATCCTGAGATACGCTCAATGATTGGATCAACAAGTGCAGTCGCGGCACGCAGATGTCCTGCCGAGGTCTCCTCGGTGCTCCAAATTTTTTCATTTCCCACGACGCCACAGTCTTAGATGCTCATAATTGTCATGCCAACTGAAGCTGAATCTGGGCAGGCTTAGCGTCAGATTGTTTTCGCGCTGGGTGTGGTTTCCGGTCCGGCATGGCGTCGCAAGCAGTGCAGATCAGATGGAATCCTCATGAATCCTCGAGGTTGTCAGGATGGAGCAACTACGAAGCCTGTGCTATCCAAGAAATGGAAGCAGGGCCCACAGGTCCTAGCCTCAACAATCGTAGTGGTGCTCGGGTGAGCTCCTGTCTTGAACATATCTCGACGAAAAACTGCTGCACTGTCTTACTGAGAGCAGGTACGGTGCTTGACTCGCTGAGCGATGACCGCCCGGAGCTCTCCGTCGACTCACCCCAAGAGGCAGGTCCGCAGATTGGGAGCGCTTTTCCCGCTGCCTTGCTGCCGTGGCTGGAGGTTGTGCTGGAATGCGGTAAGATGATCGACACCTACGGCCTTAGCTTACTGGTGCGAGCTCCAGGCCGCACGGAGACATCCCGAAACCTCGTCAACCGCTTCAGATTCTGTTTCCATCGAAGGCAGCAGTGAGATGGTCGCGGTTGGGCCCCCAAGCAGATAGTCATGCTGAGCATTGAAGGGCTGCGAAGGGTTCTGATTTCTTCATGACCGAATGGGGCACTTGGCTCGGCTTGCCTTGTAGCGAGGCATCTGTGCTGCGGGTGAAGCGATTGCCAGAGGTGGGACACGACAGACAATCAGCTGAGATAGCACCACGTCATTGCCATTGGGGTGTGGCTCAGGGCTGCCACGTCAGCGATGACATGGAGGAGGCTTCTGGTCGAGGTTATGCTTGTGGTTGTGCTGCTGCTGCTGCTGTTGTGGTTGTGGTTGGTGGTTGCGGTTGTGGTTGCGTGTTGTGGTGGTTGTGGTTGTGCTGGAGGTTGTGGTGGTTGTGATTTTGGGGGTTGTGGCGGCCATTGTCGTTCTGATGGTTGTGGTTGTGGTTGTTGTTCCCCGCCTCATTGCCGACGCATCCATGCCCGAAGTATGTTAACGTCCTTTGCGACCCCGCCTCATTGCCAGCGCATCCGTGCCCGAAGCATATGCACAGGATCATGATGATGATGATGATGATCATGACCATGATCATCATGATGAACATAATGTCGATACTCATGATGATGAGCACCATGATGGTGGTCATCATGTTCCTGACCTGCGCTCGTTGCTTGTCTGTCTGCTCCGTCCGTGGCCGTCATGCAGTCGTGTTTCTCTTCTTGCAAGTGCTTCTTGTCCCCCGCTGGCCACACGAAACTACACCATGCACACCAAAAACGTGCTCATTCTGATTTTGCGTCTGTACGTTTCCTACACAAAACGCAGTTTTGTCTCGAAAACGACGTAGATCGGGAAAAACCAAAAACAGGCTACACGAAGCAACCTCGCCAACAGAGCCTACCGAAAGTGGGTTTTGCCCCACGCAGGCCACGTAAAATGCACATGGCGATTTCCTCTGTATTCACGCACATGTCCATACCTAAAACCTCGGTAAAAACTACGGAAAGCGCATGTTGCTGGCAAGACATTTGTGGTTCGTCCCACGCAGGCCGCGCGAGACGCGCGTTGTCGTCACTGCTGCCTGCTCTCGTTGACAGGGTGGTCGAGTGTTGTTGTTGTTGTTGTTGTTGTTGTTGTTGTTGTTGTTGTTGTTGTTGTTGTTGTTGTTGTTGTTGTTGTTTGTCGCGGCGTGCCATGAATGAAAGCCACTCCCTCTCCGCCAGCCCTCCGTGACCTGCACAGTGGACATGCCTCTTGTCTGAATTGGCCGGTGTTTGCTGCGGTGCCTGGATTTGGAGCAAGCGCATTAGCTGGGTTTTCTTACGGAGCAATTGCATGAAGTATCTTGAAGTCATCTGCTTCGTCAGTGGTTGCGAACTGCTCCCCGAGGGATGTGGTGATGGAAGCGGGCAGCATGGAGGAGGGGCTACGTCTGATGGTGTCAGCCAACTATAGTCGTCATCAATTTAGTCTTGATCCGTGACGGGAATCCTGAATGTGCGCCTCTAGTCGACAGAGCATGACAGAATGCATCGGTGTTGGAAAGGCAGTGGGATACATTGAGTCCATTGCCGTGTCCCGAGCCTGGCGAGCCACTCAGAAGCGCCAGCATGCTGCGTAAGTCTGCCACCTGCATGTGCGGTAGAAGTCAGACTCAGCGAAAGTAACGGATTGCTACGCGCGCGAAGCGCAGGAAAAGGACGCCAGTCACGCCAAGACATGGCTCAAGGCTCAAGGTTCAAGGAAGCCTGCTTCTTCTCCCTCCGCTGATTGAAAACACGGCAACTCCCATGAACAGTCCTTTGCAGACGAAACACAAGAGGGTTGAAGACTCTGATGATGACACTCACAAATTAGCAGCCCGTGCTTTTGAACGCTATTGAAAAGCTCCTGGAGGGGAAGTTGGGCCCGAAAGTCCACCATGATCTCGGAGATTTGAAAGAGCAGATTTCGAAGGCATGGGCCCTCGAGTGACAGAAGCAGAGAATCAGGCAGCCTCCACATGCCGCCACTATGAAGCGTGTGGAAGTTTTAGAGTAGGAGATTGGCAAACCGAAAGTTGTGGAAATTACGCTCTGCCATGAAAGTATGAGTAGGAACCCGAGGATTTTGTCCATGATGGTCGGGAACATCCTAGGTGCTTCCTCCCTGGAAGATGCAACATCATAGTTGGACAAACACTGTCGCCTAGTTGGCATTGCATTTCCGGGCCCCGTCGGACGTGTAGAAGTTTCAGATTTCAAGTGGGTGTTCTTGAAGTGCCACAGCGAGTCACATCGGGACCATTTCATTCAAAGCTTCAGGGACGAGTCACGGAAACTGCCAGACTCTTCCCCGACACTCGAAAATGCCCTTTGATGTCCGTACTGTGGAGCATGCCTTCTTGCCATGAAGGACATGCAACGTGTCATGGAATCTCAGTGCCTCATGCATAAAGTTACGACAATCACTCAGGTGTCCTCTCAGTCACTGGAAGAGAATCCGTCAAACTCTCCGTGCAGAACTTCGCTAGGAAGCTCATTGGGTGCGATGGAGAATTGCAGGCATGGGGGGAGCTACACAAATCCACAGAGATGGCGGACGTTTCAATCAAGGACCATATGCGCCTAGAGGAAGCAACAGCCCGTGCCTCCAACAAAGAAAAGGGCAAAGGCCTCGATTGGGCGAGCGGTGCATGGACATGGTTTAATTGGGTTTGGGTGACGGCAAATTTTGAGTTGGGTAATGGTGTGACACAGCGAATAAAACCTATAAAAACGGTTTTGCCATGTTGAAGCAGATGGAAATTGTTCAGTGCATGTCTCGGTTCGATGTTGATATTTGCTGTCTGCAGGAAACCAGGAAGCCCAGGTCCCATGGCAATTGCTCCAATGGTGCTGCTTTCATTCTTCGAGGAGGCACTCAACAAGCCGCGGAAAGGAATGGCGTGGGATTCGTCAATTTCTTGCAAACTCAAAAGCTATATTCGGCCCGTTTGCCCGGTGTATCAAAGGACTGCAAGCCGGTGGGACTGTTGCTCTGTATCTGAGAAGTGGGACTTTCAGGAAAAGCTCGACCGGGTCATGTCAAGCACGTCTACAAACGGTCCGAAATCGGTACTTGGTGACTTCAACGTTCGCCCGAAGAGCGACCCGGTGAACACCACGTTTGGTCCACACTCCTTTGGCATTGAAGCCCAGCACCAAGTTCAGATTCCCAGCCGCGATTTCCTTCTGGACTGTCATAACCACGACTGAGCGACTGCAAACTCCCGTTGAAATCTGCCAGCACAGAAGCAGGTCCCTCATTGCAAACTTGGAATCCCACCTCTGACCTGGCTCCTTTTCAGTCCCGGACTTGCTGTTTGCACCACGATACAATCTGCATGGTCTGAAATCTTTGCGCAGTGTTCGCTCTCCCATGCTGGCCTCCAGACACTTCCCGGTCACAGCATCGCTTCTGACAAATCTGGATCTGGATGGGCTTTTGTCGGGGAAATTTATCCACGCAGACACTGGGCAGCTTTGCAAGTCCTGTCCGTTCGCCGTGCATTCTGCGAAAACATCGCTGAATGTACGTCCGGTGTCGAACCCTTGAATCAGAGCGACTTCGGGAATAAATCGGAATAAAGCGTGCTGTTGTGCCAATTCGGCGGTCACGGAACATGTACCTTGATTGAATATGCATGCAAACGAGCCTTGCATCAGACCGGGGGTGCTAGAAGTCTTGCAACAGCGGTGTGAATCTCGTTTACGCGGTTGGTGGGATTCTGAAACTCCTTTGAGGGCTGGAGTAAAGAGATCGTCCGAACATGATCGGTCGAATTGGCCAGAAAGACTGGCCTTCGTCTGAGGAAAACTTCGTTTCGGACGTCATGCGAAACAAGGACCATTACGAAATGAAGATGGTCTCTTGGTTTCATCAGAACTACAGGCGGAAACCCTCGCACACCGCACCACTGAAAACGAATCCACTGGAATGTTAGACGGCCTGCCTTGACCGTTGGTATTGGTGCCCCCTTAGGTCCTTTTTCGTCAGTAAATTCGGACGATTTCAGTCTGAGGGAGGTCCCAAAGGGTATCAAAAAGATGGAAAGGCCGCGAAGCATTGGCACATTCCTGTTCAAATCTTCAACACTCTGGCGACGAAACAGGACACTTTCAGTTCAATGCGGAGCCTGCATTCGCACACCGGCAGGGGAACCCCGCGAGAGGTACCCGGCATAGGCTGTCTCGCAGCCGTCGCCACTCACAAAGGTGTGCCCGGACACGAGCTTGGTCGCCGCCGCATTGGGATAGCAAAAGCAGACTTTACTGATTTGCGAAGAGTTCGGAAACACTCTTCACTTCCTGTTCATCGGAACGCTTATATTTACAAAACTCTGTTTGAGTCCGAAATGATGTGGTTTCAGCCGTTTATGTTGTTTTGCAGCCGAACGTCGACAATTGGATGGTTTCCAAAACCGATGGCTGCATCGTATCACTGGCCACTTTCGTTTCTTTCCCGTGTTCCAAGCAAGGCTTTTTACATCGGGCACCCTGAAATGCCGTTTCTGACATGCTCGTACAACGCCGCTCTTGTTCGGCAAGATCTGAAGGTCTCCACTGGACCACCCTTTGCACGTATCTGCGTTCCGCTTCCAGCATGTACGTGAGGCGAGTAGGTCGACCGAAACGGGAATGGGTCTCTGAAGTAAGAAGTATAGTTTTTTCACTACGTGTTTGGGCGGCCGCCGCGAAGTGGCATAACGAGACTTGTGTACTGTCTGGTATCGAACGATGCGTCAAGCCATACCCGTCCGCGCGCCGCGGGCATATGACTGACTGAGCGGCTGACTGACACAGTCACGCATAGTCACGCCGCCTGGTGGCCTGCTCTGGCAGCCCCAAGTTTCACCTTTCTTTGGGTAGGGGACGTCGAGAATCCGTGCCTTCGAACTTGGCACCGTAGTTGTAAGCACGAGACATGCCATGCAGCTTGGACTTGCTGTATGGGTTTCGCGGCTGGGGTGTGCAACTTCATCTCTGAGCTCTGGCCGTGCATCCGCGAGTCAGTAGATTCGCGCCGACCAGTTAGTTCCGAAGCGTCGTAGCTCCGTTTTTGCTTCGCTCTCAACCTGCAAGCCTGGCATTCGTCAGCTACTTTACAGTCCTAAGAGCTTGTATCAGCTCGTCCTGCTTTGTAGTCTCACGTCTTGCCGACCTGCGCATGTGAAGTTTCCACTTGTGCAAGTAAAACGGGCACGCTGTGATCCGCTCTGTCGGAAGGCGCGGGGCTGGCCTGGCGTCCCGCTTGCTGTCTTTCATGGAGGACAAGGCGTGCAACGAGTGTAAGCGCACAGAGCCAACGTTTCATGCAAGATATATAGATAGAAGAGGAAGATACGAGTCGATCAGGTGATATCAGGTGCCTTGCTCCGGTGATAATTTTTGACAGCAAGCCTGGAATCCTGCTCGGTGCAGGCTCGTGCATGGGGCCTGCGGCTCATAGCTCTGCACGTCCACCGCGACAACTGGCCGGGACCTCAGGGCATCTCCAGCCCTCGGTACATCGAGTGAAGGGAGTGTCGTGGAACTGTGCTCAAGATGCATAACGTCAAGCGCGCGGAGTAAGAGGTCTGCCCTGCGCTTCTACCAAAAGAAAGGCTTCGAGGTGCCTTTGCGAAAGTTGCTGGAGCACCGTGATTCGCTGCTGTTTTGTGTCAGGTCACATCGGACTGGCTTGGCTGGGGTGACAGATTCTTCCTTCTTCTGAAGCCCCTGTTCGACTCGGAAAATTCCGTTCCGTAGAAGGCTGTCGCAAACGACAGCCTAGAAGTGTCATCATCAGGTGGGCAGGCTGCAGGCTTCGGCGCCTTACAGCCAGGATGCTGACCCCAAGTCACAGCTTTGTCAGCGACCCTTGCCCCAAACCTTGACGGAGGCGTACATACGAAGTCTGATCCAAATCCAAAGCATGCTTCTGCTCCACCTTGACGTGCTTCAGTTCCCGTTTCTCAGACGTTCGCTTACCCTGACACAAAAGCTACTGCGTTGGAGGGGGCTTCGGCTTGTGCAAGCCCTCCGTACTTTGCATCCAATCACGCCTGGGGGCCACGCGGTGATGATGTGCCATTGGCAGGACCTAGGATTCGCAGCAGTAGCCCCTGTACCATTAGGGCCCCAGCTCCAGCTCCAGCCTACTGACCTACTGCTCGTCGGTTCAAGAGCACTTCGGTCGACAAGATGCCCACGTTTTGATCAGATCATATTCATGCGACCAAATCCAGCGTAGCTGGTGAATTCAGCAGATGCTTGACAGGACTTCGCAAAGGCTCGCCTTGATTAGGAACGGCTAATACTGGCACGCTTGCGGGAGCGAACCCGGCTGGCACATGCTCCCGCTGTGAGGCCGGGCTCCGGCTGAGACCCAGAGACACAAACAGACTTAGACTTCAGGCATCAAGGCCTCAAGGTGCGCCAGTTCTCAAGAAGCATCTTTTGCAATAGGGCGGCACTGTTTAGTTTGTGCTGAGATGCCCGGAGAGGATTGCTGATGTGTGAGATCGACGTTTTGCCTGGCTTGCCGGAGAATTGCCGCTGCAGCGAGGTGGAGGCAGCGCACGGGTGGGAGCCTTGAAGTAGTCAGGAGCTGGACAGGTAGCCTTCTCGCTTGCCAGGAGCTGTTCGGCAGATTTGGCAAGGTGCAGGGCAGGGGGTTTGTCGGGCCCCTGCGAGCTGGTTCGGGTTTGTGCCCTTCTTAGGTGGACTATCTCTTCATCCCACCTCCGTTGCTTCGCCGGTCAGAGCCCAGCTTCATCAAGCCGGCAGCTCACATCTTCAGCTTCGGCTTCAAGCGTCTCATCATGTCTCATCTTTCCAACCGTGAGCCGTGACGAGGTTTTGGAGCCCTGATGGGGCCCAGGCGGCCTTCAAAGCATCGAAGGACAATCAGGTCGGAATCCCAGGCTTTTCTTCTGCCTGTCTGCGGGACCCAGCTGATGACCCTGGCTTTTGCAGCGAAACGCAAAGAGGTCTTGCATCATGCCGGCCTATTGCTTCGTGACATTCGGGCCATGTCGGGCTCGAAACTTGTTCTCTGAGTGGAGTAGTTACCGTGGCCATCGGTGGCCTCGTGGTTGCCGCTTGCCGAGCCACTTCGCACATCGAACGCGAGCACTTCAAGGTGCATGCTTGGAAGCTTGCCGAGTCTCATGTCCGTGTGCCGGCAGATGGTCCCTCGGCAGCCCTTGCCGGCATATCCAGGATGCAAAGTGATCCCAATGCTGCACTGGGCCTGGAGCCGTCGAAACAGGCCCGTAGACGCGATTTCTGCACTAGCCATTTCGTGTCACGCGCAGACCGGCTCAACTCCGCTCTGCAGGAAGGCGGGAAGGAAAACACACCGCCCTGCAAGCGACGCAAGAGTGCAGCCTGCCTGAATTTCATTTCGAAGACTGCAACCAGCAGGCCAACAGATCAAGATCGGACACGTCAAGCCTCTTCAGTGCTTGCATGAAGTTGCTACTTGATCCAAGGCAGACAAAGTGAAGGGAGACTCGTTTGCAAGTTCCGAAGCAACGGCGGCCCACGTTCACAGTGGCCGCACCCAAGGTGAGAAAGGCATAGAAATCGTGAGCCCTCGAGATCTGCAGCCACCGCCTCCAGAGGATTGCAAGAGAAGTTTTCCTCGTTCTCCTACTTTGTGGTGTTGTTCAGTCTCTGGTGAGGACATGGCGCTTGGCACCGAGATCCCATGGTTCTCGCTGAATGACGGGCTTGCAGTTGCTACTGCCAGGGTTCCTCGAGTCCTGCGTTGCATGCTCCACACTTGCTATATTGCGAGCGATCCACAGGCATGATGTGTGTAAGTTGAGGATAACGTAACAAGATGGCTCAGAAGTTCACAAATGCTCAGAACAGGCATTTTTCTCGCTATTTCTATCATGACCGGCATCATGATGTTCATGGACCGTGCAATGCTCTTCAAGCAGGACATCGACGTCGGCAAACGTCTGGGGGCCGGGAAGTTCGGCTCTGTTTATGTTGCACGCTGCCGCCGGACAGGCCGGCAATCCAGCAAGCACACAAGCAAGTCCTATTTCTCTGTATGTCTGTCCTGTCTGTCTCTGGCTGGCTGTATGTCCGTCCGTCTGCCTGTCTGTCATGTCTAGCTATGCATCCACCATCCATCCATCCATCCATCCATCCATCCATCCATCCATCCATCCATCCATCTCACTATCTACCGATCTATCTATCTATCCATCTACCTATCTAATCTATCGATCTGTCGAACTATCAGCCTATCGATCTATCGACTTTCTTTCTATCTGTCGGTCTATCTATCTGCCTGGCCAGCTCGACCTAGCTTGGGTAGCGCCCGAGCAGAAGCAGAGTGTGGTCACGATGCAGGCTTCATCTTTGCTCTGAAAGTGCTTGACAAGCGCCAACTCATCAAGCATCGCGTTGAGCACCAGTTGAGGCAGACAGTTGGGTCGCTCACAGCATGTACCTGCATTCGGTGGGCCATTGTGTTTGCGTGCGAGGCGAGAGATCGAGATCCAGTCTCATTGCCGCCATGTCAATATTCTGAGACTCTACACCTTCTTCCACGACGAGTGGCTCGGCTTCAGGTGACAATCTAGCCAATAAAGTTGCAGATCTTCAGGCTTGCTAAATGCAGGGGGAGACGACTCTGCAGACGAGAGGTGAAGTGAAGCTTCGCTTTGGCCCTCTGAGGAAGCGTGTCTACCTTTGCTTGGAGATGGCCCCGGGCGGAGAGCTCTACCAATTGTTGCAGAGCCGTGGCACCTTCTCGGAGGCGAGGCATTGACAAATTTCGGATCTGTTTGTTCTTGCTGACTTCTGCTGCAATATTAATGCTGCAATGTGGTACCCTTGCTACTCTGCTCGTGCTGCAGGCCCGATCAGCTTGGTACTTCAAGCAGATGGTCGAGGCAGGACTGTGTGGAACGCCTCGGCGGGCCTCTCTGCCGGTACAAGCTTGGCTGAGTGATACTCATGTGGCATGTGCCCCTGCCGGGACATGTCGGTATTCTGCAGGCCATCCAGTACTGCCACGCCAAGCACATCATCCACAGAGACATCAAGCCAGAGAACATTCTCATTGGCTTGAAGGACACGCTGAAGATCGCAGACTTCGGCTGGGCCGTGCACGCGCCCACGTCACGCCGGGAGACTTTCTGCGGTACTCTGGATTACCTTCCTCCGGAGATGGTCCTGAACAAGAAGTATCACGGAGTCTTGCCTGGAAGAGCGTTGACGAGAGATGCTCCAACTCCCAAGGAATGCAGGGCTGTGTCGCGTTGCTTACTCGAGGCAACGTCGATGTCTGGGGCCTCGGTGTGCTCTTGTACGAGTTTATGGTGGGCAGGCCGCCCTTCGAGGAGCTCGAGCTCGAGAATCCTTGCATGCATGTCGCGGCCGAAGATGCCTCTGTAGGACTCAAGCGAGAAGGGTACCTACCGAAAGATCAAGACCGGAGCGATACATTTTCCCACAACCATGACCAAGGCAGGCCTTGAAGGGTGCCCCGTCCCCGTCAACCAAAGAGTCTTCAAGATGTCTGGCTTCATTCACGCCCGCTACGAGTGTGCAAACTCTACAGGAAGCCAAAGATCTCATCTCGAAACTGCTGACGAAGTCTCCTGCCGGCAGTTGTTGCTCTTGAGCCTGCCGGCCGCTTTCAACAGTTACACTGACCTTGAGGAATCCCAACGACAGACTTACGCTAGATGCAGTGCTGCGTCATCCGTGGGTGTCCATCAATACCAGTGGCACCCCCGCTGCAAGAAGATTTTTCTGTGTCAACGGTGCTTGACAGTGCTTCTGCTGCCAAGGAGACAATGCCAAGCGGCTTCAGGAGTATTACGGAGGCATTGTCTAAAGTGCATGCGATCAAGGCTTGGGGCTTAGTGGCCAGAAAAAACGCCGAAATGGCTCCGACTCGTTAGACGTTGCGAGGTGCGAAGTTGCACGGCCTTGTTCAGCTAATTCGACTCAAGTCGGCAAATGCAGTCTCGCGCATTCTCAGGCTCATAGTCAGACTAGCAAAACACAGGAGACTGCAATCCAGTCTTGACAAGACAGACTGCTAATTCGGGCGATTGCAAGACGACTCAGCCATTGCTTTTAGCTGGCCTCGGAAATCAGCTGCACGGTGTCTTCCTAGTGTCCCACCCGACGGGTGTGCCCATGCGCTAGCATGAAGCAAAAGCGTCCAAGTCCACAGCGGCCTGCAGTCAGGTGATTCTGCATGGCCATCGGCTCCAGCTGGAGTCTGGCACTCGCAACTGAATGATGATGTTGTTTGGTGGGTGGCATGGGGTGATAGTGTTGGAAGGTTAAAGGCCTTCATGCTTTTCAACGGACTTCAGAAGCTGCCATCTTCGCCTAAGGTTTCACAAGGCACCGGTATTTGTATCAGCTCGGTGCCCCAGTGTGCAGCAGATGCTTCTGGCTTTTCTACACGGTGCTCGTTGTACTGCATGTCACGGCCTGCTTCAGCTAGATCAGCTAGCCCTTAGGTACTCATTGCAGCAGCGGAGCACAGCAGTATGCCGCAGTTCCAACTTAGACATGACATGGCGACAACTGCAGGCAGACTGCAGCCGATGAACGTTCTGTGATGATGTAGTGTACTCCCGTTCAAACTTCAAACTGTCCACCGCTTCCCGGTTGCCGCCTGCCGGATGCAGCACCCTTGCGAAACTCCAGGCACCTGTCCCTCACCAGACATAGCAAATGCACAGACTCCAGTGATTACACCAGGGAGACATGTCAAGCCTATCTGGATGGGCAGCTGCTTGGGCGTAGCTATCTGATTGGCAGACATCCAGGCGGGCACAAGCCGAGCATGACCGAATCCTGACAGTCCATACGCTCCGTGTCGAAACCTGCTGGTGATTCTCTTCAGCAATCAGGGGAACCATGCCGAGCATGGCTGTGCCTGCCGGCAGACAGGCGAGGATTCCTTCTTGGGCATCGTCACACCGAATGCATAAAGGGCTGCTTTCCTCATTCTATCGAACTCTTGGATTTCTTAAAGATTCAGTGGATTTGCTATGCTCTTGCTTGTGCAGACTCGACAGGTTTATCCAATCTACCGCCAGGACTCTCGGCCTGTGTGTTGCCCTCGGCGCGCCGGTGAGAATCGATTTATATTGGCACACTTCCTTTGCTTCTGACTCCTCAAGCAGCTCCATTTCCCTCAGCGGCCGTCTTGGCCTCTCCAGTCTGAGGTGGCCGCGACCGCAGGCGCGCTCCGCCAGCCCTTGTGGTGGGCCCGGCACGGGCTTTGCGGGTTCGGGGACAGCCGTAGGACGAGCTACCCCTTTATCCTTCAACATCACTGTCAGTTCATGTGTCACAATGGCTGGCCGACGAACTGACTGATGCTCTCATTTTATCGTTTCCTTTGTTCCTCCGCTCTGTACCTCTCGCGCTTCGATGCGCTGTTCCGAACGTAGTCCCAGCATAGCAGGTCGAGCGATCTGGCTGCGTGGCACTGAGCAGTAGCGTCGTCATTAGTGCCCTGGTCAGAACAAGCTTTGCCCGGGCTACAGCATCGGTGCGAGGTCCGACATGAGGCCTGTTCCGAAACCGCTGCGTTACGCTGAGATTCTGAGCGGAGGTAGAGGAGTGCCTGCGTGGTTCGAGGTCCATGTGTATGTGCGAGGTTGACCTTCGGAACACCGCCCCGCACTCCCAGGACCATCTTGCCTTTGCCTTTGCCTTGGCTCCCTTTTTTTTCCTGCTTGCGCCTTCTTAACACTTTGCCGACCCGAGTCCGAGGCCAGTTTCGCAGGTGAGCAAGCCTGATCGGGGTGCCTGGAGGCTCGCAGCTTTCACCGGAGCTTGGAGCTGGAGCTCCACGGAGTCTTAGAGTAAAGCTTTCGAAGAGGCAAGTCTGGACGACGGCACCAAAGATGCAAAGACCTCAGAGTTGTGGCATCTTGAACCCCTCAGCCCCTCCCCTCCCGGCCCTGCCGGTGGCCGAGTGACGCGCTCCAGGTGCCCCAGCGGCCCTGGCGTCCAAAGCCTCAGAGCCGGAGCCCCGGCGGGCCGAAGACGCCGCAAGCCTTGGAACGCGTTGCACCCCGGGCCCCGTCGAGAAAATGCCAGACTGCCAGACATTATATATAGTGAAAAAAGTTGCCTTCCCGCACGGAGGCGGCAGAGACAGTACCGAGCGAACCGGCCGGGGCAAACATAGGCAAAGTATGTTTCTTGCCTCAGGTGCTCGTACCTTCAGCAGAGGGCCAATACAAGGCTTGGCTGCATCAGCTTCTGAGCTAAACTCACATTTCGATGTTTCGACGATTTGGTCGTCTTTTCAAGCTTGGACGACTAGTTCGGGGTTTCCGCAAGCTCAGTGATGGGGTTGCCGTCACGTCAGGCCCGCTAAAGGACCAGTAGGTCCCAAATGGTCCCAACGCCCGACACCGGAAGATGTCAGGACACAGAACTAAGAATAACAGTGGTTGCTTTCGGAGTGAGAAGTGTTAACTTCAATGACATGAATGCCGTGATACAGGCCCCAGAATCCATCAGGGCTCGACGCCATTCGGCGCAGTCACCTCAGAAGTGCGTGTGGGATCGTGAGAATCTCTTGCCTTAGAATTGTGTGCATACCTTTGGTGCTTTCCTTGGGCATTTCGCTGCCGCTACAGGCCTTTGCAAAGTTGCGTCGCCTCCGCATCCGGCTCTGTTGTGCCCTCAGCGCTGCAGAGGTACGTCTTGCCTCCTATAAGCTTGCTTGATAAGGCCCACGTCCGACCCGCGGGTACGATGCTGTTGCAGGCTGGGCTGCTTTCTCGGATCATTGGCATCACCCTCCTCGTCATCGTCATCGTCACCCTCGTCACCAGGGTCACCGTCGCCGCCATCATCACCCTCATGGTCGTCACCATCGTCATCACCTCGTCACCTTGGTCACCGTCATCGGTATCATCAGCCTCATCACCTCATCGTCACCCTCATCATCTTATCACTCGTCAGCGTCACCCTCATCGTCAACCCCCCTTCTCGTCACCCCTCGTCATCACCCTGACCTGCAATTTGTAACAGACACAGCTGGCACAGAGACGTCGCGACCCGGGTTTGGGCTCGTCGGCCCTACATGCAAGGAGTCCCGTCAGCAGCTTGCGCCAGGTGCTGCAGCAAGGCAGGATGCACTGAAGCCATGTAACCGTAGACCTTGCCCGGTCATCGTTCCATCCGCAGATATCTGTGCATGCGTCCCAAGCCGCATGAGACCAAATGAGTCATTCAATTCCGGGAGCGTGTGCGAGATCTACGTTTCACGTCTTTGGAGAGCTAATCCCGAAGCTTGAGGCAGCCGACGCCTGAACCGAGGACTTTGAAACCAATGACACCAATGCAGGAGCTATTGGTCGGAGTTCCAGTGCTCCAAGCTGTGTCTTTCATCCTGCCTGCGGTGAGGATGCAACGACGTCCTCGCAGCCTGTCATGTGCTGACCTCAGTGACCACATTTTTTCTGACTGACTTTCCATCAACATGGATGTTGATTGAGGAGATCGGCCGACTCCTTGAGCTGCTCTTTAGCGGCACCTATGCTTGGCCGGACGTAGCAACTGCTACTTTTGATGACTTCAGCTCAGGTTTTAAGAGCAGTCCAAGCACTGCTGGATGTGTCTGGGCATCGCCACAGTTGTCATTCCGTGTCATGCTCAGAAATCCGAAACCACGGAAGTTAGAATGGTTTCACAGAGCCCTCGCGATCAAGCACGTAGCTCAGGTCTGCTGTCGTCATCAGCATCAGCAAACGAGCGGCCTTTGATGGTGGTGTCACCGCAAATCAGTCACAGACAAGTGAGGCATCTTTGAATTGCTCCCAGTCGCTGCGATTTTCCCTTCTGGCATGCATGCAGGAGTGATGCAGACACCACCGCTGCCTCGACGGCCCCCAGGCAAGCACGGATCCCACTCGTTGATAGGCTGGAAAGCCTGCTTCGTTCTCTGACAAGGACCACACACTCTGCAGCGTCGGAGAGGTGGCTGTGCCTCTGCGCTCGCCGTGAGCTTGTGGAGTAAGGGAGATGCTCCCGCAAGCCAGGACGCAGCAGTGCGATGACACGCAATCCAAGGCCGCGGTTGTTCAGGCGGCATCAGTCAAGTTGTGCAAGTCCTCCTCATGCCCGCAGGCTCTTCAAACCTCGTCTTGCCGGACTTCGCATGTCGTGCCTCGCATGAAGTATCTCAATGACTGTGATGCATGTAATCCACGATCGCAACGAGGACCAAATACGCTCTGAAATGATGGAGCTACTGGAGGCACCTTTTGGAGTTTTGCCACATTTTGTGACTTTCTGCGATGGGAGTTAAGGAGAGAGAGCGCTGTCATCAGCGGCAGCTGCAGAACCTTCACAGCTTCCAGCAGGCACCATCGAGTCGTAGCAGTTCAGCGTGGTGGCTCTGAGACTAGCGCCCTGTGTTAGGAGCGGGAGCGCGACCATCAGCGCCAGCTCCAACAAATGCGTAAAACGCACGAGGCGGCAGAGTGAAGAGGGCGCAAGTTTGATGTTCGAGGGATCCGAGACGTCATCGGCCATGCCTTGCTCCGCGATGCTCTGCGTTTCCGCAGGCAGACATGAGGAGACTCGAGGCTCCCATGCAGGGTGGCTGTGCTGGTGATTCTAACAGTGCTGAGGAGGCTGTTCAAACGTGTAAGTTCGGGGCAGGTAAATGTCGTTGGCGGGGATGGCGGTGACTTGTTGATTCATTTGTTAGGGTTTCTTGTGCTCCACTCTTGGCGATCCGGGATTGTCAGTATCAGTGCAAATTGAGAGCGAAAGCGCAAGAGAGGCTTTTCTGTGTTCTGTCACCAGGAGAAGCTGTGCAATCTGCTTGCTGAGAGACAGGACCGTGGCAGAGTCTACAAGCTTTGGCATAGCCAAGAAGCTGAATGAATCGTTCTGTCACGCCCGGTTGAGGAGATCAGATTCTTTCGTGGGGTCGCGTGGCCCGGCTTCAACCGACAGCATTGAAGAGAAGCGCATGTCGCTCTTTGCCCGATTGATCTGATGCTGAGATTCTCACGGCTAAGGAGTGGCAGTGCTGCCACTCCAACTCCCACCAAGGCGGGGGTTAACAGCTTGTGCTAGTAGTTCCCTAAGGCCCTAGCGCCGGTAGGCTCGTACCTTTGCAGCGCCAGTGTCAGGCCACCCCGACACGGCCCCCTGGCAGCCAGGAAGAGGCCATGCGGGAGAAGTCTGGGGTCAGCTTCCTTTGTCGAAGTGCCTGGAGGGCTTGGGCTTTTAGCAAAAGGATACCCTGCTGTACACCGAGCCCAGCTTGGACCGCACCTTGTCTGTTCCCCAGAGTATGAGCTTGAAGTGACACAACGACTAGCCACCGTGTTCGGATATGTGCGGGGGACTCCTCGACATGGTTCCTCCGACTCCGGAAGATACGCAGAGCTGCGAACTGCTGGTGCCTTGCGAATCGTCGGACAGACCTTGGCACCATGTTGTTGGCAGCTCAGGTCCCCCATCACAGCTCGTGAGGCGGATGGGTCGCCGACGCCTGAGAGGCTGAGATAAGCCTGGTGAAGACTTCCTCAAGCAAGTCGGCACGCAACTCGAGGCAGGATCTGGCGGAGCTGGCAAGCCCCAGTCCGCTGAGCCAGGCGGGTCTCTCCGGCCGTGCCGTGCGCCCTAGCCGCCCGAGCCCCGCCGCACATGTCAGGGCAGCTTCCCGTCCTCAGCCATCCTCGGGTGGCGGCCCTGGACTGGGCACCGGCCTCTCTTTCGACGTGGCTCACGGCGTCGAGCCTGAGGTCAGAAAGCTCTCCTTTGACACGCAGCATCAAGATGCTGCCACCCCAGCAGGTGCGGAGCTTGGCTCCAGTCCTCCAGGGTGGCGGTGTTGGCTGCTGTGACCAGGTTCCACCTCTCCCTGGCAAATGATTCCATCGGGAAACGCGATGAATGGCTGCATCAGCTTCGTGAACAACACGAGCTTCCAATGCCTCCTAGTGTGGGCACGTCAGTTTAGGACCCGTCCCCAATGGAATAGCTCTGCAAGATCAGGCATTTTCGTGACCCCGCCCCGGGACGTTGACAAGAGCAGAGCAGTGCTTGGAGAAAGAGCTGCAATCCTCTCCTTAGGGCTCTGAGGTCAGGGCTCTGAGGCTGGAAATCCGAAGCGAAAGCCGGTTTTTGTGGACTTCGGACGCGAAGAAGCGCAGCAAAGCCCCCTGAAGCTCAGGCCCGGGCCTTGACGGATGGCAGCGGGGGCAGCACCAGCAGCCGGCCACCGGCACTGGCCCCAGCACTTCCTCTTCTGCAGAACGGCAGAATTCCAGACGAGAAGGAAACGATCACGGATTTCTCCAACGCATCGCGCGCACGCGCGTTGGCCGGGCACGCACACATGCACACCACGTAAGACTTCCTTATAGGAGCAGGAGGAAGAGAAGTAGTAGTTGTCTGGTAGTCGTCGTTGCGTTGTTGTTGTTGTTGGTGGTGGTGATGGTAGCAGCATCAGCGGCAGTGGTGGATAGTGGAAGCGCGAGTGGCAGCAGAAGAATCAGCAGAAGTGGTGGTGGTGGTGGTGGTGGCCGTGGTACCAGCAGGAAAAGTAGTAAGTAGCATAAATTAAACATCATATCAATTGAATATGGCGAAGTTTGAAAGTTCCGTTCTGCCCGGCGAGGATCCCCCGCCACTGCCGGCTTCTGCCTCGGAGCAGATCTTCCGCCTCGAGCGTGACGTGTTCTCGCTTAAGTTAGAGAGCAAGAGAGAGAGAGAGAGTCTCTCTGAGAGAGGCCTGGACGCAGAACGGCAACCCCGAGGTGCGTCAAGTCAAAAATGCTTTTATGTGACTTTGGTGTGGCAGAGTTTTGTCCCCACCAGTTTCAGGTCGACGACTTTGTCCGGTGCGGTCCTCAGCAGTGGGTGGATACAAGCCGCTAACTGCAGTTCGGCCGAAGCCTGCATGCAGAGGCTGGTCCAGACTGTCCCAATTGTGAGACTGACCCAGGAGACACAACCTCTGTTCGAAGGCAGAAAACGAGCTCAGGCCTACAATTCGCGAATGTCGTGTCCTGACCGTTTCATGACCTCCAATTGGACAGGGAGCTGCCGATGGCCGATCAGCTGGCACTGATCCGCAAGCCTTATAAGCTTGGCTCCCGGTCTGCCTGGTGTGTTTTGGGGTGGTGGAGCGCAGCAGCCAAATCTAGAGTTGTTGCCACCTCAGAGGAAATGAGGGCAAGCAGAGATGCGCCAGCTGCAGTCTGCAATCAAACTGGCAAACAATTTTTTGTTTTGCTGAAGGCACCAAAAAACGCGATCCTTGTACAGCTCCGGGCACACACACGGAATCATCAACCCATGTCGTACTCACTCCAAAGAGCCTCGTTCACCATGATCTCGCCGTCGCTAAGACGAGTATAGAGGCTTCACGGTTCAACGGCCATCTGAGCCCTGCTAAGGGACATTCGCTCCATGGATGCGGTTGTCATCTCTCAGAGCAGGCCTGTCGGGAGCAGCGTGTGGCACAGATGCTAGCTCAAGAGCGTCACCAATGCAACATGCTATGTCACCGACCGTCACTGCATTTGCTGGGTCATGTTTGCACTATGTCTGTGTCTCTCGGCCGTCGCGCGCCTTTGGATCAATTTTCACAGTATTTCGAGGTGTATGTGTGCCTGGAGGCTTCAGCGCGGACTCAGCCTACGTAGTTGTGCATTGGCATGCGATTTCTGCAGGTATTGCAACAGCATGGTGATTCATGAGCTTGCGGCTACGTGGAGCAGCTAGACAGTCAATCCCATAGCTCGTTGTGGATGCCCTCAGGGGCAGAACATGAGCACGAGACAAAGCAGAACCGTTTCTGATTGCAAACTCGAGCATAAGCAGCTTCTCCGATAGCGATGGCACGCCTTCCACTTTCAGTCCGGCTGCGACGTGCCTTCGAACGCGGCGTGCTAAGACGCTGGTAGCAGATGTGTTTAATGTTCCCCTGGCACTACAAAAATAACATACCACGTCATCCTTGGCACTTACTGGTGCTTTGGCCAATGACATCTCGCACAAAGTTTGTCCCTGCCTCCGAGGCGAGCAGCCCAAGGTACAGCTGGACGATACTCTGGCGGGATACTTCGCGGCTATGCCCAGAACTCGGACCTTCATCGTGAGCTGGGCTGAGCTGCTGTTTGAGTGGCCCAAGGCTCGAAGACGACGAGGAGTGCGATGAGGAGAACATCGTTGAGGCAGATCCGAGCAATTTCTCGGGCTTGCCGCAGTACCACACCTGGCCTGTCTTGATTTTGTTCAGAAGATCGCCTCTTCGTGATGTCCGATCTTCAGACTTCAGTTCTGGTGCAAGCGGGCGGCAGTTGGCGTTGGAGCAGCTGTAGCAGACCGTAGCAAGCCGCACATCTTCGCGATGTGCCGAGCAAACTACGTGTTGGAGCACCAGAGCCGCGCATGCAGCATCTCTGATCTTGCGCAAACCAATACCACGTAGTAAATGCAGCCAGCTCAATCGAGACTTCGTTCGAGCCTTGCAGGTGTGGTCCTCGTACCTTGTTGCACTGCTGGAGCCCGAGGGTGCGTGCAAGGATCCGCCAGCTGTCCATCCCATGCTGCTGGGGAAGTCGGAAGCGCGTTGTCCGTACGCGAAGATGACGTGAGTCACCAGGTCGGTGCAGTTTTGCCTTCTGTGTCCCAACAGGAGCTTTGCCTCTCGGTCTTGAAGCACCTGAAGGAGAGGAGTGCTTGGTGATGAGAAACTGCAGTAACTGTGAATCTTTCTGGTCGCATTTCTGGCATTCCGGGTTCCCTGCAGGCCTGTGAGGCTGTTTGCCACTGCCTCAAAATTCCCTCAACTCCGAGGCACCGACTCCCAGCGGTTTTTGCTGCCTCCACGCTTTGCCCAGGCAGCGCTGCAAACTCGCCTCAGCTTTCGCGAGCAGGCGTGCCGGCGTGCGGGCGTGCGGGCGTGCGGGTGGGTCGCCCTACACCAAACCCTTGCGCTCCCCACTTTTTGCTGGCGTGCCCTTTTGAGGCTCCCTGAACCCGGCTCCGGGTGCCACGGTGGAGATCTCGATCACAGAAGTGGAGACCAGCCCAACAGAGGAGCCCGAGGAGAGTGTGCCATAACGACGCACAGAGCCCCGATTCCTGCCTGTCTGCGCTTGCACTCTGTGCATTGTTGGCACTGATCTCAAAAAGCTGGGCCGCACTCCGAAAACAAGGCAAGTTAGGTCAGTTAGCCGCAGATGGGTCGGCTGCCCGATTACCCAATGCTAGCAATTCCACAGCCACCGCAAAGAATGAGAACCTTTGGTCCTGATCCTTGAGTCTCTTCGGAGCAACATGGCGGCGCCCGCCGATGAGCCGGACGAGGCTTCGCCTCCTTCGCCGGACTACCTGGACGCGCTGCTGACCAAGCCGGCTCGCAGCGGCCGCACTGGCCAGCGGCCCTTCGGCTCCCTGGGCGACCAGATCGAGGCGAGAAGAAAGAAGAAGTACTTTGCTCCTGCTTTGCCTGCTTTTTGTTGCTCGAGCTCGAGGTGGACAAGTACGATGAGCAGCTTGCCATCAAGGTTGAAGATCTCAAGGCACCGTACGAGATCCGAACTGAAGCTTCCAGTGCCCACGTCGTGTGCAAGCGACCTGAGTCACGGCTTGCTCAGTGGCCTCTTCCTCTTCGGCAGGCACTCTTCAGGGGAGCCATTCCGCGAGATGTGGTGGACTGGGCAAGAGCGTGTTAGAGCGAAGTAGTGGATGATTCAGGAATCAAACAGTGCCTTTTCTGTGTGGGGGTATGCAGGACAGGGCCGAGATCTTCCCCTCCCCAGCCAGAGAGTTCCGGCACCGGGCGGGGCCGCTGGCCGTGCGCCGGCCTTGCGCAGAGAGGCACGCCATGTCGCAGTCAAACGTCCGTTGTTTGTCAACTGCAGCCTTAGCCGCCACAGTACTGCGCGTCTGTACGCTTCCGACCGCAGACCATCTACGTTCGTACACAGCTCACTCGACGAATAGATCTCTCGCTCCACGCGTCTGAATCTTTCTCTCTGTCTCTCTCTTCCCATGTGTCGGCGGCATCTTATATGTGCATGCATAGCAGCAGTGTCCCGGAGAGAGATATCTTGGCTTTGAGGCAGGCCGAGGGTATCTCCCTCGAGCTCTCGATGTGGGACCCGGCGGCCAAAGAGCACAGCCTCATCAGTCCCACAGAGGCTCTATTGGCTTTGCATCGGCTCCGTGCAAGCTTCCGAGTCAGAGCTGGTGACGGTGAGGTGCCCATCTTCTCGCGGCCCATCTCCGTAGCCATGGAGGTGGGGAACGGGGATCCTTCTGTGAAGCCGGGCTGAGACCCAGACGACTTGGTCAGCTTTTCGGGGTTGGCCTCTGCATCAGGTGCTGAGGACGCTGCCCATCCGAGTGGACCCTGAATTGGGGGCGCCTCGGAAGAATGGACAAGGAAAGAGAGCAGGACCAGTGGCAGGTGACTTCGGTTCTGATTCTGAGGAGGGCAACGACGAGCAGGAGTGGACCTGCCTTGACCTCGCTGATGCTTCCAAGCCGACAGCCTGGGGGCGAGTCATCGGGCATGGCTTGCGCTCAGCCCAGTTCCACTCGACACTCTCTGGCGAACTCATCGTGTGCCTCGCCGAATCTTCAGACCTCCATGGCGTCTATGTCTAAGGAGTGTATGAGGGAATAATTTCTGTTTGACCTTCTCTCCCTTATTCATGCCAGCATTGACAAACTCAGCAACCACCAAGTCTGCCGGCAGGTGTCTCGCGTACCACGACGTACGTCTGCGCGACTTAAAACGTGGGCAGCCGCTGCCAGAGGAGGCATGCTGTTCGCAGAGCAACCCGGCACTTACCTGGTGTCAGTCTGTCAGTCTTACCCTGGCAAGGACGATGCAGCCTTCGAGAATTCCACCCAAGGAAAGAGGCCGGGATCGCCCAACGTTTCACAGGAGCCCTCAGATGCCTGCAAGTGATAAGCTATGCTACGAAGCTACAAGGTGGATGGCCGCTGCACAGGAGCTGAGGAGCTTCCTGCCGCTCCGACAAAAGTAGCAAATCCTCGGCAGTTCCCGCCGATTTCCATGATTCTGTTGTGCTTCTGCGGTCTGGGCTGTTGTCTCGTGCCTTCGACACCGCTGACATCCTTTAACATTGCAAGAATCGCCGTACGGGAATGTTGCGGAGATAAGTACTTTGGGCTTGTCGTGCATAGGTTGCAAGCGATGGAAGCTGCAGACGTCAAAGGACGCGAGTGATGAACATGCATCATCTCGAAGTGCCTCATGCTGGTGTTGAGTGGCATGCAGATGGATGTTCGTGTCCATCTTGTGGCCAGCATGGCAGCAGCTGCAGGAGCAAAAGTAGACGTCGTGGGACGATGGAAGCGAAGGCGTTTAGCGGTCGAGCGGGACTTCGTGCAGGTTCCCGCTTGGGTTTGCCTCGGATATGCTCCGTCGCAGCCCTCTGAGACAACGCCAGGAGGCTTTCGAGCTAGAGGATGGCCGGAAGCTGGTGTACAAGCAGCCAGAGGCGGGAGAGTGAGCTTAGCCCCCCCCCTCCCTTCCCGTTCCACTCCTCCGTCCTGGCAGGGTCAGTTTTCGAACCCGCACTTTGGCTTCACTGAGACGGATCTTCGCTATTGGTCAACACAGCTTGGCTCGGCGGGGTTTGAGCTGAGGACGAGAGCAACAGTCAAACACATGTCAGCCTTCTGGGCCTTGCCGTGTTGTTGTCTAGACAAATCCAGCAACAAGCAACCGGCGACCTAGTCATTGAGTCGTGCTGCCGTACTGCAGAGAGCTTCCTTGGCTGCCGAGGAACTTGCCTTGCGAGGTCGGGATTTTCTAGCCTCCTTGGCTTGCGTGCAGGTGCCTGCGCTTCGCATGCAATGTGTGAAGTCAGCAGGTGCATTGCCTGAACTGGCTCTGCCTCCAGGCTCTGGTTTCAAACCACGAACTGTTTCAGTTTTCCACGTTTTCAACCCCAACTGCCGCTGCCAGGCCAAAGAAGCAAGGAAGGATGCATCCGCGGGCAGGACCGGCCCATTCTGTGGTGTGTGAACTCTTCGGTCGACTCCAGAACACTTCACGAGCATTCGTGCGAATCGAGTGCAAGTTTTTGCTGCAAAGTTCGCCCTGCTTGCAGGAGAGCTGAGGGGAGGTTGCTGGAACTCCATTGTGGAGGTGCCTACGATCGAGACGAGTCTTGGGCCCCGTGGGGCTTGCTGCGCTCAGCGCACGATCACAGGCTTGAGACTGTATACAGCAGGTGGCAACAACACTGTGGCGCTGGCCCCGTTGTTTGAGTCTGTCCGAGCGGTGGAGATCAACCGCACGTTGGCGCAAGCCGCAGAGGATCGTGACCTGCAGATTTTTTTGCAGTATCGTGGTGCTCATGATCCCTTACTGTGCAACTGCTTGGAGAGACGGCTGATAGATCAACACCGCAAGCTTGGTCTCGCTTCTTCGGCACAGTATCTTGCATGAGCCCGCCCCGCAGGACAACTTGAAAGCAAACAACATCACGTGCTTGGGTTGCAGCCAGGGTGCTTCATCTGCCCAGCAGCAATGTGCGAAAGTAAACGAAGCCGCCTGAACCTTGACTAGCTGACTAGCATTCGTGCAGTTCTCGCCTGTTGAGGAATACCAAAATCTTCCGTACGTCGAGCGAGAGTATCGACGATTCGATCTTCGCTGGTTGTGATGTGATCTTGGTGGACCCACCACGCGCAGGCCAGCGAACACCGGGATCTTCTGTCATAGCCCCGGGCTGGCAGGTTTTCAACAAGCTCACTTGCTAGCCTTCGTCCTAAGTCCTAAGATTTCCTAAAGCAGCAGTCAAGGAGCGACGACAAACAAATTCGCAAACAGACGCCCTTCACACGCTGACACAGGAAAGTTTTTTCATTGCAGTGGCATGCGAATTCCCGACCTTCTATTGTGAAGTGCCCATTTGGCATTGACATCCGTGTGCTGCTGTGTGGGAGATACCGCAACTGTTGTAAGTGGTGTCATCACCAGACCTGCCCTGCTGCAGATTAGTACTAGCCGCCAGCCTTTGGTATGTCGGGTTCATTACGCAAAGCACGCAAGGTATGCAAAACAATCGAGACGCGTACGCGCCCGCCTGCCCGCATGCCCACCCGCCCGTGCGCACGTCCGCAAATGCATGAGCACACCCACACACATGCACGCCCACCCACCCAAGCACAAACACTCGCGCACCCCGCCCTTCGCCCCCCGGTCCGCATGCACTTGCTCTTGTTGTAAGAGTCTTCGCCTTCACTTCCGCATGCTCTGCAGGCTTGGACCGCACTGCCCGAAAATGCGTGGCCAAATTCGATCAGCTTCCCGGCAGAGCCTATGATTGTCAAACGAACCAAAGCCGGACCACGGCGCGGAGCGTCGCAGCTCAGGATTCTGTACATTTCTTGCAATCCTTTGGCCCTCAAGGGTGACATCGAGAGCCTGGGTGAAGGCACAGCTTGTGGCCTGCTTTGGGTTTGGGCGGTTTGCCTTGGTTTATCAGCTCTGTTCTGTCTCTGTGGTCAAGCCGAAGTTCCAGGCTTCGAGGTGGTGGCCCTTGCAATCTTCGACATGTTTCCCTACACCACCCATGCCGCAGCTTGGACTAACTGTGCTGGGTTTACGACGACAGCTTTCTTTTATGGATCTGGTGAAGGCCACATGCAAAGTGCACCTTGTGCGCTGCAAGGAGTGCGCTGTCCGCATCCGCCGCAGGCGACAGGCAGGGATCGCAGCTGCGCCTCCCCTCTGGCCCTTTGAGCGACACTTCCGCCCCCCCCCAGGCATTTGTGCCACGATCGCCCAGCAGCAGACGGTGGAAGTTTCTCGTGCTGTTCGTCATAGGCACGAGGATGTATTAAGAAGCATGCTGTCTCGTTCAGGCACACACATAGACATAGACATAGATGTAGAAAGTGAGCGGCAGATTTGCAAGCTGCAGGTGCTGTAGCTGCAGCTCTATATCGTCGGCGCTTCCGGTGCAAGTTGGCAGCTTGAGAGCCCTTGGCCGCTGTCGGCTGCTTTTCCTGGACATAGTGCAACACCATTGTGTACAAAGTACCAGCTGGAGCTGAAACGCCGACGTGTTCTTACCTCCTCTTCGGAACCGGTGTTCAGATGTTGACAATAAAATGAACGTGTTAGTGTTACTTTAAAAACCCAAACTTAGACCGCTTCTGCTCTCGGCTATGGTCCTTAGCCGCGTTTCACTGCGTCTTGCTGCGCAACTTCGTGGATGTTTGGAGAGTTGTCCGCAGCAGTGGCACGCTACAGGGTTTAGGTTGAGGCCAATATGCTTGTGCCGGAAAAAGAACTGTGGTCACACCTTTGGTGTGCAAGTGGTAGAGTGGCGAGGAGGTGGAGGGGCTCGGCGAGTGGCTGGAGAAGCTCAGCCGCTGCCCTCGGAGAGCAAAACACACAGGATCAGCACGATGAAACGAACCAGTTCCTGTCTCTGCCTTGAGGCTTGTCCCAGTATGCCGTGGCAGCGCGGGAGTGGTGCTCCGGCATGGGCTGGGACCCCCGAAAAATCTTACGAAAACTTCAAAAAAAGACCGAACACATTGCTCTGCCCGCTTCGAGGGGCAGCGACTGTGGAAGAGATCGAGGAAAACTGGGAGGAGTTCAGCGATGCGCCGCCGTCTCAGCATCAGAGAGCGGGCCGCCCTACCTACCTGTCATCAGCGGCTTTAATTGGTGCGAATCTTATCACAGGGACGACAACAAGTGCCATCATCTATCAGAATCTAACCTCTATGTATCACTGGCTGTTTTCGCCAGGATGAACCTCAAGTTCCTCGAGCGGCGCCGCCTGAAGCTGTGCGCTGCTTCGGTGAGCGAAGCAGCGACGCCTGAACTCTCAGAAGCTTTAGTTGTGTAAAGGTGCGTACGTGCCTGTGTGAAGTCTACCCAGGGGATCACGCCGGATTCGGTATTGGATTTTCTTCGTGCTATCACAGAGAGATCTGAGTAAAACGAAGTCCCACCACCTGGCTCAGAATCGGTGGTTTAGGAGCGCAGGCGCACAGTGCTAGCGGAGATGTATCCCCATCTGTGTTGCAGCTGTCGGTGATGTGTTTCATACCGAGCCTCCTTACTGTTTCTTTGTCTGCCACTCTGCCACCCAGCCGCACGCACCCAGCCACACCCACCCGTCCGCCCACCTGCCCACTCACACGCGTAACCTCACAATATATTTGTGCATGTCGCTGCATGTCTGTATACCTTCATACTGGTAATGCACCTGTCGCGATTTATCCAGATGTCTCTCAAGCACACAGACCCCCGCGTCTGCGTCTTCACATCTGAATCCCCATCTCTGTCAAGATTCATGCATGTCTTTTGGTCAAATGGAAAGTGTGTATACACACCACGACACCATCTTTTGGCCTTTGGCAGTGACACCAGCAAAGTACATTACATGATCATGCTGTCGCTGGGGCTCCAGTTCCTAGGCCTCAAGCGCGAGACCACGCGGACGCAGAGGAGGACTGCACCTCCACCCTTATGCTGACGAGCTTGTGCATGATACCAGCTACAGGATCTGGCCTAAGAGAGTTTCGGAAGAGGGGCCACTGGCAATGTGGAAGCTGTCCAGGAGGCAGAGGAGTCTCACAGCCACTGGGCACGGCCCTCGGAGAGGTCAGAGGATCCTTCGGAACTCGTACAATATCGCCCCCGTCCCGGCTCTGTTATTCGCGTTTCCCTTCCGGGTGTGTACCTCGCAGGGCTTGGCAATCCAAAGGTCGCCCAGCTTGAGGAAACTGTTCCGCTGCTCGGAATCGCGAAGACTTCTAACAGCCCTCCCGATCGAGGTACCGGGCAATTTGACGGCTTCACCGGAGGCCAGGATCCGTACAACAAAGAGGATCTCATCACATTGCCATGATGCCTAGCAAGTCCCAGTTGCAGGCGGAGCGCTCCTTCGTCATGCCTGCAGCTTGGTGTGCTGACCACGAGTGCTCAAGTCGGGGATGTAGATGACGGCTGATTGGAATCTGGATCTGGATGGTTCAGGTCTTCATCAAGCAGCAAACGCGGAGAGCACCCAACTCATCTTAAGATCTGTGGTGCAATGTGGAATGTACAGCGCGTGCATGTGTGGAGAGCTGAGGCTGCATAGCTTTGGTGACCCAGACAGCCTGTGTCCAAGCAATTGGTGCAGTTTCGAGATGTTTGGGGAAGACAGAGTTCGGTGGATGGAAGCGCCAGATCCCTATACCATCCTGAAAGAGCTTGGTCATGGGATGACGGCCACTGCAGTGGCCTCGGGGTCCGGGAGAGTGCAACCACCCAGCCCCAGAGAGCACGAGGTCTACAAGTGCCGGAGGGACGACCAGATTTTCGCCGTCAAAGCGATCGGCCTGTCCAGGTGCGTACATCCTTCCCCGCCCTGCTGCATCATGTCCATCTCATGTGTGAACACTTCGCTTGCTAGCAAAGGTTGCAGATGCAGCGCGACAAAGAAAAGGCCTTGGAACGTTTGCGCAGAGAGCCAGGAGCCAATCGTCTTTGCTTCGCAACTGTATTCGCCATTGGCAAAGTCGTTTTCTCTATGAAGGGGAAGGTGGAGTCGCCGGTCCGCTGTTGATGTTGATGACTGGATCCGCAGCACTGGGCTCCATCGACTGACGAACCCCACAGCACACACTAGCTGCTAGCAGTCTCTAGCATAGGCCTCTTGCTGGATGTCAAGGGGCGTGGTCCTCAGTTCAGCATGGCGCAGCGCCACCAGCTACATTTGGTTCGCGAGAGATCCTATTCACCGAGACTCTGAGGTACAGATTCTGCTGAGGCGGCACTCATGAAGACCGAGAGCTGGGGATCGATCGAGGAGGCTCACAAGAGAGTGTCTGTGGGCTGAGGCAGCTCCTTTTGCGGGGACGATCCGAGTTGACACGCCGTGCATTTTGGTAGTGCAGGTGGTGAATGCCCCTGTGGAGAACGTGGCAGGCGATGCCACGTGGCTGTCGGCTCCGTGGTGTAGCATTAAAATCATTAGATGTACTCGTGCACAGAGCGAGCGTGTTGTTCCCAAGATCTGACTTTCTGCAAGACCCTTCGCGCTGCATCACTCGGAACAATCTCAGACGAAATCCTCCACTGTTCGACCTGAGGTGCTGTGCATGTGGCTGACGCTGCCGCTCAATCTTATCCAGGGCTGCATCGGTGGGCTTTGCAGGCAGAGACGTGACTGGGTCGGACATACCTTGCTGGGTGTGCTGCACAAAAGCTTGAACCGTTGTTCAGCACTTTCCCGAATCAAGAAAGACCTTCGCTTTTTGCGGACCGAGAAGCATCAACAGACTGTTGGGTGCCTTCTGGTTCAGGTTTGCGATGGCTTTCTTCGTGATTGGCTGTTACTGCTGCCGGTGCATTCCGCCCCTGGGCAGGATCTTTTTTAATTGGTTGCCTTGGTGTGGCGTTGTTTCGGGGACTGCCTGGTCTCTTAGCGTCTTAGCCGCTCAGGCTTCTACTAACATAAATGAAGCTGACGTCTCGCAAGGGGCTGGATCTGCTGCGCCGCCATGGCCTCTGTAAAGTGTGGCCGTCCTTGCATCCTGGCACCTTCGTGGTGGAGATATGCAACTCGGCTAAAGACGCCCGTGAGTGTGCATGCTGTCTGCATGCTGTCACGAAATGGGATAAAGGCCGGCTTGGGCGGAGTTGTCCAGGTATTGGGGGGCTTCATTGCGCTCTTGGCAAATTCCAGGCTCTGGGGCCTGGTGAGCAGTGACGTGAAGAAATCGCAGCTTGTGCAGGAGTCGTCTGGCCTTGTTCATATGGGAGTGGGAGGCGCCATGGCCAGAAGACGTGCTGGGAGTGCAAGCTGCAAGCCCTGAACTCTCAAGGGCAAGCTGCCGCCCAAGTGTAGATGCGAGCATGCTGCGTGCATGGCGCCAGGCGTTTGGAAAAGGAGACCACTACTGGCATGGGGAAGGGTACTGGTCAGTCACCTACGAGGAGCACTGCCTGGGAGTTTCGGATCGCTCGTGCCGTTCTGCCGTTCGTCCGGGTGCAGGAGTGCAGCAGGATCACGAAGTCCCAACAGAAGAGACGGTCCGCTTTTGCATGCATCGAGGCATGCAGGGACGGGGCGTAGAAGGGACCGCTTGTGCTGAACTTCTGTGCAAGGCCTGCGTTCCTGACCTCTTTGCGCCTGGCCCAGTGGGGTCAGACAGTAGAGAGAGCCATTCCGCGCCTCTGTCTCACTGGGTGTCTTGAGGCTTCCAATATTCTGCTCTTCCTGCCCACGGGTGGCCCTGAGAGCGAGTGGGCGGCAATCCGCAAAGTGCTGCATGCGGCGATGTTAGACCGAGGCACCTTGGAGTTTCCGGGGATCCAGTGGCTGCGCAGCCCTATTTTCGACTTGTGCTTAAAGTCGTTAAGCTCTGAAGGTGAAGTGGACAAGCGGAACTGTAGCTAGATTGGGATTGTGGTCAAGCTTCCAAGAACGGGCGGTCGGCCCTTTTGGCAGGCAGATAGCGCAGCACTCCCAACGATCAGGTGCTTACCATTACACGGAGCGCTTGCAGAAGCTGAGCTCGCAGATAGCTGCCGAGTGGCCAGAGCCAAAACTCACGGACCCCGCCTCAGCTCCGGAATTGTGACTCCCATAAATCGGCTGAGATTTCGACTTCCTGGGTAGCTTCGAAGCAGCGACTTGTAGTGTGGCAGCTGAGCACAGTTCATTTATAGTTTATCAAGCGATGTTATCAAGCGAAGCTTGCTAGTATCAGGACTTCGATGACACGGAAAAGTTGCGCCTTATGGCTTCTTGGCGGTTTGCAGTGTAGGAAAGACTTCACAAACGCAGCATGCTACTCAGTGGATGAGGTCGTGAAGTGCGTCTTCTTCATGATCTTCGGTATTTGGCTCGACGACAACGATGCGCTGATCCTCCGCAAGTGGCGAGACTATGCTGTGTGACTCGGTCGCAAGCGAGCCTTTGAAGCTGAAAGCAGTTGCATGCGTCAAAGATGACTTGCAGAATTTCTGCTGGAGGATAAGAAGTTCCTGCACCGTCCTGGCAGAAGCTTTGACCCTCTCTGAGCGCCTGCGCGCTCAGGTTCTTTGTCCTCCCACGGCTGATTCACCGGTTCATTTTCAACTTCGCCATTGGCAGGGTAAAGCAGCTTCGGGTGGACACGGCGCCTCGAATTGACTGGCATGTGCAAGTTCAGCTGCGGGAAAAGCTCTGGTCACTCGTAAGGTCGGGGTCATTGAAAAGCATGGGCTTCAGCCAATGTTTGTGGAGATGAACAAGAATCTGCCAGAGAAATACCGAAGGCAGGGGGCTGGAAGGGGATCTGGGGTCAGCTCGCAACGTGGCGAAGCCGTGAGCTTAAGGCCGACGGACGTGAAGCTGTGCGATGAGATCATGCTCCAAAGCCGCACGTTTTATTCCGCTGCTATTGCATGCTGCATACTGCGTGCTCGTAAAGTGCTACGGTGTACCGCATGCCTGTGCTCGTACTACTACTGTTTCCAGTGCTACCATAACTACTACTACTACTACTACTACTACTACGACGACGACGACTACTACTGCTACTGCTACCGCTACTGCTGTTGCTACTGCTGTTGATAGCAGTATTAGGACTGCTAGTACTGCTGATTTGCTGCAGGAGTGCAACTTCTGCTGCTTGCCTGTTACCCTGCCAACCTTCTCATCTGCCAACCTACATAAATCACGTACCTACCTCCCTGCATGCGTGCAACGGGTGCTTGAATGAATGACCGCGACTAAGACTCAAGACTGAACTGTGTGTCTGTCTGTCTGTCTGTCTGTCTGTCTGTCTGTAGGTGGGTGTGTAGGTAGGTATGTATGCATGCACTAGGCACGGGTATATATGTTTATAATATGCAGACCACGTATGTACGTAGGTACGTATGTATGCATACCCATATATGTAATATTGATATGTGTTTGCGTTCATGGCAGCATCTTCCCTGTCATGCCTGTGCGAGTTGCAGAACTCGACACCGATGAGCAGGCCGTAGGCTGAAGGACACTAAGACTCTGCAATGCTTGAAATCGCTGAACTGGAAGCGAATGGAAGTAGTGCTCTGGTTGAGACTGCACCAAGTGGCTGCGACATCTGGTCGCTGGCACGCAAGTCCTTTGTCTGGTTTGAAGTAGTTGCTTGTAATGTTTCTCAGCTTGAACATCAACGTCTATGCATACCTTGCCGAATGCCCAAAATGGATGGCGCTCGAGCGGGCGACCGATGCCTGCAACATCGAGTGTCCAGGGCAAACCCGGAGCAGCTCAGGGTCCGACAGCCACCAGCCGAGGTTTGCTGTGGGCTTTGCCGGGATCGGTGGCACGAGTGCTTGCATCGAGACAGTCGGCGCTTTCCTTCAGAGCTGCTTTGGATGCAAGATTCGGATGCTCTTGTCTCCCTTTCGCCTTGATTTCTGGAGCGCCGACGTATGTCGTTGCCATCCAGCTACTTTCATCGAGTCTGGGTTCAAGCAGTAACTCAGTGCACAGTTTTCGACCCGGCAGCAATGAATGGAAGGAAAGATCCCTGAAGAAGCGAGCGCCCACCTGATTAGCTTCGAGAAGCAGCATGTCTGCACATAAGAGCATTAGAGGTCGTGGAGGCAGGCGCGAGTTGGCTGTGGGCAATTCTTGGACGCCAAGGTATCCCACGACTGAAGACATGCTGGAGGCATACAAAGCCAGTCCGGTGAAGTACATCAAGGCCCACCTTCCTCGGCAAGTTTCGGGAAGCCGCTGCTATCGGCTGCAACTTTGTGGGTTGGTTCTACGAACTGGTTAGGTGGTGGTACGGAGTACAGTAACAGCAACCAGCGGACATGGAAGCATTGTACAGCCGGCATCAAATAAATGAGATTCGGATTCGGTGTTGTTTTTTTTCAGAGTTTTGTGGGCTTGGGTGATGCTTCCCACGACAGACGGCTTGCCACCCAGCGGCAAAGCGAGACCAGTTTTCGTTGATTGCCTTCATTTCACATGCTACCGCGACGGCTTCAGCTCGTCGTCTTACCTTTATATAGCCCTTAGTTTTTTGGTTGCGCCAGCTTCGGTCTCGGTGGTGTGAGCGTGAGCAGGAGTCTTGCCGCATCGACCCGCCGGTGACGAGTGCCACTCGCGTTGACCCCGACGAGAGGGTCCAGGGCTGAGTCTGAGTCGCAGCTCCGCAGCTCATCGCAGCTCTTTCGCTCTTTCTTCTTCCGTGGTGAGTCGCAGCTCAGGAGCTCCTGTTCAAGGGCATCCCCTACACGATGCCACCGGACACACTCAACCAGTACGTTATCTCCATGGCAAACCGAGACACAAAGATCTTCGAGAACCCCGATGTCTTCGATCCCACCCGCAAGGATGCCAGCTTGATCTCATTCCGCCAAGGGGGCAGTCTTGGCAGTGACGCCAGCGGTGCCGTTCGTAACGTGGGCATCGAGCCTCGATGGATTCTGACTGTGTATGATGCTCACCTATGAATTTCGCTTCTAGGGGCTCTTGTCATGCAGGAGCTGGACCAAGCCCTTACATGGAACGGTGCTTTTGGCACCCCCAATGAGGCGCCTGGTACGTCTGCTGACTGTGAGGGGGCCTGACGGAACAGAAGAGAGCAGAGCATTGTGACACGTGCACATTATCGTTGGATGTTGGATGCCTTGTGAATCTTCAAAGGGCAGATGATGCAATCGAGCGCGCCCTTGCAACCCGGGGTTTCATAGACTTCGCTTCTTTGAGCCGGGCAGGGGCCTGACAAGTGTTCTTGCATACGGGCAGTGAATGCGTTCAGCCACGCGGGCTTAGGGAACCGACCGGGAGACATGCGGAGACCCAAACCCATGGAAGCCTGTCCTAGACCAAGTGTTGCTGCAGCTCTCATAGCTATGATAACGGCTAGTGCCTGGCGAAGCCTATGGTTGTCGGGATGCACCCTGATCGGCATCCAGCCACTGAATGCTACCAGGAGACGGTGTACCCTCGGATTTGCCCCGGCCGCTTCCTTGCCCTGGATGTCGCACAGGCCATCGTGTCACTTAGCTTAACCAGTGTCGCTCTGCCGGGTTGTCCTGAGCAGTGGTGGGGCAGTTGCCCGTGGGATGCACTCATTGGAATCCCAACAGGCAGGTCTGTGTCTCGATGCAGGAAAAGCTCCATGCCACCTACTGTCACATTATATTCGCCACACCACTGGTAGCACAAGTGTACAGGTAGCCGACTGCACCATGTCCGGAGTTCGTCCAAGCCGCACAGTTTAGAACCTCTGGGACAGCCAGGACGGTTGCAGGAGAGAAGGACTGGAATCTTGCGAGGGGGGCACCGACCACATGTAGAGACCTCCAAGGGATGGCTCATGATGGCTCGACGTGAAAAGTTTTACGCAGTAATCGCAGCGTTTCATGCCGTTGTCGATGCTGCACTTCTGTATGACTGAGCATCTCGTGGCATGGTAGCCGTGCGATCATGTTTATGCTTCCAGAGCTCGGCGCTAAGGGGGCATGTGGTCGGAGTCAAGGACTGCCGAGTCTCACGATTTGTCCTGCCGGCGCTTGCCATCGGAAAGCCCAGAAATTGGATGTCGAATGTCTTGCGGCCTGCGTCATGCTTCCAGTTTTCACGTCACTTATCTCTGTGGTTCATAGGAGGTTGCCCAAGACCTGTCAGGACGATGGCAGGGATGCGCGAATGTTCTGCTAACAGCAGGTTGCCGAGAAGGTTGCCCAGCTGCAGAGCGAGAATTTGCATACACCTGTGTAGCTTCTATTGATGCCAGGAGCAGAGGTGGTGGTCGGTGGTCGAAACCATGAAAACCGCGAGACGTGCGTCAAAGTTTTCACACGTTCCACGAGTTTTTAATGGAACGGTCAATGGACCTCAGCCGACCTTCACTACAGCGCTGCCAGTTGCTTGATTCCACCCGTAACGTGAATCTGCGCTTCTGGCGATACAAGATCGTCATGACACTGTTTTAAAAGTCCGTGCCGAGAGGTCGTTGGACTCCATGCAACGTGCATCCTAACCACGTTCTTGAATGAGTCGTTATGATTTGATGCGCACCAGCTAGGATCTGCACGTCTGCTTCATTGTTGAGGGGAGGACAAAAAAATGTCACCCCTTAGCAGTGTGTGGCTGGCCAGCCAGTTCCGCAAGCAACCAAGAGCTGTTGCAACGAAAAAGTATGCCATCCGAAACGGAAGAAGCGGGAACGATGGATCTGCTTGACACGAACTTCTCCCAGGTCTGCCATCCTCTTCTCCATGCGCCACCCGCACGCGTTGGCCTCAGAAGACCTCTCGTTTGGGGCAAAAATATCGGCCAGGCCTGGCCGTAATGTTTCGATCTTCAGAATCGCCGCCTTCTGGTCAAGGTGGTATCTCTGTACGACGTGCACGAAACCTTCGAAAGGCTTGCTCTTGGCTCCGAGCCGCTTCGCTGTGTTCGACTAGGTTTGTTCCAGTATATCCGTATATCCGCACGCAGCGGGCAGCACGCCTGCTGGGAGGCGCTTCTTGGTCATGGAGTTCGTGGATGGTGGTGAACTCATCGACGTCTGCCTGGCACATTGCCAGGGTGGGTTCTGGTTCGTCTTGACGTTGATGTCGTCTGGCTAATAGCATATAGCATGAAGAGGCCCTGTCCAACCAGTGCCCGTTTCATTGGGTGGGAGGAATGTTGGTTTCGCCAAGAATACTTTGGACAGGAGATCGACAAGAACGGCCCTTTACCAGAGCATGAGGCCGGCTGCTGCCGTTTCAATTGCAAGAGCAGTGTGCCTGTTTTGTCCCTTGGTGCCCCTGTGCCCTGCGTGCTACCGATGCCAGGCAAGATACGTTTTTCTGCAAATAGTTCTTGGCCGCAGCCTTGGTCCTTGGTGGCATTGCAGTTTCCGTGTGACCTGGTGGCAGCCAAAAGGTCTCAGATACATCCACTCCAAGGGTGTGGCCAAGATCTTGGATCATTCTGGAAACTCGAATCTTTCAGTCAACAAAGGCGTGACAGCGAACTTGTTGAGATCCGTAGTCTGGAGGTGAACTGAGAGGGACAGACGAGCAAGACCTGTGTATGTCCGAGGTGCATCGAGATCTCAAGCTGGAGAATGTCTTGGTGGACAAAGCTTCGTGGCGGTGCTCAGCTGTTCCAAGTTCTGGCACTGGCACTGGAATTTTTCCTGATGTGCGGGTCCTGCGTATTGATCTTTTGTTGCCGTAAATCAATTAATCGATCGTCGCTGAAAGCTGTCTTCATCCCGCGTCCTGCTACAGTTTTGGAAAGCACTGTTTTCATCAAGCGGCTTACAAACGCGAATCGCAAAGGCCATTCCCGACAGCTTCGAAGACTAGCTGCCCAACACAAACCGGAGGTGTCTCTCCCGAAGATGTGGGAAGAATCCTGAAATCCAAATCTCACGGACGATTCTGCTAGAAACTCCCTTCTCAACGCTGCAATTCGCAAGCAAGCCGCCCTCAGGCTTTGGAATGAAGCCTTTTGAAACGCAAACACAGTCCTCGCAGAACTGCGCACTCGAGCTTGAGCTTTACGGTTCTGTATTTCATGGTTAATTAAGGCTCAGGGTTTCGTCATTGGGCTGAGGTATCGGGATTCATAAACTGTCAGGTGATGGCTTGAAACTGTCAAACCACGCACCGACAAGGGCAAAACTGCGTCGAAGCTGTTCTGAAAATGTGCTACCCACGGAATTGGAAACCACAGATTGCTCCTGCGCAAGGTCTTGTTTCCATGGCTTTCAAGTTTTTCGGGTTTCGCTGACAATCGAGTTTCGCACAGTCATAAGTGATGGCAAGGATGCTAAACCCTACAAAATATCCGGCAAGTCTTTCTTTCGTATTGCAAAATACAAAAAGACTGAGCATGTCGGCTAGAGCGGTCGGGCAAGTTTCAAGTAACTTACACGGATTCTGGCAAAGATCCAACTTAAGTCCAGCAGTTGCAGAACGTGGAGCTAACAGACTCCAAATGCAAAGCCCGGATCTAGGCCTCTGTTCCAGATTGTTGCTATGACGATGAGACCACGAGCCACTATTGTTGCAGTTTGACGGCATAGATCTGCCCCTAAGCCCCAAATGGGAGATAATTAGGGGTGACTTATTTTGGGATCCCTAGATTGGGATCCTACTGTCTAGGGTGCTGTATTAGGGTCCTATTTTCGGAAACTCGCAAATCGTACTTTTTCATCGCCTTCATTTGTTTTTTTTGGCGCGGCCTTGCTGTCGATGGGGCGCTCGGAAACCCTTCGGAGGACGAGCCTAACCCTCAAGGGGCCTAGAGGTCAGCAGGATCAGTACTGATACGAATGCGGTATTCTGCGGTACTACTACTACCTCTATGCTATGTTATGTTCCATGATGTTCATGTTCATAGTACCCTCAAGTATGGTTGTTACTGAACTTACATCATATTTTTTTATGTCGTCTCACTGAGGTCCCAGCCTGGCTTGCTCCAGGTGAAGATCTCGGACTTCGGACACTCCAAGCACGCCTTTCGGCCTGAGAAGTGAGAAGATGTTTCCCAAAAGCCAAGTCCCTGTGCAGTTCGCGTTTAGGCTTAGGTGTAAAGGGTTTATAGATTAATGGGGGTCAGAGATGCTTTGCTCTATAGGCTTGACAGGGCTCGCAGGGTTTAGAGTAGAGGGTTTCGTTAGTCGCCCAGTGGCAGTCGCGAGTAGTTTTCCCAGTGACGCCTTCTGAGCTGCACACTAGGTGAATGACGGCTACAGCAGGCCCTGGTCCCAGGCTCGAGCTATCCTGGCCTTGATCCGTGCTTCAACGTCTGGTGCTGTGAAGGGATGCCACATGCTGCAATCACGTCGATGCCATTCTGTAGCCATTTTGACCTCAAAGTCCTGACTTGGTCGTATCACATTAGCACAAGCGGACATGGCGGGAAACTTCAAGGCTCGGGGTTGTTCATGGACAGGAACCGCATGTGCTTCTCCCTCATGCACCGATGTGCAGATGGAATCTATTTCAGGTGTGCGTGGTCGGCGGTGCGGGTGGCATTGGCCAGCCTCTGAGCATGCTGATGGCCATGGATCCCAATGCCGGGTCCCGAGTGTGAGCTAATACTCCACTACGTGTCATGCTTACCTAAGTGCAGGTTGTCCATGCAGTGGCTGAGACTCTGCGAACTCGATGTTCTATGCAACAAGAAACCGAGAGCTGATATTCTTTTCTCCTAAAAGCTTCCGCCTCCTGTAGACCCCGATTCTCCTACTGCCTGGGACCTCTCAGGTCTCCGAACTCTGCGTGTACGTGGCGGCCTCAGATGAGCAACGCCTGTACCACCGCATCAGCCAGACGAGGGGCTTTTCGGGTTTAGGGTTTACAGGGGGTCGAATTCACTGTGTTCTCTGAATCAGATCGAAGCAAGGTGGGGTAGGACATACGCGCACGAGCAAACGGGTGGAGGACCTGACGCTGGCCATGGTCCCGGCGGCGGGCGTCGCCGCCGACTTGTCGCACTTGAACAAGAAGTGCAAGGTGCGCACATTGAGTGGCGGACACTGGATAAGTTCCGACGGGCTTGAACTGGCCCAACAGCCGGACCCATCTACTGTGTCACTGCAAGGATTCAGACGGTGTGGCAGCCTATGCTCATGCAACAGGTGACGGGCTACGCTTTCGACAAGGATGATAAGGCCATCGACAAGGCGCACACGAGAGCACGGCAACGTGCAGCATTCGGCGAATTCCCGTTCAGAAAGTTCAAGCTTAGGCCGGCGAGTGCCTGAAGGGCTGCAACCTCGTCCTTGTCCCTGCCGGCGTGCCCCGAAAACCCGGTCAGGCCGGGAAGAGTGGACCGAGAGCGCTTGGGTTTCGTTGTCTGCGAGCAGTGGAAGTGGGAGCCGACGAAGCCGAGAGCAGGACCGAAAAGATCTGCTCAACATCAATGCAGGGATTGCTCGCGGCTCAGAGGTTCAGGTGATGGACAGGCGGTCCAGAGCCTCGACGGAAATTCCTAGGCCAAGAACATCGTGGAGGCATGTGCGAAGCACTGCCCAGAGGCCGAGCCCCGCCCGCTAAGCAACTCTAAACTCTCCAGGCCGCCAGGCCAGCTGAAGTCATTTGCTTGGGCTCCTGGATCGGCGCCAGGCAGTGGTTGGCCTCATTGTGAACCCGGTGAACTCCGTAGTACCAGCCATGTGCGAGCTGTGGAAGAAGAAGGGCAAGCCCCTCAGCACCTGCCGAGAGGGCAGCCGGTTGCTAGGTGCTGCAGAGCGGTCGCACAGCCGGGGTCATTGATGCCCATTGCAAGGCCTGAACCCTGCTAAGATCGTGGGCGACGCAGCCTCAGTTACCTCACATTTGTGTAGCTGTCTGTACGACGGACGTAAGTTTGTACATATTGTTTGTATCCACGTGTATTTGCACGTATTTAGTGCTACTTTAGTTATGCAGAAAATGTATGCATAGCATATACATATACACAAGCGTATATATGCACATACATTCGATCATATTTATATCCAGTTACCTATATGTCACACTTCCGTCGGGGATAGATGGGATATGACTAAAAATATCTGTATGATTACACATGTACATACATATCCTACAGACATACGTACGTACTTACATTCAGACATAGAGACATACATGCGTACATGCATACATGCATAGAGAGAGAGCTCAGATAAGGTCAGGTGAGGCAACGGCTTCTGCGCATACACGCATATAGTCGGCACATACCCCATCGCTCGCGATCTTGGGCAACCGTGTGAAGTTGTGGTGCCAGGGTTCGTGCCTTGCGACGTTGCATATGTCAGCCCATCTTTGAGGTCACAACCCTGGACGTCGTTCGTGCGGACAAGTTTGTGCATGAGATGACCGGTCTTGCCATGGATGACATCGGCGTTCCCGTGATCGGTAGCTCGGCGCCAGCCACTTCAGCACTAAAGCAAGAGTTGAGCTTCGAGACTTCATGCTATCTACAAGCTCTTCGGCCGGGACGGAGGTTTGGTCTTTAGTATTCGATGCTGACAGTGTGCTATAGAGCTGCTGCACTTCACACAACTTCGGAGCATTTGTCGCAGGTGGTCATGCTGGCACCACGATTCTGCCCTTGTTCTCCCAGTGCCAGGCCCGTGATGCAGCAGAGCGATCCTCGTGGTTGGTTGCTGCGTGCAGGTTGGCAAGACCATTCCTGCTGACAAGATTCCGGACCTCGACAAGAAGGCTGACACACAGCAGACATGCTCTCTGTGCAATCAACAACTGTCTCATACTGTCTGCCTGGACAGCCAGTGAGCAGGAATCCATGATCTGACCTGCATCCTAGGTCCAGGATGCCGGCACGGTCGTTGTGGCAGCCAAGAACGGTCCTGTGCTGAGTTCCTGGCTTCGACTCTGAAGCACTTTCTGAGTGATCGTGTGCCGAACATCCTATAAAGGACCTTCCAAGGTTCGGGGTTCGTTTACGCATTTCCAGGTGAGTTTAGGGTTTCGAATCCATCGCTCTCTTCGCTTCGGTATTTCTCTGAAGGCCAGTTCCGATCGGGCAGGGTTGGGGTGCGCTGTGGCAAGTGCCGAAGAAGGCTACGTAGGCTTTTGAAATACGGGTCATGATCCCAGCTTGGTCCAAGACTCATGTGCAAGTTCTGGACTCACTTCTTTCTCGGACTTGCTCCTCCGTTTTCCCAACTCCCGGCTCTGACGTCCCCCGACTCGTCGCGTTCGCATCTGCGAATTTGTCAGTGGCGGCGAGTCGCTGCTTATCTCAACCCCTATTAAACCCCCAAGACCCCTAAACCCCTAAGCCCTAACCCCTAAACATTTCTTTTTTTGAGGCAAGGGCAGCGCCACCTTGTCCATGGCCTATGCAGGAGCCCGCCTCGGCAAGGCACCTTTGACAAGAGCAGTTATATATATATATATATATATACATATATATATATACAATATATATATATATATATGTATATATATGTATATATATATATATGGTCACCCCCCCCCCATGACAGACCATGCCCTTTCGACTCAGTCGTAGTGCATGGTCTGTGATCGGGGGGAGGGGGCACTCAGCTTTCAAAGCCTCAATTCCAAAATTTCCAAAATTCTCTCCCCTAACTTTCCGGATTTCCAAAATTTCCAAAATTTCCAAAATTTCCAAAATTTCCAAAATTTCCGAAATTTCCAAAATTTCCAAAATTTCCAAAATTTCCAAAATTTCCAAAAAGTCCGCCCTTATGTTTTGGAAAAATCCTGTCGACTAGGTCGGGAAATTTTGGAAATTTTGGAAATTTTGGAAATTTTGGAAATTTTGGAAATTTCGGAAATTTTGGAAATTTTGGAAATTAGGGGAGAATTTTGGAAATTTTGGAAATTTTGGAAATGCTGGAATCTGTTCTATATATGACTCAAGTAAGATTACTGTGTAGTGCTTACTATGTAGTGTATCAGCACAACCCTCATCCATACACGTGTGCTCTGTAATTCCTTTCTTGGTAGGACGCCGGCGCGCCTTGTCGTGCTAGTCTCCGCATCGGACCAGATTACTTGCAAAGGCAAGGGCTGTCAATACTCATGCCCATATTTACACGAATATCTCTCTATCTATCTGTATATCTATATATACATATATGTATTGATACTCCTACATATAGTATTGCCACTGAACATACTGACATTGATCATTTGTTGAATGCTCAAGCTAATACCAGCATTACTACTAATATTACACTTCTATAAAGCTTAGTACGAATATGCATAACACAAATACTAAGATTGATTAGTATTGCTCTTAGTACTCCTACGCATATCAATAACCATATTCATATTGATAATAATGTATAATAATACCAATACTAACACACACCTGTATGTACTAATGTACATAAACATGCATACCACCATATTAAAATACAAATCCTTTAACTCACTCATGAATTCAACTGTTAGAATTTCACGTGGTCAAGAGTAATAACAATACAAACATTCTTTCGAATGTATATCATCAATAATATGATAGTACTAACGCTAACACTACTGCTAATACTTAACACAAAATCTATACTAACATCAATATTTACATAGCTATTTATACTCCTACGAATACGAATACGTAAACCCTTGTGCGTTAACAGTAGTGCTATCACCAACACTAATACGGACTTTGATAATCTGCTGCATATTCAAGAATGCCACTAGTATTACCAGCATGAACACTCATATTATGGCTATTACGAGTATAAATAGTCCTACTTCTACTAGTATTGACATTAATACTCCTACGAATACCAATAGTATATTCATATTGATATGAAAACTAATACCATTACTAATAGACACCTGCATATACTCATGTACATAAAATACGTACCACTATCTTAAGATACAGATATATACATCAGTGCATTCATGTATTAATGCTTTGGCATAGGCATATACCCATATACCAATGTATCAATATACTTCTCGTTGTTGTATGAATATACTATACGAATATGTGACTATAATCATATACGGCTACTGCACTATGCAAGAATACCGACATGACAAGTTCGTATACTAATATGCCAACATACTGATATACTTATACATGATTAGATAAAACAGTAATATAGTACACATATTCGTACACTAATATGCTAACGTACGAATATACTGGTATGTCAATATACTAGTAAGCTAATACAGCAGTATAGTAGTGTAGTCATGCACCAGTTGTACTAACATGTAAAATATACTAGTATACAAGTATGCAAATATTTTGCTGTCCGAATACATTGATGTATTGATATACTAATCTGCTAATATACGAGACTATCAATATACTAACATATCAAAACTAACTAGTTCTAATATTGATACTAATACTAGCACTTCTGCGAATATAAGCTGCTGTTAAACCCAGCATTAAGACTGATACTGATACTACTCGTAGCAGTGGTGCTGTATTACTGACATTGACACTGGCACTAGCGCTAACTCTAACACGAACATGAGCACTAACACTAATTTATAGTTGGCAATATTGATACGTATACTTACAGCAAGCAATAGTACTAATATTAATAACAATACTCACCCTAATACCGATACTACCACAAGACTATTACGTAACTCATGTGCCGCACGTCTGGTGCTATACTATATACCTCATGTAACGGTTTTGCTTCACAGAATATCGTTGTGCACGGTGTTTTTTAGACCCGTGGTCTGTCACCGGGGGGGGGTGAGCATATATATATATATATATGTATTATAAATATAATACAGTATAATACAATATAATTTTAACGCTACGCCGCCCGCCTCGGCTGTGTAGCGGCAGGGCGAGGGGGCAGTCGATGTTTTTTAATGCTAGGGCGGCCTGTCCAACCCCACCCTTAGATGGTTGAGAACTGGTACAAGGGGGGTGGCGGAGGGGGGGAATCAGGTAAAATGAGGGGGGGAGGAGGGGGGGGGAAGGCCTGGGAGGGGGGGGGGAGGCCGACAAATCAGGTAAAATGAGGGGAAGCCGGGCAAGGGGGTGGCAAACGAACGCAAAAAGCGGGTGTCCCCAATCATTTGGGCTGCAGGGAGGAGGATTAGGTGGAGGGTACCTGAGGTAATCCCCAAGACGCCTGGGCCTCTGGCCTCGGCGGATATAATATGGTATGATATATTATAATATTTTGTGCCATCCGCGTCGCTTTGCTGTCAACTCTTCGCAGGCAGTCCTTGCTGGCTTGAACGGTGAGGTCTCCACAGAGTGTCTTGACCCTGCAGGGAGCTATATTCGGGGAGCTTGCGGCTTGCGTACAAGGAATCAAGAAAGGTCCAGCAAGTTTTGTTTTTTGTCTCGACCAGCGACAAATGCTGAACTGCTGTTGGAATTTGGAACTGCAAAGCCGCAGTGAGAAATCAATCGCAGATGGATCTTCTGCCAATTGATTACCTGCTTCTGCAACCATCCCCTGAGGTGCGCCTACGTTGAGTCGAAGGTGACGGACCTGCCATACTTTGCATCCAAGGCCACATGCCTGATCCAACGGACGCGTAGCCAAGCAAATCCATCGTTTGCAGGTTACCTTCGGCAAGCAGGGTGTGGAGACAGTCCATCCCCTCGGGGAGCTGAACGAGTATGCACCTGCTCTGCACTGTTGAATCGATTCTCGTGCGTATCGTTAGAGTTGGGAGCAGAGAGGCCGCGACGGCCCGGCTGTTGTAAGTCCGTCTACGCTGTCACAACCGACATGCGACGACTTCTTGGCATGGCCTGGGCCGAGCCCCAAATCCTGGCAGACGGCTCAGGAGCAAGGGCGCCTGGACGCCCTCATGCCGATCCTCAAGGAGGAGATTGAAGCCGGCTTGGAGTATGCAAAGGACAGCTTGTCGTGTTGAGGCAGAGAGACTGGTGACTCCTGGGCCTTCGAGAGTTCTGTCGTGGTATGAACCAGAATAAGGTACACGTGTAGTCCTGGCTACATATGCATAGAACAACATGTGATTCATGAGTTGGTGGGAGTTGCCACGGACTGGTTTAGGGGTCTTGTGAAAGTGGACTGGCATGGATGGGTTCGAAGCAACATGATGCCAGCAGTCGCTTCATGGATCGTGCTGAGGGCAACGAATTCGCCAGCGGTGAACCGAGAAGTATGCTCTGAGGGACTTATGCGCGTCGTAATCTTCCAGTTGGTTTGAATTCCCGACATACGCGGACTATCCAGAAGAGTAGCACGATGTCTTTAGGACAGCAGACAGCAATGATACGTACTGTAGTCTTGAATGGCTCTTGGGGCTTGCGGCCAGTGTGTGTGGAGGTCTAAGCCTATGCCCGGCCCATGCTGATAATGCTAAACTCCGTCCAATTCAAACCAACTAGTGCACATGTTCCAAGTGCCCATGCCACAGCCAAGCCGCATGGCCCAAGTAGTCTTTGTAAGGATGCTTGCTTGCAGTGGATTCAGACGATATACGTATTGAGCCAGCATGGATGGGAGAGAGATTGTCATGCCCTTTCCTTTACTGTCTCACACTCTCACCTCCGCATAAAGAGGTTTCTTGTTGGAGGCTGTCACACGGCTGTAGTAGGATCGTAGGAACAGCGCGCATCTTTTGCCAAACAGTTTGGACTCTGTAGCCATGCTGAGTCGAAAACACCATTGCGGTTTGGCTGCCGATGGAAGTTTGGTTGGAGACCCAACAGTACAAGAACTTCCCTGCGCGGTCAAGACATGGCATGTGCAGAGGCAGCACCCCCGCATTTTTTAAGAGCATGTTTAGGTGATGGACGGGGTGCGAGCGAGGAAGGCTCCAGGTGTAAGCTCCCCTGATCATTTGCCTGGAAGGAGAACGAGTTCGCTGCGTGAGTTCCGTATCTGTTTCGAGGGTCGTGATCTCTTGACCTGTAAAATCGACTTTCCGGGCGCAGGCTTCTCGGAAGCGGAGCCCGCCGGTTTTGGTGTTCGCTTGTGCTGTCCATCTGACGTCATTTCAATACTGCCGTGAAGCACCGCAGCCCCGCCTCTGCTGTAAGTTTCGTTTTTTCCCGCCATTGGGCGGGACGTAACGAGTACGATGATGTGTGTCTTTGGTGGCCTTGGTTCCAGATCAGCTGCGGTGCAGAGGCATTGTGTTAGAGGGTCGGCCTTCAGAATTGTTTGGACCATCTTTGAGCCAACCGCAAAGGATGTGCTTGTGGAAGAAAGACTGCTTTCAATGCCCTGGTTCCACTTCCACCGCGCAAAGCTCTTCTAAGTGTCAGCGGCGCAGCGCAGCACGGAAGCGCAGGTGGGGACTCCGAACTACTGGGCTCCTGAGGCACAGCTGCTTCTCTCAGGGCTGTGAACTTCCAAGCCCCGTTTATAGACGGTGTAGAGTGTAGTAGAGTGTGGAGAGAAAGGAACGAGCATGTGGCTTTGTCTGAAGCTGTGTTTGGAGTGGCGGCTGGGCATCTTGCTCTCTTGTATCAGGTCGCCAATGCCTCTGCTGGCGGCTACGACGAAAGGGTCGCCCTTCCAGTTGGCTGGCTCGAGGGGCTCAGATCCGTCCGGTGGTTCGTTCTTGCTCTCCTGTCCATGCTGGCTTTTCCTGACGAGACCTGTTCTTCGCTTACTTGTTGAAATTTACGGAGCGCCCGGTCAATCCGGAAAGTCTGCCGGAAACACGATGCTTGCAGTTGAAGTGAGTCGAGCCCGAAAGAAGTATAATCAGCCAAGATGAGCAGAGTCCTTTTGCCAGATTGATGTCTGGAGCCTGGGCGTCATCCTGTTCGTTCTGGTGGAGGGAGTGTGGAGTCCTCAGTTTTCAGAGTTTGCCTACCCGTCCTATGTGGCGCTAAACAGAATCCTGATTGAGCTGAGGCTTCCCTTCCCCAGCCGTAGCCGCTGCGATATCCCGAAGCTCATCTTCCAGGAGGGCTTAGAGTTCGGAGAGTTTGGAGTCAGAGTTTAGAGATCTGTTGGAGTCGCTGCGCCCGTGGCTTTTGTTCCAGGATGATTGCAAGCTGAGCCGGGGCCGGAGCTGCTAAACAGACAGCACACCTCGAGTCGGTAAGGAAGGGGGGGTTCCTTGCCTTTGAGGCAACCTGGCCAGACATCTCACGTGGAGTCTCCTGCAGGTCAAGCCGGAGGCCGGCTTCAATCCAAGCGGAACGATGCAAAGAGTTCGGCCTGCGACAGGACCGGCTATCGCTCGACGATTGCCTCATACATCCATGGGCAGAAGACCTGGCTTTCAAGCTGCGTCTTGTCTTTGCTACGGGAAATGGGCGGACTCGGGCAAGTCCAACTGAGGCAATGAACTCTTCTGGGCTTGTCGAGCAAGTAGTTCAGTCAGGGGCTCGAGAATGGCGAGAACGGTCATACGTCGTCTCTGCAACTCGTCAGTTTCTTTCTCCCAGCTCTTGTCTTGCCTCGTACGAAGCCACTCAGGCTCTGTGAGGCACACTCCCGACGCCAGCGCGGTGAGCGGGAGAGACGAGCTGTTCTACCACATGATCCGAAGAATGTCGGAAAGCACAGAATGCTTTGTTTGCCATCAACACGTATCCCGTCCAAGTGCCACTTGGATCAACACATGCATCTGGGGGCCGAGGTTCGCAAGCTCCGCTTGGAACTTGGGACTGCCATGGACTACCAAAGTTAGTATTTGGAGCAGACGTGACATCGCACTGCCGCAGCCCAAAAAGCCGAGGCAAGAAGTTGCAGGAACTCACCTTGAGCTCCAAGTACCCTGTGTCCTTGCGTGCACGCAAGGAGGCAATCCGTTTGAACGACCGCCACCAGACACGTTCCGTGTCGGGAGTTTCGCGAAAAGCAGGTAGCCCTGTGCTTCAGGGAAGCCGACGACCCCGACAGCTTGGGGCTCAGGGAAGTCACAAAGCCACTGCAAGAAATGCACGGTGTCCAACCGGTCCGCCAGAGGTGTCGATGCAGCTTGGCAGGCGCAATGTGCGTGGCTGGAAGATGTTACGGGGCAAGACAAAACGGAACCCGTCCGGAGGACTTGCAGGCTGTGCTGAAGCCCGAGTTCCGAGGCAGCCTCGAAAGCTATGAGGCGCCCAGACCCAGCGATGGAGTCGATGTCAGGCTTCGCCATCATTGGCTCTGAGAACTCTCGATGATAGGTGGCCTTGGATGCAACCGCACTGCTGTGCGAAAAGCGCGGCAGCCGGCAAAGCCTGGGCTTTTCGGAGGTGTCGCGAGGGTGGGGATGATAAAAGGAGAGGAATCAATATTACAGCCAACAGGTCTTCCATGCAGGGATTCGTGTTGAGGCGACTCGTCCGGCAACGAATCGACGCCTGCGATCCGGCACGCCTCGCCAAGATCGAGCATGCGCGGCCGAACGCAATATCATCGCTCCCCTGGCGCTCGCTAATCCGCCAGAGAAATTGTTTGCGGAGCCCCCACTCCCACGGAACCGTGCTGCCGTGGCTCCCAGGCCACAGTAGGCCCCGCGCAACCGAGATGGCTCGATCGCAAAGCATGTGCCGGAGGATCCGCTGCGAGCGAAGCAGAGCGAATCTGATGGTAAGTTGCGGAAGGCATGCGACTTTCGCGTATACTTTAGCGAAAATTCAAGCGTGACAGGATTGCTGTGTTTGATTACTGCTGCCTGGGACTGCCTTGAATGTCTGCACATTGACATGTCTGCGTGCTCCAGTAGGAGATGGCTCCGTTCGCGGTTGTACACACAACAGGTGTGTTGGAGTTTGTGCTCAGAACAGAGAAGAAGCAAACCACAGGGGATCAGAAGCCGTGCCTAATCACCTTCTTTGTGTAGTTTTGTAGACGGGTGAAAGGCTTCATTTGACAGATCTACATTACTCATGGCGTGGGCCCGTTCCCTGTTAAGCGGCAACTTATGCTACACCCCATGTTGCCTATTTTGCAGACTATCCACAACTGTTTACCTTGGCCTGCGCCAGTGCATGGTGTGCAGGCATGCTGAGGTCGGTGGGAGTGGGGTGGGCGTGGGTCGGCGGCAGGGGCGGCGGGTTGGGCGGCGGTGGGAATGGTGCTGGCGCTGGTGCTGCTGGGTGGCCTTTTCGAGCTCAAGTTCTTGCTATGGCTTCCTCTATCAGCTTTCCAACCTAGACCAGGAACCTTTGACCAACCCCTGCAGCCCTAAACCCTCAACTCCGTGAAAACGGCCCGGCCAAAACCCTCAACTAAACACTAACACCTGAAACCTGGCGTCAACCCTGCGCCCTCAATCCTAAACCCTGTGTTGTCAGCAGCCCCGACCTGAGATGAAGAGAGGCACGCAGCAAACTTTTTTTTCGGCTAACAGGGTTTTGCGAAAGTCGGCTTTTCGGAGAACCGGTTCATGATTGTAAAGGAACAAGCAGCAAGCACGACAGCCATGAGCCACTCCGGAAATTTCATCAAGGTGGTTGTAAGCGCTGTTTGCAGCCACTATCCAGCAGTTTTCTATCCTAACATGGCTCTCTGACCCTCTAGACCCGGTCCAAAAATTCTCCAAGGTGACACGCAAAGAGCCGTTTCATGATGGAAAGTAGCCGGAGAGTGGCTGCAAGCAGCGCTTACAAATACCCTGCCGAGTCTGTTTGATGCGATTTCTGGAGTGGCTCATGGCTGTCGTTATTTCTTTGCCATCCTGAGCCGCTTTTCCGAAGAACCGGTTTCACTCCACGCATGAAAAAGGTTGGTGCCAGGGCGGGGGTGATTCTTCGAGATGTTCTGCGAGTAGAGTGTTCGTGCGAGGGGTGGGGTTGGGTGGGGGTGTTCTTTCTCTTAAACATTTTGCCTGGGGCTTGTGGTGGTGGTCGTGATAAACAGCTTCCACACAGAAACCCCTAGATTCCCTAGAATATACAGACGTGCGCATTGAGTAACATGTGACAATATCTGGGGAAACAGTTGGTGAATAGTTGGAAGATCAATCCGCCTTTGAAAGAGATCCCGAGAGTCCTAAAGAACGAGACCGCGCAAAGAGTACCTTGAGACATTTAGTTTGGAAGTTGTTTTGGAATAGTTTGAAGCTGAATCGGGTTCTGAACAGACGGACACCCCTACACAACGAGACCCACGCCATTGGTATGTGGCTTGGGTGGTGTGCCTCCGTTCCACTTACATGTTTGAGTAGATGCCCTGTGATGTTCCAAAGGGTTCTGATGAGAATGACGGCACCTCGCTCGTGCCGAGACTACAAGTTGGTAGACTTGGCATGGGCATCTAGATCAGAAGCTCAGCACTTGCTTGGAGGAGATGGTCCGGCAACAAGACTCGGAGTTGGAAGAGCTGGTTGCTGCCTTCCCGGACAACGTCGAGGCCAGGCTGAGTTCGGCTCGGAGGAGCATCTGTGCACATTGTGCCACCTGGTGCGAGGCCGCCACCGGAAGCTTTGCCCCGGCTCCGCGCTCTCTTGAGGTCTGATACGATGGGACCCGATATGCCGCTCTTTGAAGTTCGTTTGGACGTCAGGTCTCTCTGAAGGACAGGCAACACAACGTCTGGCTTCGGCTAGAGTTGCCGCGACGCCCTCAACTTTAATCGAGTGTTCTTGAAGAGGTGTGTAGAGCCTGTCCTCCGCAGCCGTCCAAGGCGCACGTATCCTTCAGGAAGCAACGGCCCAAGCACACGCTGAGCACGTGAAGCCAGCTGTCCTTGCTGGAAGAAAGCATGCAGTCTCCTCTGAGATCGACCACCTGAGCCGACGCAAATCATGGTGTTCAAGCCCTGGAACATACGCCCTCTTTCACGTCACGAGGTCGCGAGCTCAGAGAGACCTAGAGAGTTTGATGGAGCTCTGAGGCACGAAACTCTGGACTCACCGTGGTCCCTAGAAGTCCAGGAGCGGCTGCCTGGGCCCCAGACGAAAGACTTGTGTTGGTCGAGTTCCGCCGCATTCCGCTGACATCCGCCGGCTTTGCTGTTGTTTGGGATCCGTCTTAGCTGCCAGATTCAGGATCATTCCGGTTGACAGCGTCTCTGCGAATGCTATCTGCTGTCATGCCTGTACAATGTCTGCAGCTCCCTTCCAGGCGCAGCCATATCCAGAACTTCCTCCGTGATCATGGCACAGCTTCAGGAGCTGATCTTTCCGACCTCTTCCGGTCTTTCTGCAGCGACTCGAGTAGACTTCCCTGAGTTCACCTCTGTCTGTACTCGTGTTCCTGCTCCCCTTAAAAGCAAGCACAGACAGTGCCGATATAGAAGCATAGTAGTAACATGTAGTGGTACCGTAGCTTCGGCTCGGCAGTTTGATGGACATGGGCCTATTTCCTTCGACGTTAAGCCGTCCGAGCCTGTGCAAACGGTGTTGAGAGCACCGCTGCAGAGGAAAGTGCCTTCAGATGCTGGTCTGCAGCATCCTCAGCCACAGAACTTGTAACGAGTTGCCGACTCATGTGCATCCCAAGCTGACCTCATTTGTCGCCAGACCAGCCGGCGACGGCTTGAAATTTCCCTTGAATCCAAGGCTGGCTGCAGGATCACCTCCTGGGCTGTCTCAGCGAGCTGGTGGCACCCGTAGAGCTGTCACGGCCTGGGAGTTCGAGTTGGCATTCGTGCTAGGCGAGTTCATCCAGCACGGCCCCGCGTGAGGTCGCCCGCGGAAGTCGTGCAACCTGACAAGGACCCTGCCAATGATGCATCCGACAGCCCGGATCCCACCAGCTTCGGCTGAGGCTGTGTCAGGGAAGAGTCCGGGAAAGCAAGCCCAGGTTCAGTCCCCCCCACGCCGAGCACAACCTCGAGAGGGGAAGAGTTTGCACGGGTTTCGATCATTGCCCGGGACTTGGCATCCGTGACAGGCAGACATGGTACATGATGCAAAGGATCGTTCTGCTTGCTGGAGCATGTGCATGGCTGCATTGCCTTTGCATGCCCCTGCAAGGCACACCACCACGACGAGAAAATGGATGCAACAGGCACCATTGCTCCAGAGACTCGCTAGTCATTAGGAAAGTCTCAAGGTTCATGTCGGTGCAACTGTCCAGCACATGAAATTGCGACTGGTGAGTCCAGGGTGATACAACGTGTAGCAGCTTCGTGCTCCCCAAACCCCCAAGGTCCTGAAGAACGGCCACGTAGGTGATGTAGGCACTGACGCATAGAGGCAGTTCTTGCAAACAATGCTGCCTCCCGCTTGTGCCATTGCATCATACTGCATATGGCTGGGGCACAAACGAAATTGCTGCAGTTTTCCGACGTGTGTAGTGCAGCAGCAAAATGTTTTTTACTGGCTACAAGGCTAGGGCAGAAGGCTGGTTCTCTGCTCACAGGCACATGCATATGCACACATTTGCAACTCTTTCGTTAGATGGCATTACAGTAATTTCTTCTTCCGTCCTCCAGTCCGAGAGAGAATAATCTTGACAGAGTGTGTGTGATGCTTTGAGCATGATTCCCGCGCTCTTTGCAGGCCTGGCAGCTGACAGGCTTCGGCCAGCCCTGCGAGGAAAGCGAGGACCTCGAGAAGCGATGTCGCTTACATGGTCATGAAGCGACGCGACGAGCCCGCAAGGGCACTAAGACTGTTGCATGCTGGTGGCTTCCAAGGGCTTTCTTCACTCACCTCAAGACGAAGTTCACCCAGGCGTGGAGATGCATCCCCTCCTGTGGCGAACACGACTTCCGCAGCCTTGGAGGTCACTGGGTTCTTGAGCTTTGGAAAGCCAGCCTTGCTGCTGCCAAGCTGCAGTGTGGGGGGAGTTCTGCTCCTTCGGTGACGTGTTGCATACCCGAGGCTGGCCGAGGGCCCGGAATCCGACTTACAGAGACTCATTCAAGAGGCGCTTGCAGAGTCGCGCTTGCAGACGACGGGCTTCCTTTCTTTTGAGTGCTCTGGCAGGTAAGGAAGTTTCCGAAGTGGTGGGATGTGGTTGTCAGCATGTCGGCGGCCCCAGGGCCCAGAGCCGTCGGCAGTCTCTTGAGCAATCAAGAGATCTCTTTGAGGTTTGACCGGCAAAAAGCTGTGGAAACAACCACTTGGCGAGCCTTCGCGGATTTCAAAAAGATCAAAACGGAGGATTGGGATTGAAAGATTCGACAGTGGCTGCAATGTGCAAGACAGAAACGACAGCCGGCTTGTGCAGGAGATCGACGCCGTGCTGAAAGGTCTTCAAACAGAGTGGCCTGTCTCCTTCTAGTTCGCAATGTGTCACTTGTGAAGAGAGGTAGCATCTCTCTGAGGCACTGCAAGCTCTACGAGGTCCATTGCTGACTCGCTCTGTTGGGCCGTGCACTGTGCTCGGGTCTCCGACAGTGCCAGGATGCTCTCGTTGGCACGATCGTGGACCAGAAGAAGCGAGAAAAGGCTCGCAAAGCCTCCAAGAAGTAGCAGGACTTTTTTTGCAACTCCTGCTCTGTTTAGTGCTGTCCTTGAGCGAGAGACGGTGCTTGATGGCAGTCTGGTGCCTTGCACGGGCTTCGGTAGGAGCCCAGCTGAACTGCACCCGCCTGCTTGGCTCTTACAGTACCTCGAGAACCAGGTTCTGCATCTTTAGATAAGAATGTGCTGTCACTTGCACGACAGAAGATTTTCAAGCCATGCGAGCGCCGAGGTTCAGCATATTGTCACCATGACCTAGGTTTTCGTGTTTCACCTCTCCGATCAACTAGCCGAACATCTCATGTTCGAAGTGGCAGGTTGAGAAGGTTCGCACACACAATCTGGAAGAAAGAGGTGTTAGATTTCCCGCTGAAGTCCGCGTTTTCAACCTGCCCCAGTCGTGATGGAGCCCTTAAGAAGGCCCTCGCATCACTTCCACCGGTAGATGGGAACATCGGATACGTTAAGGACTCCACCAAGCTCGACTGATGTGTGCATATCCTGTAGAGTTAGGACTCGGATGAAAGGTTAGCTGCGGTCAGCGCAAAAGGGGCGTGTTACGTCTCGAGCTCAGAGCTCATGTCGACACGCCTGTGTTTGCAGTCATTGCAGGTCGCTCAAAGGCAAAGATCCGGAGTCCGGTCGTGCTCAGTTTGGTAGCCTGGGGCTCAGGCTTCCGCGCTGGTGTTTAGATCACGGCCGAGGGGTTCACGAAGCGCGAGCTGTTTCGAAAGATGTTGCCGACATCGCAGACTGCTGCAGCTTCTGAGTTCTTCAGACCTGGAGAGACTTCGTAGCCCTCTGGCACAAGAGAAAATGTTGCATACTCACGAGCTCGACGTGACCTTTGCAGTCAGCCCTGCTCCATCGACCGGTGCGAAGAGCCCTGGAAGAGCCTGACAAAAGCAATTGGAGTGACGGGAATATGAGGCAACAAACTCACTGCGACGCATCTGACACCCCAGAACTTTCTAGAAGCATGAGTTATGCGGTACAGCTCGAAAAAATCGCGAAGAGCAATGTGAGCTCAGCGAGGAGGACCGGAAGCTGCGAGTGCTCCTTGTGCTATAAGGGTTTGCAGCAAGTATTCTCAAATCCTCTTGCCCCTGCCAACTTATTCGGCCGGCTTGCACAGGGGCCGAAGGAAGCGTCTGAAGCCGCGTTGCCAGGAGGTTGGAGCGCTTGGAAGCCCAGCTGGGAGCCCTGGAGAGAGGCCGTGGAGTTGCGGCGCAGGAGCAGGGTAGAAAGTTGTAAAACAACAAACTCGCTGCTCAGCACGGAAGCGTCTCACCGCACCCCCCCCCCCTCTTCCGGGCGTCGCAGGATGCCCTGGGCCGCGAGGTGCAGTCGCTCGAGAGGCTGGTGTTGGCCATGCAGGAAGGGGAGCTTCAGGCCAAGGCCATGATCATGCGATGCACAGCGCACAGCTCTTTCACTCGCCGCGAACTCCCCCGAATCCAAACCCGCTGCAGCATCAAGCCACGGAAGACAGAGGTATGATGCCCGAACATGCCAGAACCAACCTCGCGAGGGAGCAAGGATGGTCGGTCCAGGGGCATGACTCAAGGTGAGTAATGGGGGAGTGCGACTTCTGTTGATAGTTGATATGGTGTGGTCTTTAGCGCCCCTGAGGCACGCGCCGTTCGCAGCCGCCTCGACAATCTCTGCGCCGGGAATGTCGTCGCGGAGGTGACGGGCCAAGCCGACGAAAGATGGAGACAAGGCGGGCCTCGAAGTTCAGTGTAGTTCAGTCAGTGCAGAGATTTCATGACTCTGAACACAAGGTGCAGGTGCCGAAGAGGCTGGAGTGCCCCGCCCGGAGGAGCAGACGGAATCAGTGAGGCATGTGGCCTCCTTCCTGTCCCTCAGCGCTGGCAGTTAGTCGTAATCACTGTTAAACCGAAGCTGGCACTAGAAGGTTGCACGGAGTTGATTTAGGCAGAATTCTTCGGTGAAGGTTTGCTTTGATGCAGTTCACAGCTTCCCGAAGTTGTGCAGGACATTTTCGCGAGACGGTACTATATGATGATGTGAAGAGAATGTCATAATAAGGTGCCGGCACGGGTGCAAGGCTGGTGGAGGAGGGAGGGGTTGGTACGGGGAAACATGACAGGCCAGAAAGCAAGACAACGGCCCAAAAGCAGGTACAGCAAAGTTGCCCGCCGAGTGGGGCATAATCGAAGTTCAGATGTTTTCACATCGTCTTCTCTCTTCCTTGACGGTTTGTGGTGTGCTTGGGTAGCAGTATTATCAAGGCAGAAGCCTGAGGACGACGTCCGCCTACTTGCAGCCCAGGCTGGATGTGCTTCCTCACTGTCACATGTTATAAACATCGGCTCTGCAGCCACACACGCAAAGCAGTCGTGCGAGGGTACGCTGTCCGAAGAGCTTTCCAAATATCCAGCTCTGGGATGTGCCAACTCTGGTGCGGCAGTCTTCTTGGATGTGCGACCCTGGAGTGAAGAGGCCGGTGTGTTTAGTGTTCTGCCCTTGATCTTGCCAGTTGTGCGACACGCCCAGGACGACCAAGCAGAGAACGAGCGCCGGCATCTGGCTGTCCTGGAAATCAGCCAAGCTGCCACGAACCTTCAGGAAATCACTGCACTGATGGGCAAGCAGATTGCTCAGGACCAGGACGCGCTGAACCATGCGGGCCTTCGTCAGAACGTCGTCATAGCGGCTCGGAAGAGCTTCTGGAAGCCTGACAGAATTGTGTCAGGAGGCCTTGAATGCGGTGGAGGTGAAGGTGGCGCACACTCGAGAAGTTACCGAGAAAGCGGCCGGATCCTCATCATTGATACCGCGAGGCTGCACCCCTGTGCAAGCATGTCTTTGCTGCATCACCATGTCAGGGCATGGTGCTCACATTTACAAACCAGCCATACATGCATGCATATGCTGCAGATACCAGCATTGGACATGCTGACAGCATGAGATGGTGTTGAACGAGCGGCTAGCTGGACGTGGTGCTAGCCTTGCCTAAGGTGCCGATGCTTCCCGGCTACTGGAGTAGAAACAAACCTTTATGAAGTTAGATGATAGTCATAACGTGTTTCGCTGTCTCTCTCTATATACATATACACTGCCTGCACATGTCTAGACCTCTAAAACATACATGTATGAAGGCAGGTGCACAAACAGGCTCTTGAAATGTACACGCCTGCAGGAGGATGACTAGAAAATCCGCCATCCAGAACAAGTGTGGACAAGTGTATCATCCAACCCCAGCCAACCCCACCCAACCCCACCCGACAAAGACCCGCCCCACACCCCAACACTCCCACCCCACACCCAAACCAGCCACAACACGCACCATAGCAGTGTCGCAGTGGCAGCCATAACACTGCACTCCCCGGCCAACACTACACCACCCCACACCATCCCGCACCCAGGTCGTGATTCTGGCAGAGGCGGCTGGCCACAAGCAGTCGTGTCTTGGCATGTGAGCGAGGCCAAATGGAGCGGTCCCTAATGCAAGCTGATCTGATGCTTTGAGCACTTTGACCACTTGTGCATTAGGCAGTGGGTGCTGCCATCTCTCACTCTGACCCTCGCGGGCGGTGTGGTAACATTGACGTGCCCTGCCACTGCAGCCGCTGCAGCTGCCAGAGGCCGATGTGGGCGCGGTAGCCATAATGCGTGTGCAACCCGTTCAGCAGCTGCTCTGCCAAATACTGATAGACAGTGTCCCAACAGCTGCTGTCCTTGAAGGTGTCCTGCTGTTCGGCAGTTCGATGGTCTCCTACCGCACGATGGTCAGCATACAGAACCGGGTCATCGACCGTCTTAAGGAGTGCTGCAAATGGGTTTTGAAGTGCTTGCAGGTTGGGACTCACGGGTGCTGTGTTGGTGCCTTCACGTTTGTTTGGCATTGTTTGGTCAGCTCAGCTAAGCTTTTCAGTTGGCGAACTTTGGGGTTGACGGTTGGTTTCGCCTTCGGGTGGGGAACCCTGACGGGCCCCTGATGACCAAAGCCCGAAGCATCCCAGACATGTAACCGTCCATAGGCAAAATGCGAAACGAAGGTAGCCTTGACACAGTCAGATTCGCTCCGAGTGTGAACCGCAAGTGGCCGTTCAGCAGCCAAGACAACTGTTCAGGATTAACTGTGGAACGCTTGGCAGCCGACCTCGTAGTTCTGAGCGCCGAGCGTCTGTTTTTGGATTAGCAACATCCGGTGTTTCCCGAAAGGCAGCTTTGAAGCAGCTCTGGCTTAGAATAAACGAGGTTTTAGGAGCAGCGGGTTTCATGTTGTCGGTGCAGAGATGCATGTCTTTTCCGTTCATTCCGACCCGGGTTCAGTGCGCAGGCTTGTGCCTAGGCCGGCGGCGCAGGCCTGGATAGCATGACAGCATCTGCTCCCAGGACCAGCTGCCCCGTGTCTTCAAGCCACTTCCAGATGAGGAGGTCCGCAATAACCTACCGAGCATAAATTGGAGATGAGCTGCGAACTCACCAAGGCTGCGATGATTCGCGCGGGCAGTCAAGAGGCATGTGCCAGGCGGGTGCTTTTAAGTTCAACCTGCTGGGTTAGATGGAGCAAGTGAAGTCGGTTCTTCGTAGGTGCATTGATAAGCCCGCAAGGCTGCAGAGAAAGCTGGACGAGCTTGGAAGGTGGACGGAGGACGGAGTAAAGCTGGGTGCATGCGGAAACATGTTCTTGAGTTATCCGACTCCGGCAGGTAGACCTGTGTAAGCTGACATGAATGCTGATTTTCCGCCAGTCTGGGTTAGGTCATTACGTGTCTGAGAAGCCTCCGTTCACCTCTGTTCGACGTTCGTACTGGTGCATGATAAATCCGGATTTCGTAAACCTGCGCAGGCTTCATGACAACCGTCAACAGCAGTAGCGCTGCTTGCCATTAGAACTCCTTTGTGGCAGTGGAGCTAGCAACGGCTATTCTGCAGCAAGCATTCAATTTCAGCGGTAGTTGCATCTCCGAAATTATGCAACTGCGAAGTCGTTTGTTTGGTCTGCCGTCTCTTTACCTGCCACGCTGATTTCCATCCATGCGCCGCTATCTTGCACGTCTGTTGCGGCAGTGCTGGCTGTTATTATAACCTCGCAACTTCGGCTTCTCATGTTCGTGCCTACTGCGAAACGACGCCACTTAGTTTTTATTGTCGACCAGTTTGAGCGCTGTACGATGCGCACAAAGATTACTCGTTGATTTGGGCCGTTGAACAGGTCAGCAACAATGTCGTCTATCTGCTTCCCATTGCCGTGTTCATTCCCATGTTGTCGGCGCTGTTTCGGATCCGGTTTCAAGCGTTCTTTTTCTCGTTCTCCTCGTGTTCGACCACGTGATAAAAGTCATCCAGGAACCCAGTGACCACACATGCACTCGCGACAAACGGACTGGAACATGAGGTACGACAGCACTACAAAAAGCCAAGCAACAACACCGCAATGCTCTGCAATGTCGAAGATCGTCATGAAAGGGCCCGTTACAGCCAGCCCGAAGCCTCCTCTCACCTAGAAGCAAGGTTGCCCAGCAGCTGGAGGTTTTGCATGTCTTCATTTCACAGCGGCGAAATTTGGACTGATTGCTTTGTTGTCGTTGTGCTTGCTGTTGTTGTTGTTCTTCTTCTTCTTCGTCTAATCGCTGGTTGTTTCTGACGATGGTCTCTTCTTCATTTTCAATTTTGTTGTTCTGTTCCGTTCCGTGATTTCTGTCATGGCAGTTGTGATTCCAATAGCTACTGATACTCTTCCTTGCTTTGTCGCTGTCTTTGTCATCGCTGTCGTTGATGTTGAGTTTGTCCTTCCGGTCCCCGTTCTCCCAGTGCGCGAGCATCTTCTTCTTCTTCTTCTTCTACGCATTCTTGTCGTAGTAGTGTTGTCGAAGCAGCTGCTGTTGCTTGTGTTGGTGTCCTCCTTATCGTGGTCATCGTCGTCTATACGTTTTCTCCGGTCCCTCTTCCTTGTTCGGTGCTTCTTCGATTTTGTTCTTCCTCTCTCTGCAGTTTTTGTCATTGGAGGAGTCTACGTTCCAGCGGTTGCGCAAGTTCGCTCCTCGGTTGCACAAAAGGCCACGGCCGCGGCTTAACTGCCTGTTCGCCTCACAAGCACCACCCCCATCGACACCACCACGCCCACGACGTCCACGTCACAAGCCAGGACCTCTTTGCCCTTCGACGGGAGGCCTTTTCGTCGCAGGATCCCACAGCTCTCGAGATCTTGCCAGAGACGTGTGCAGGTGCTACAGCGCTTCACCATCCGCTCAGCGGAGTCTGATCTGCGCAAGGGCGGGCATGCCTATGCTGTCTCCTTCACTGCGCAGAGCTCAGCTGCTAGACCCCACTTGCTGATGCTGAAGGGCTCATCGTATAAGCACAGCTACATTTGAGGCGGCCGTGCCGCCCATCCAAGCTTTTCGGTTGCTACAGTGCAACATGGCGGCCGGATCGATAGATCCTGCCTGCAAGGTGCCGCGGCATGCAGACATTCCAGCGGCATCCAGCGAGTGAAGACTGTCAGAAGTTGTGTGCATGCATGCAAGAGCTTCAAAACCAACGAGCTGTCCGCTATCCTCCCTGACAAAATCCTAAACTTCACGACGCCTAGCAGGTCATGTGGTCGAGGCCCCTGCAGGCCGAAGATGGATCGGTGCACTCCATCCGTCCTTCGGCTGCAGTGGGCTCGAGGCATGTTTGCGTGACGTGGAGCTCGGAACAGTTTGGTGTCTTCACCAGTCTTGGAAGGATCTGAAGAGGATATGCAGGACGCAGGAACAGGGACGAAAACTGTTAATCAGCCAAATACGTCTTCAGCCACGCACGCTGAAGTGCAAGCCGCATGAAAACGGATGCACAGCCGTGCAACTAAAAGGTGCTGTTTTCATTGTCGGGAATGCAGCACAAGACTTTCCCACAGCGGCGTAACTGAAGAACAAATTTTGAGGCATGCATTTTTTGCCTTTCTTCATATGCATAGGATTGCATAAGCAAATAAGAAATCGAACAAATACACAAAAGGTATGATTCCCAAGTGCGGCAATCCGGAAAAATGCGCAATTTCAGGGCAGCAACCGTCCCTCGCACTGGATCTTAACTTTAGCCGCTCCCGGATGCTTCCGGTCAACTGCTGGTTAGCTGTAAATGGCTGCTTGTATCGTTTTGGGGAGCCCCCATTTCGGGCAAGAGACAAGCTGGACAGATTGAACAGAAGCCTCAAACTGGTGGAGAAACAAGCACGGTTGGGAGAAGGTGTCGGGAAGTGGTAGTTAAGTTTTCAGCATATCCTGTTTTAAGAATTGAGCTCTCCTTTCATTTCTGTCTGTCTAGGATACTTGGCCTTCACCGAGTGGTTCGTGGGCCGTGCCTTGGCCAAGCAGCTGGTGGCATGAACTCTTCAAGCTGTGCCCTACAGTGCCCTCCCCCCCGCCCCGAGGTGACTTCTTTTGCACGTGCTTCTGTGGCAAAGTTCAGAGGGACGACAACAAAGAATGTTCCTTGATCGGCACCATGCTGCACCTCCGCAGCAAGCTGCGTCGCATGTGGGGCGGCAGTCGCACAGCCAAGGCTATGTTATGGCGATGACGTCCCTGAGCCACTGGGACTGGGACAATCTTCAAAAGCTTGCCATCAGAGGCCGCCTTGCCTGGCTCCCTATCAGGCGAAGACCTTCTGAAGGCCGAGGGGCTCCCGAAGCCAATCGCAGGCCCAGCAGCGCCCGTCAATGACACATGCAATTGCATGCTGCCGTGGCCTGCCGCCCCCTGCGCAGGCCATGGCCACGGACGAATCTACGTGTCTCGGCCAGTGTTGGCAACAGATTCATCTCGAAGTGCCTGTCAACGCTGGCCTTATCCTTCAGAAGCTTCCCTGCAGGTGAGCGGCGTTCGCTTCACTGCCGTACCAGACGGCTCGAAGGTTGAGGTGATGGTCGTGTCTCGTCGAAGGTTCGCCTCAGATTTGCCGGACTTTTCGAGTCCCCTTTCATGGCCGGCAACATTGCCGAGCTCCGCTCCACCCTTCACACCCTAAGGACACTGATCCTGATGCACCGCTTGGGTACATCTCTGATGTGGTCGACAAACGGATCAGGATGCATGGCTGTTTTGTACGTGTGTTCGAGGTATTCCAAGGCCCGAAGGACCTGGCAGATCCTGCCAGCTTGCCAGTTCGGGGTTGGGCTCCAAGCAGATGAAATCCAAGGAGCCACGCTTGCGATGTCGCTTGGGTGCTGCAGCGTCAGCTTCACACTGCAGGTGCTTGTCTGCAACATTTCAGTGAAGGAATATTTATTATACATTTTCTGCATTCGTCTAATGGTCTCCTGGGCAACTGCACGCCTCCGACATGCCATCGCAAAAAAAGACGTGCTCAGCAGGTGGACAGATGGCCTAAGGTGACAGCCACGGCCTTGAATCAGCCGTGTAGGGTGCCTAAAGCTGGCATCGTAGCTTTGTGCAGTGAAGTGCGAAGCACGGACCTGCGTTTTATCCTCTGATTAGGCCAGCCCAAGCTCAGTTCAGAGCTTGCGAGAGCGGTGGGTGCAGTTCCTCTTGACCTCTACCATTGTACAGATGAGGATGCCATGAAGCAGGCTTTGCGCCTGTGTAGCATGAGCTGTTTGCAAAGCAACATGCCCTTGTCCAGATTCATGCGAAGCGGCCTTTGCTGATCATACCTCTCTTTACCTCTGTCTGGCCCTCCGCAGCCTTCAGGTGGCGGAGCTAGGCAGAACCGTGCGGAGCCTAGAACAAAAAAGGGTTTTTGAGAGTAAGAGTGGCTCTTGGGACTTGTAAAAGGGCCTGTTGCTGCGTTCAAAGCTGCTCGCATCGCTCCCCAACGCGCCCGACGGTTCGCAGTTTGCTCTGTTTAGACTTGGCTGTTTAGCTTGGCAGGTCCTAGAAGGGGCCGGACTGGCAAAGGCGGTTTTGGGAGAGGAGCGTCGGGGGGCTTTGCCTCGGCCACAGCATCTGTGGCTGTGCCGAGAGCGCCAGGATCGGAGCGGGCCCAGCTTGTGAAGAACACGGGTGAGCACGACAAGCGTCTACATCAGCCAGGCGCCGAGGTTTGCAGAAAACGCTGGGTGATGCGGACCCGGCACGTTGCATGAGGGCCCACTTTCTGAGGTTCATTCAGGTCAACAAGCTGGACGACGACTGCGCGAAGGCTGCGGCCTGCAAATCAACATTCACGGGGCTTCGTGCTGACACGATGACGGGTGGGCCAATGTTCTCGCCATGCAGATTCTACAACGGCACTCCAAGGAGGTGCAGGCAAGACCAAGAAAGCAGCATCCAGCCTTTTTCCGGTTGCAGTGCAGGTAGACGTTTCACCGTTGACCTCGGAACTCCAGCTATTGGGATATCCGTATGGCTGGGCGTTTTCACTTGCCCATGCAGGCGGCGGTCATTGATGCTTACGTCCCCGACCTTACCATAAGGGCCAATCGAGATGACGGCAGGAGCACGATTTTCTAGTGGCTCACCAAGTTAGCAGATGCTTTGCAGAGCTGTTTCAAAGTCAGTAAAGACGCGGCTGAAGGACCTTGAACACAAGTGCGGCATCGGCCTCAAGCGCTCGGGCAATTGCAGATCAACTCTCCATAACAGCTCGTGCCAGATCGTGACCTCGAGAGTGCGGAAAGAGCGAGAGAAGATTTTGGAACAGTTAAATCACGCCAGGGCCTCACATCGTTGCAATGCTCTGGGACATGTTTCCTTGCCGCAGAAGATGCAATCTGAGGGCATACGCCTCAAGGAGTCCATGCAGGCTGCCGGGGTGCTCGTCACAGCCGTGCCGATCATGTGTTGACCCCACTTGCGGAACATCCGAGAGGTGAACAGCTGCCTTCAGGAGAGTAGCTAGGGAATTGAAGGCAAAAATCAAAGTTGTAGACCGTGGCAAGTAGTAGCTCTTTGAAGGAACTTGCGACAAAGCACGAATGCACTCGAGAGCCTAAACACAGACCCCTGGGCGAGGCAGGCTCACGCAGCCCCGGGGCATCACCGAGGCGGCGAAGGTCCCAGCACCACGAGCTCGTTTCCTTTCCCTTTTCGCCCCTTGTGCACTGCAAACCTTCAAGGGAAGACGTGCGATGTTCAATCCGGGCAGGAGCTCTTCCGAAGACGACCGCTCCAGAAGCAGGCCTCGCCAACGTTGACGTTGAGCCTCCGTATGAAACCTATCTACCTGCCAGACAGCAAGACAAGTCAGACATAGCAATATGCTGCACACATCCGTGTATGGCCAAAGAACAAACGGTTTCTCAAGCCTTTAATAAGGAAAGAGGTATGAACATGAAGTCATATGAGTTTCCAGGCCCACGCTGTATGTCCGGACTCCCGTGGAGTAGTCATGCCTCCGATGCGGTGCAGCCGGTCGGATTCCCAAAGCCGACCAGGATTAGGGTGTAGTGCACCAGCAGAATGCGGGCGAGTGAAATGGTAAAGAACGAGCCTTGTCAGTGGCAATGTGAAGAAATGAGTAATGTGAGCACTGCAGAGATTCGGAAACGAACAATCCAGCAGACCTGCGTGCTCAACACGTCCAACTGCTTTGGTGTCGTGGGAAGCCCAAGCACCGGATCTCTCACGCCTTTCAGAAGCAATGCTTGGGTCTCCGAGGAGCGCGGGCCGGGAGACTGACAAATATTGCTGATCGGGACCCGTGGTTTTGGGTTTCCAACCCCGGACCTCTCATGGCTTTGGGACCGTGCGAGATTCCGCTTCCCTACGAAAGAAGAAGAGCAAGTCTGCAACTCCATGGTTGGAAACAGAGGCTCAATTTGTTGGATTTGGCAGCAACTCTGCAAGCCATGAGCGCTCCAGCATCGGACATCCTCGTGTTCGGAGACTCCTTGCACTATTGCATCTAGCAGCTGTCCACACGACAGTGCCCCTCGGAACCACAACCATTCCTTGCTTGAACTCCCTCCCCTCCCTCAACTCCCGCATTCCGTCTGGCCTCTACGGGGCCTTTAGTCACACTATTCGCATGCAGACTGCGTTCTACGTTGTAACCCGGAGTGCAGAAGAGACCTCCGACCGTGCGTTCAGCAATTGTGCTGGATTGTTGGGACAGAAGTGCGGGGCAGGTCAAGTCCGCGCCGCAGTCGGTCCGAGGATGATGATTTGAGCGGCTGTCGCCAGTGATTTTAGTAAACGAAGGGGGTGAGGATGGGCGTCGTTCGAGCATGGCAGGACAGTTCCTCGGGGAGGTCGGCGAGACAGCAGGTTGGCTACCTGCTGCCGGGCCTCGGGAGCTTTTGCCTTGACCTGGCTGCCAGGATGATAATGCAGGGGCAGCGCCGGAGGGCGTGGATATCGTAGGCACCGCGTCTGATCACCTCAGTTAAGTGGAGCGATGATCGACATTCCTGCATCAGACAGGTGCTGAAGCACAGGGAAACGACGACAGAGGCAGAAGGCAAGGCCTTCACAGCCAACATGTCTCAGTCTCACGAGCAATCCCTCAAGCGGCAGACTTGGCAGGGCGGCACCGCACCGGTCGGTGTCGCTGTCGCGTTCGCGCTCGGACTCACGATCCATGGAGTCCTGGACTCGGAGCCTGAATAAGGGGGGGGGGCTAAGGGGCTGCCTCTTGAAGGCTCCCCCGGCCGGAGCTTCGGAGCGGCGCGCTGCCTAGGCCGAAGAACGATGCGCAGTCCCAGTCCCAGCCGCAGCGGCGCGTGGTCGTCAACCAGGCCATGCCCGAGCACCGAAGTCGCTGAAGCAGAAAGCATAAAGGGACACACACACACACACACACACACACACCTGAAAGCAGTTGACGCCAGGCCGAAGAGAACAAAGAGGACGACAGCTCGCGCGGGCCTTGCGCAGCTGGGAAAGTCTCTAAACCGCAGCCCTTGAGATCCTCCCGGCGGAGGCCGCTTTTGGAGATCTGCAACCTACCGGACCTCATCTCCCGAGGCCTCGGCCTCAGAGCGCCGGGCGGTACACGTATATGGTCTGAGGGGCTTCAGAAGCGAGACGCCTGCGTTCCCGGCTCGCGCTGGTTCGTTCCAGGTTGGGTACCAGCTCATGCGCGGTGTTTGTGCTTTTCTTGAGCTGTTTTCTGGTCCGAATTGGACGACCGGCGACTCGTGCTACAATGCCGGGCACGGCAAGTGCAAGACCTGCATCGCGAGTCTTAACGCTTGATTGAGATCTGCGCTGGGGCCCGGGGACCATTGTCGCCCGCAGTAAGGCAAGAATCCCCTTCAGTACCTGCCGGAGCTCTTCAATCCGACTCTCAAGACGCTGCCGGACCCATGCTAGCAGTCGGTGTATGGCACACCGGAAAGAGACTCCAAGCATGCTCTGGCAACCGAACGCTGTGCGTGGTTCACTGTCTCTGCAGGATTTCAATAAAGAGATGGGAGGCGAGTCAGTCCTCAAAGCTTGGAACAAGCCCGGCAAGGCTGGGCACGGGATGCTGTTGACTAGAGACCTCACTGGCAGCCTCGTGTGACACCCGGCTGTCAAAGCAAGCAGGTAGGAGCCATTCTGCTACAGTTGCAGAACAAGGCCTGATACGCTGCGAAGCATCACATGTAGCAGCAGGAGTTGCTTTCGACGGATTTGGTTCCAGTCTTCCATCCCCCGAGAGTTCGGAGAGGGAACATCTGGAGGGAAAGCCGGAGAGCTCAGCGTTGAAATTGTGCCTTTGTCGCATTTCTCCAGCGCCCGTCACTCGGAGCCGGTTTGGGTCCTTTTGTGTCGCAGGTCACAGCCGCACTCGTTACCATGTCGCCGTGCTTGCGGGGGCACGTTTTCAAGAGGCACTGGCAGCCAGCGCCTGCCGGACGCTGAACGGCTTGCAATTCCTCGGCTTCGAGCTCAAGGCCGGGGCCTTTCGCTCGGAGGCTTTGCGAGGCTTTGGCTTCGCGTTGGCCCGTTGCTCCTTACTCCTTACGAGTACCTGCGAGGTGCAAGGCATCCCGAAGCTGGAGGCAGTCCCCGTTCTGAAGTTTTGCTCGGTAGCCTGCGATTCTTGCTCGCCTGACGCTGCCTCGGAGCGCGCCACGCATTCCTAGACTGGATTGTTAAAGAAGCTGCTGCAAGAAGACGAGGTAAGCAAAATCCTCTGAAGCATTCGGGCTTCCGAGTCTCAAAAAAAATCCTTCAGGCCAAAGCATGCCAAAGCCATCTTGGCTTTCCTGCTTTACGTGCGTCGCCGCATCGCGTCCTGCGATTCCAGCAAACGCGAGCCGAACGTGCGTTGTTCAGAAACGTTATCATGCGCTGCGAGAGGGCAACGACAGAGAAGTCTCGAGAAGCGAGAGGCAATCAATCGTGCCGAACGCCCGGACGAGAAAATCTACATGTGGCTATCCGGAGAAAGAATGTGTGTATGCTCTTCGGGGGCAGAATTTGCATCCTCTTTCCTAACTCTGGGCCTGCCAACAATGCCACCGACTAAATTTGCACAGATCGTACACTGTTTGCCTACTTGCTGCAAGGCGGATGGTCTTCTGCAGAGCGCTCCCTGAGAAAATTATTTTAATTATGGCAGAGCTTCCGCAGAAGAGACCATGCTTTACAGCTTTCGTGCCACGACAAGCCAGAGTGTAGAGGCGCGAGGGCCTGGCAAGTGTGGCCTTCAGAGGGCGCTTCTGGAAGTGCGAAGGATCCGATTATGCCCGTCTAATGTGTGGGATCTCTCAGCCCAAACTCCCCATCAACTCCCGAGTCCGCACACACGATAGTTTTCGTGACATGGCTGAGCCATGCCTAGAGGTCGCTCGCTGCCTTTGATGTGGAAAACATACGAGGGGCTGCCTCCTCCTGGACTTGTGGCTACGTGCCATGACGAGACCTTCGTCCAAGTTGAAGCTGCGGTCCGGTGTTGCTGCAGCACTGGTGACCCAAGCCTTTCAAATCTTTGACATGACCTTCTTTATGTTCGTGTAGCTTCTGTGGCTCGAAACTGGGGCCGAAGCTGCGTTGCGTTGAAGGCCTGGCATTGTCCTGAGCCGTCGGGCGACGCACGAAGCAAGTTACGTGCTGGCTGCAGACGATAAAGCTGCATTTTTCCTGCTTCTAGAGGCAAAGCCTTTGCTCCCTCGATCAGGGGCTCTGCTTTTCCTTGCCAGGGGCCGAGGGCCGTTTCCTCCTGACCGACGATGGCTGATGTCGGCGGGGAGGATGCCGTGCCTGCACCCGCACCTGCCGCCTGGGCCCTCAGAACCAAAGAGTCCGAATGTGGAGCCACTCCTTGACCGTCCTGAGGAACCTGGAGAGGGAGTGCCGGAGAGAACACCAAGCTTGCGTGGGTGGCCACGGCATGTGAGAGAGGCTTTCTCGGAATTCGTGCCTTTGAGGCTTGTGATGAGGGAGACAGCTGGCAGAGTCCATCTTGTTCCTTGCCAGTTGTGCTTGAGAGCAGCTGTGCATCATACAAACGGCAGGGCTGCCGCCGGGGGCTTCGGAAAGCTGGTGCGCCCACCCTACTCCCGTATCGCATGGAAGTGGTTTGCCGCAAGCTGAATGGCATTGAATTAGGCGCCGGTAGCATCTAGGAATGCTCTAGGGACAGGAAGAAACGAGCCCTCTGAAACCGGTGTTGATGCCTGCAGAGCAAGCTCTACAACAAAGAGAAGCTGATGAAGCTCCGCAGCTACTCGTGGTGCCTGCCTTGAGTCTTGTTGTTTGAGAGATCTTATCAGCCATGCGTGAGTCTACAGCGAGTACTTGGTGAAGTTGCTGACTGCACGGCGCTTTTGCTTCTGAAGCTTCCCAGGAACATCTTTCGCTACATCGGCGACTACATGCACCTCTTTGGTGCTTCCTCCCTAGTGCTCATTTAGCAGATACACTTCGGCTGGACTCCCGGGAATCGCTTTGGAAGGGTGCAGTGCGCGGTGCGATGCCTTTTGATTTTGCAGGCTCCCTGGCTCGGGATAGGATCTTGATGTTGGTCCAGAGCGGCCGGAACTCATTGCTGCAAACTTCATGTCACATGTCTGCAAGATCAGATCTTTCGGGAATTGGAAAGTGAGTGAATCTGGCCCACGAGTTGTCCAAATTCAACCACCCTGAGTTGCGTATCAGTCCCTCGGAAATTGGCTCGGGAGCCATGAGCGAAGCCTTCAAGCTCGAGATGCAGGAAGTGTTGGGCCCCAAGCAATGTGCTTTGTAGTCTTTTTTTAAATATCCAGAGCCGTCCCAGAGCTCTTCTCCCAAGGCAGCGGCTGCTGCAGATCGAGTTTTCGCAGATCTCAGAGCGCATCTCACAGGTTTCGGGGGACGGGGCACTGAGGTTTGGAGCCGTGATTCGTGCTAGCCAGCTAGGCAGCTGATTGCCGCTGGCAGTTGAGAGACCTGAGCGCAGCCAGAGCACCCCGCTTGAGAAATCTCATGGTTTGCGCATGCACTAAGTCTTTGTCCTGCTAGGACTTGCGAGAGGCGGGGGCCCTGGTACATCCATTGCTCAGCATGCAGGCCCTGCACACCGCAGGCGGATGGCAGCGAACATGGCAGCGCTGGCTCGAGACCGATCGGCCCGAACATAACAAGGTAAATGAAGTCGTCAGCTAGACTTCACCCTGAAATGCAAATCACACGGCACACCATGCTGCAGGGTCTGCCGCGTTTGAAACACTTTCCAACTTTCAGCAAGCCGACAGCCGACAGCAGTGTTTAGACTTCCACATCTGACACCTCGGCTTCCGCTTCGCCGCTGCACATTTTCCTAAAGGCATCTGAGCCTGACGTGGGTTCCAAAGGAACGTCGGGTTCAGCCGGTGCCATGCGATGCGCTTTTATGTGAGCGGGAAGTGGGGCTTTTCATTGCTATGGGGCGCCTTGGCTGCATCAATAGTGAGAGAGGCTGCGACAAATGAATCGCCAAGTAAAATGCAACCTGCCAACTGTCTGATCATGTTGCGGCGATTCACGGCGTGCAAAGGCTACTATGGCTCGGTGCTTCCCCTCGCAGTCGTGATGGCTCTGCCAAACGCGGCACAAAGCTCAAAATGGAAATCAGGGCGAGCAGCGCGCACGAAAGCCATCCAACGCCTTTGTGAGCTGTGAGGCAATCGCTTTCACCTTGGCTACCCTGCACGAGTTGGACGTCTATGAGCAGGACATGTGCAACTGTCGGCAATCCCCGCATCACAGCGTACTCGGCCACGTTGGTGAGTTCTTTTCAAAGTCTGAGGCCATAGGTAGTGTCAGTGTATGGCACTGGCAACTGCGTAGTAGTTGTAGTATGCTGTAGTACTAGACTGGCAGCAGGAGCTTCAGTTCAGCGGCAGCAACAACAGGAGCAGCGGTACCAGAAGTAGTCGTCGTCGTAGTTGACGTAGCAGCACCAGCCGCAGCAGCAGCAATAGTGGCATAACGATAGCAGTGGTAGTGGCAGTGGCAGAGTATGATGTTGTTGAGGATGAAGAAGAAGATGATAATGAGGACGACTGTGACGATCATGACGACGACGACGACACAGGTCATGTGACCTTGACGAACATGGTGACGACATAGCAAGATGCGTATCAAAAATCACGTAGTTCAGCACAGCGGTTTGTTGCATCTCATCTGAGACCACGACAACACCGACAGGAGCGGCAAGCTTGCACATGCAAGGGTCTATAAAACTACTCCATGATGCAGCCGTGAGACCATTGTACATTTTAACAGCGTCCAGAGCTAGTGCAAATGTGTCCAGTGACATCGGTCGTGCTCGGTTCGTGGCACGGATAGCTCCAGTTTGGCAAGAGGCGTTGATGTTTTGCAGGACCAGGACACTATCAACACCGCCTGGGGCATCCTCAGCATCTTCAGTAGCTCGTCCCAGATGTCGGCCTTATGCAGCAACAGCCTGGGTGCAACTCCCTCCGAGGTACCTGCATGTTCTTCGTGTTGCCTCTTGGCTTAACGTACGCTCCATTTCTGTGCTTCGCGCCTCGCAACCTGCTTTTCCCAGGAACTTCAGAAGTCAGATTGCCTACAACAGGCCTGCCAGCATGTGCAACAGTGTAGCCTCGGTAATGAAACGCCGGATGCAGATGCAAATGCAATAAATGCAGGTGGTGGGAAGGCGGCACTCTGCTACAGCAGACCCGCGGAGAGTGGTTCAATTGCTTCAGCAGCCTCGTTGCCCCGCGCCTGTTTTTGTGGCTGTGAGTGGATCCCTGCAGCCGTTGCATTGCTCCTGTGATCTCTTGCAGTGTCTGCGTCGTGTTGCATCGTTCTGTTGTTGTTGGCTCTTGGTTGACCAGAACGAGTGTAGAGAAGCGAAGGCATTCACCAATCCAGCTCCAGAGCTGGCATGCAAAGTGGAGGAATTCCAACACCTTCTCGCGACTTTTCTGCAACCATCTCTTCTTGCAGCAAGCCGCACTCTTCCTCAGATCCTGATTCTGACCGAGCGCCCTATTTCGTTCTGAACCCCTTTTGGCCGAGGTCCGTCTCATGAGTTTGCTCTTTTGCTGCGCGCTGCAGCAAGTCTCGCCAGACAGGGATAGGCAGCATGGCATGCTGCCCTGGACCCTTACTAGCCCAGACCCTAAAAACTCAAACTCCCTAAACCCTATATTTTCTGTGTCCTGCGCCAGTTTTTTGGGTCTCCTTGCTTGAGCTAAAACCCACACCTAAAACCCATAGATGCTCGCCTCATTGTATTTGTTTGAGCCACATACCGGGTCTTTTTGCCTCTATTTTTGAGCCAGATGATGATCCCAAGCACTTTCTCTTGAGCCAAATAGGAAGAGTATGACCACCAGTGATGATCCCAAGCACTTTTTCTTGAGCCAAATAGGAAGAACCTAAAGCCCAGGTTCCCAAAGACCAAAGCCCAGGTTCCAAGGAACAAGGGTTATGCACAGTTTCGAAACATGTGCTGACTTGGAGCATTCGTTTGAGTTGGGGACTGCCTGTCATGAGGCAACTCAGCGATGTTAGAGCAGCCGATCTCAATCTGATTTTGCATGCGACATGTGCCAGAATGCACGGGGTTAGTGGAAGCCTGTGTGTGCGATGGGCAGGCCCTTTGAAGTGTTGTCGCCTGCTGGCATCGATCCCGCCAGCCTGTCAATGCTTTCGAAGAGCAAGGACAAGGCGACGACATGATGTGAAATCTTAGCGGCCTTCCTGTACGCTATTCGAGTTGACTATGATAAGGCTGCAGTGATCTCAAATGATTCGGAAGTCCACAGCATAGCAGGTGGAAGTAATTTTGCAGTGGCTTCAGCGACTGATCACGCACCATGGCTGCAGTTGGTCAAGGGACGATTTGGGCAAGCGTACTGTGACCAAGTCATGCGAGCACGAAATATGAAGGACAAGATGTGAGAGGCACAGGTGACGAGTTGGAGTTTCGTTAAGTCAGGGTACCAGTAGAATGATACCGTGCCGCCTCATAGACGGATGGTGAAGGGTTTTAGCCAACACTTTGAGACCTGGCCGCACTGGGCAGGTCAGGTGAGGCGTGAAAGCCAGTTGTAGCAGCATCGCGAGTCAAGAAGGTGACTCCTCGAGGATTTGAGTTGCC